CAATCAACTATTTAGACAAGCAGAATCTGGTGTACCTCTAAGACATGTCATGGACAACAAAGAACAATGCAAACAAATTTTACACATGATGCATGACAAATTTGGCCATAAAGAGTGAGAGGGAACATACTCTATCTTACAAGCTTGATACTGGTGGTCAGAGATGTATAAAGATGTGTCTGCTTATGTGAAGCACTGTTCTCAATGTCAACAAAAAGATTTGCAAAGATTAAGTGAAGAGCTTCATTCTACCTGGGCTTCTATCTGTTGGGAAAAAGTTGGGGTAGATATCAAACACATGCCTTCCTGTTGAGGACAAAATTATTTGGTTGTTGCAAGATGTGACTTCACTGGATGAGTGGAAGCTAGAGCATTGAAGAAGGCAACAGCTGAAGCTGTAGCCAAATTTCTTTATGAGAATATCATCTGTTGATGGGGCCTGCCTGCCAAATTTGTTATGGATGGAGGACCAGAGAATAAGAATGTTGTGGAGACCTTACTGAAGAAATTCAACATCAAACACATTGTTATTTCACTCTATAATCCTCCTGCAAATGGTATGGTGGAAGTTGGTCATAAGTCTTTGGCTGATGGATTAGCTAAAGCCACCAATGGTACTGGAAGAGATTAGATTAAACATCTTCCTGCAATTCTGATGACAGATTGAATGACAACTAAGGCTAGTACTGGTATCTTCTCTTATAGATTGCTAATGGGCCAGGAGGCAGTTCTTCCAGTTGAACTTGAGATTCCCACTTGGCAAACAATTCTATAATAAAATGTCCAAACAACTGAAGACCTTCTTCTGATGTGTGCATGCCAAATTGAACAATGAGATGAGAATATTCTGAAAGCAGCACATCATCAGCTCCAAATGCACACTAAGAATAAGAAATACTTTGATGATATCCATAATATTTGGACCAATCCTCTTCAATCTGGAGACCTTGTCTTGCTTCACAATATTAAAGAAGAACAAAATATGTCTAGGAACAACACTCTGCACTTTTGATGACTAGAACCCTATAGAGTTAAGTCTGCCAATCAAGAACTAGGTTTCTATCATCTTGAAGAGTTAGACAGCACTGAAATCAAAGAATCTATTGCAGGAAGCAGATTAAAGAAGTACCTTATGAGATCTGGAATGGAGCAGCTTAGTGATAGTCTAGCAGATTCAGATAAAGAGATGGAGAATGTTTCTCAAAAATATGCCACAAGAAGCCAGTCTAATATTCTCTCTAGCAGTTTCTCAGATGTTAGCTCCTTGGATAGGGGGGATGATCAAGGTCAGAGTGAGAGCAAAAATGAAAATGACCAAGAAGAAATGGAGCAAACACAATTATCAACTATTATACCAGATGACTGGAGCTTTGCTGTTGTTATATCTCCACAAGATGTTTAATTTGTTGTGTTTTGTTTGCAAAAGTGAAGTTTTTGCTTGCTCTTTTGGAAGATTTCTTTTATTTGCCTGCAAAGTGAAGTTTTTGCTTGCTCTTTTGGGAGGTTTCTTTTATTTGCCTGCAAAGTGAAGTTTTTGCTTGCTGATTTGAGAAGTTTCTCTTTCTTTGTTATTTGCAGAAGCCTTCACTTTTTCTGAATTTTTCAGAAGATATTTAAAGACTGATTTTTCTTTTCTGAAGCTTCTACTGTTTTTTATATTCAAGCTTGATTCTTTTCACAGATTCAACATTTTTAACACTTCTTCTTGTCTTCTATTTTGTTATTCTGACATTTGCAATTCTTTTTGGATTACTGATATCCTTCAAAATGGCTGGACAAAGCAACTTGCCTCCTCTAGCCCCTGCACCTGAAAATCAAGGCCTGGTCATTACCAGAGACAGTGGAGTCAACCTGAATGGCCATTTCTTTAATAATCTAACAGCAGCTATGGAATACATCAATAACCAAGCTCTGCACCATCACTACAGCCTACAGATCAAGCTAATGAACACACTGATGTGAGTGACTGACATGGTTACTAACTTAGTGGCCCATTTCTATTAATATGTTGAAAGATCCAGAGCTTGGCAACACATTACACATGCTAATTTCAAAGCCAATTTCCATGATGCTCAAAAGATTATCCTGAATGTTGAACAACATCACATTGATATGCAAAAGATCAAGGATAGACTTGTTGCTACATGGGGTATTGACAGAATTGATGCCATATGGTTAAAAGTGGAGAGCCTGTAGACAGCACAAAAGCTTCACCATAATCTAAATGTCTACAAGAATTGGGATAAGTTCACCAATAATATTAACAGCATAGTGCTCCAAAGACTAGATACTACAGAGGCTGGACATTACCAGAGCTTAGCTATATTGCCAGGCAATTATACTACAGTCAACAAAGAAGTTGACTGTGTATGCAAACTTTCTTCAAGAGATGCTCTATGCTAACAGGACCTTACCATTGGCAACTACAGTCTTCTACAGCCATTGGCTCTTCCACAGTCATCTAGCTCCCAACATTCAATTCAAAATATCACTAGGAGCCCTCCCACTGCAAGCAGCCCCTGAGGTCTACTGGAAGGACTGCAGTCTTCAAGATCACCAAGAGATATTCCAATGAGTGGAATGTCTATGCCACATAACCACAACATGTTGGGAGCCTCTATACATAGCACAATGTCAATTAGATTGTGTGGATTTGAAACTGGCCAATCACAGCTGCCATTTGGATTCACCAGCACACTGGCCAATCCATCCAGCTAATCAGAAGCTCCAAAGTGCTGCAGTGAAAGAATTGCAGCCATATCAGCACACCAAACCCTCCAAGGCTTAGGCAATAATAATGAGTCCATTATTTCTCCTAAAAGTGATGAAGAGATACCTCAACACAAGCATAAAGAATCTGTCATGACAGTACACTCTGGTACTTGCTGTTGCCATGGATTTGAACAGCAACTTCTGCAAAAGATAAAGAGTATTAAAATGTGTTCAGAATTAGAGCTTATTCACATTCTGGAGCAATTAGAAAAGGCATTTAGCAATAAGAAAGCTGATATCTACCTATACTATAACCATGCAAAACTAATAGCTTCAAAACTCAGGTTGCAGACTTGCACACTTAATAGGGAGGAGCTTCTCAATCATTTGGCTCACATTCATAGAAATCATCACAATATTGGCTCAGTCAAGATTAATGACAGCATCTACCTCTGGTTCCATTTGGCAAATAGACCAGCTAGAGCTGAAGATGCTTTAGACATTTACAAATTCAAACATCAGCCAATTATCTCTCTGGTTGCAAACATGAGAACATTCAACTTTAACCAATACACACAGATTACTGGAGTTAACAAGTTCACCACCAGCAATCTTCAGAAGAAATGGGAGACTACTGAATCTGTCATTATTTTTCAGCTAATGCACTGGTGGAACAATAGGTTACAAGACACCATCACTACAGTACTCACTTGAGTCAATGGTGAATACAATATGTACTACCATCATCAGCAAATGATGGGAGGTCACAACAATTACAGATGGTTGAGAACAATGTACTACAGTATCAGCCAACAACTCATGTGCCAGGACCCTGTATACTATCTATGGTACATGCTGACAAGATCCAACCATGCTTGAAAATTAATCTTCTATCCATATTACACCAAGTATGCTAAGCCAGGGGATAAAACTGGATTTCACCATATTAATATCAACATTCCAGATGCTATTACTACTGGAAGGGGTGTTAACATGATACAAGGATTCTTGATCTTAACAGCAGAAGAGCCCAGCAACTGCACAGAAATCTTGTCAGGAATGTATAACTATCTAGAGAATTGGTGGAGACTAGTTGAAGAATGAGGCTTATCCACCAATAGCTATGTTCACCATATTAAGAATACAATGTATATCAAAGACAACAAAAGAAAATTTGGTATTAGATGGATCAACATCATTTGCAAATCTGGTGATGTCCAAATTACAAGCCCTCTGCTGCCCCATGGAGCTTACAGTCCATGCAAAAAGGTCCAGCATACTATGCTACCCTGGTATGTGGCAATTCAGAAGGACCATGAACATCTTGAAGTCAATGAAGCTGGTACCTGGTTACAGCTCTCCACTGCACATAGAGATCTAGTTTCAGGGCCATCATCATCTTTCAGCTATTCAAACTGTTACACATTAGTTCCATATTGATTCTCTACTGCTATTTAATTGCAAGGCTTAGGAGCTATATCAGATGCCTTGATAGGCCAAATTAGGTGGGACAACTCTATGGTGATTGAGAAGCTTGATATCCTCTTTGGACCAGAAGAGAAGAAGGCTCAGAACTTCATTAATAACTGGCATCTAAAGGCCACATGAATTGCTTTGGATGCTATTGTCAAGACATACCAAATTGAAAAGAAAGCTTTTAGTAACAAATCCTATTGGCATTGTGTGCACAACAACATTGATCCAGCATCAGTTCAGCCTTCCCCTCCTCCTGAGAACTTGGTGGAAGAAGAGAATCATGGTAATCACTATTAGAGATTGCTGCTGTCACTCTCTTTATTCTTATTTTCTATCTCTTTTCTTACCAGATTGTTACTAATTCTTAGCCTCTTATTTTCTTTACTAAATTGTCTTTGTTTTGTTTCATATGTTGCCTGTTGTCAGAGGATGCTAACAGTAAAAGCCAGAAGGAAATGTAGTGGGGATTCCAGTACCATATTAGAACAAAGATTGTTCCAGTCCAAGGCACAAAACCTCCCCAGCTACTATCTCTAAGCTATATAAACCACCCATAGCCTCTGCATCTCACTCAATATCTTCACACATCTTTGTACTTTTCCACACACTCATTCTTTATTGCTAGTTTGGTTATTAGTTAGAGAATATGAAGATCTCTTGTTCATGAAGCTTGCCACTGTTCCTTATTAGAGCTGCCTGTATTAGTACAGGCTCTTTAGTACTATTATTCCTTATGAGCTTAGGCATCTGTTAAGGCATGCTTCTCTGTTCTTACTACTTGGCCATTACCATCCTTACTATGTTGTGATTTTTCATTCTTCTTGTGCTCTCACCATCTCAACCAACTTGCCTACTTTGACAAGGCATTCCATTATACCCTGCTTCACTAGCATCTCATCTTTTATGTTTGTGACCATCACTTGTTCATGGAACAACTGCCAGTTTTCCTGAGAGTCACAGGCTTCAAAGAATATATTCACAATCCCTTCCACAAGAATGACATTCTCATAATCTATAGCAGTTTCAATCTCTATAGGCATCTTGTGCACCTCTAGCACTAGCTTTGTGGCCAATTGCCAGCTAATCACTAGAGATTGATAACCAGAGTCTATTAGTGCTGACCAGGTGATACTTCTGTCAGTTGGGCTTCACACACCTAGAACAATGGGGGAGAGAGCAAGAAGACTTTTCTTGGACAACTTCATTATATTAATTCTATTTACTTGCAGCTCCCCAATTTTCTATTTGCTACTCTTCTTCTTGAGACAGTCTTTTGTGAGGTGCCTCTTTTGACTACACTCAAAGCACTTCTCTTCTTTTCTTAAAGCTTTGTGATTCTTGGTAAGATCTTTCTCCATCTTCTGAGCAGGTCTCTGGAATTGATTTCTCTTATCTGTTTGTGGCCTTGAGTCATCAGTCTTTATATCTCTGCAAGCACTTCTAACTGAATTAGTAGACTTTGTGTGCAAGGCATTCTTTTCAAGAGCTGCTGTCACACTTGGTTGAAGTTGGATAGTCAGTGCTACTATCTCATTAATATCATCTGGTATTTCCAGCTGTTCATTCAGTTTAGCTTGCATGGGCTCATTCAAGTTCCCTATATATAGGTTCTTCTTCATTTTTTCAAAGCTTTCAAATTCTTCACCAATTTCTGTTGCAAGCTCTAGAAATCATTAATGATAGACTTGATCAGTTTCATTCAAACTCTTGTGAAGATTGAAGATTGCTCATCAAGAGTTTCACATGTAGTTTGCTGGATCTTCTAGTCTTGTGTGTAGAAATTTCTTGAGACTATTCCAGTTATTCTTCAATAGATTGTTTTTGTGATAAATCTTCCAGAGATCTTTTTCAATGTAATCAAGTTCTGTGAGAGCATACATGAGGGTTTTCTCATCATTCAATTTGCTTGTGTCGCAAGTGGATTCAATGCTGGAGATGAACCACTAATATTTTGTATAGGAGCCAGTCTGATAGAGCTTTGTGTGTTGTGGTGATCTCAAGACTGACAGACACTTTGCAGGTGTTGGGTTGAAGATGGCCATATCAAGAGATTCACTTTGTGAGTGCTTTTGAGTGGCCTGAAGAGTATTCAACTTTTCTTGCCATTTTGCCATTCTCTTTAGTAGTTTGGTTTTCTTGTGAAGTTGTTGAATTTCATCTCTTGATGCTAAGATAGACTCTCTCTCTGAAGTCACAATGCTAGTTTTGGTTTCATTCATGATTAAGAGAGCTGAGGTGGTTTCAAGGTTTGTCATCTCCTTGCAAACTTGGGTTTGTTCTTCAGGTAGGTTTTCTGCTGGTGTTCCAGGTTTGCAAGCTTCAGGAGGTTGGCTTCTTCATGTTAATACTATTGTCAGATGTCACCAAAGAAGAGTGGCAAAATGTGAGAATCATACATGTGGATCAGCATGATAATGAATCTATAGGAGGAATTGTATGTAGAAAAGAGTACACAAGATAAAAGATCTGGTATTGACAGCTATATATGACTTCTAGACAAGATTGCCACTGGCTCTCAACAAGAGGTTCATGCAGTGGCAGCCTTTTATGTGTGCTTGCGAGCACATGACTTAGTGCCTCACAAGAACACATGTACTCCCAACAGCTCACAAGCCTAGGCCCTGGGCCCTCACAGGTGTTGTTCATCCATGTAAGAGGTTCGCGGGCAAATCCTTACACATTCTCATTTGTACAGTCACAGGAATGGCAGAATCTTTTGGCTGAACAATCAACCATACATTCAGACAGGAACCAGAGCAGCTTCTGCTCTGTCACCAGCTCTTCATTCTGAATAGGCTGGTATTTGGGACTGGGACAGGATCCCATTTCCCATTGAACCTGGTCCCCATCCTGAATTTAGAAACAGCTGGGATCTCAAATATGAAATCTCAGTCCCATGTCCCATTCCACTCAAGAGCTTGAGATTCTGTTCCCATCCCTATTCCAGAAATTATTTCCTGGTCCCATCCTCAAATAGAAAATTATGTCCCATATTCCATTCCAGCAGAAATGGTAGACTTCCATTTCCCATTCCAGCCAGATTCATAGTGGGACTGGAATGGGACCAGGATTCCTGGTCCCATTGTGTCAAATTTATAGGGAAGAGTCAAACTAATCAAATTTTGTGTGGACTGTTATCAAATTTTGTTACTTTTTTAATGAAGGTGGAACCCATAGAAAAATCAATTTGATTATCAAAAGAAACAAAGTATTAAAACTAACTAATAGCTGAAGCTAGCAAACAAACAGAAACTGTCTAAATGACAAGTTAATCATTATTATTATTATCTTCATCATTATCATTGTTTTTCTTCTTCTTCTTCTTCTTCTCCTTCTTCTTCTCCTTTTGCTTCTCCAGAACTGGCTTTGTGAACCAGACAGGGGCTCTAATATCTGTTATTTGACAGACAGAGACCCTGATGGTGCCAGGGGAAGGCAGAAAGATGGCAGTGGTAGTTGATGAGGTGGAGACAGCATGCAGGTGGCAGGTGGTGGCAGCAGAGGCAGAGCAATCAGATACATCAATTGGACTGAAATAGTTCAATCTGATTTTAGCACTGATGTCAAGAATGAGCTTTATATCATCAGTATTGACTGTAATGTGCTTACAGTATGCCATTACCATAACAGAGCCTATATTACTTAGTATAATTGTTAATGCCATTACTAAGAGTAACTTATACTCAAACAGAGCACACAAGATTACTTCAGCTGTCTTCTGAAGTGACTCAATAATAGTATATTACCAGCAATATTCATGTTCTTGATGACAGAACAAAGTAATTTCCTGAACTAATTACTGGAACAGGGTTACTGGCAAGATTAGCTCAGTAGAGCTCTGAAAGTGGCAGATTTTCTTGATGGCATCTATTTTTATCAATTAGCATCAAGACTGTTACCAAAAATTGTTACTTTTTGATATATGAGTGCCAGCCTTCCAATTTTGAATGGAGAGATAGGAGCAGAGATTCTTCTGGTCAAAGTTAGCCAGATTAACATCTTTATTGACTTTATGTCAATTGCTCTTCTTCAGAGCCCATTCTTTTAATACAGTCTTGTGCTGCTTCTTTCCAGCTGTGTGAAATGAACATGCACAGGGAAAACTAACATCTTGTCAGTAAATAATGTACACCAGAGCAGTATTCTGCAAGCACTCATCTCTTAATGTGATCCATTTTGTTGCAGTATATGTTTGTTGTATATATGAATGTTGAAGTGCAGTAAATAAAAAGATGATGGGGAAAAGAAAGAGAGAAAGAAGAAATTGTCAATATTAGCTCTGAAGAGAAAAAAGAAGAAGAGGAAGAGAAAGAGAAGAGAAAAGAGACTGACCTGATGTTATTATTCTGTAGCTAGTATAGCAACAATGTGTTGATCTTGTCTATAGTAACATGCCTGTAGAATGTAAACAATGTGTATAGTAACCATTCTACAGTACTTGGTTAATACACTCTATAATCTCATTATTCTGTAGCCAGTATAGCAACAACATGTTAAGCTTGCCTATAGCAACATGCCTGTAGAATATAAACAATGTGTATAGTAATTATTCTATACAAGTACTTGATTAATATACTCTATAATCTTATTATTCTGTAGCCAGCAATTCAACTCATCACATACAATCATGAAGATGGGGCCAAAACAATATTCAATAAGAGAGAAGATCTGTATGGCACAGAAGCACCATCAGATCTTGAAAGATCATCAAAAAGATATATTCAAGGCAGAAGAGGTGGATTGCAAGATACACCATAATATACTAAAGAAGATTCAAGCAAAATATAAGTGGTATGCATTCTCAGTAGTTTGTGTTGAATTATATTGACATCCATTACAGACAGAATAGCAGTAAGAAGAATTGCAAGACAATTGAAGATAAAGCTATTAAAGAGTTGATGGTCAAGTGATTTGTCAAGAGCAAGTTAAAGAAGTATTATAAGCATCAGCTCATGGTCTCTCAGCAAAAGAAGAGAGAGGAAGAGAAGAAGCATCACTAAGAAGAGGCCACAGAGACTGAGAATAAAGCTTGGCAGAAAAAGAAGATAGAATTTAAAAGTAATAAAATTTGGTAACAGTTCTGACATATTTAGATCAAAACAAGCCAGGTGCAGCATCCTATTGCTGTATGTAGAGAGGCCTGATTCTGCCAAATGATAGTCAGGCTTGAGGCCAAGATCATGGCCCATGGTCATGATTATCTTGCTGCAGTTAGTGTATTAAGAGAGAGGGTTGAGAAGAAGATAAGAGGATTTCTGAACTAATTACAGAATCTGAGTGAAGACAACAACAGTTCACCTGCCTCAGAGAAGATAAAGAAAGATGATTTTGAGGTTGTAGTATTCTCTGATGAGAATGATGAGAAGAACAATGAGACAGAGGATGATTGGATTATTAATATCTAGAGAAGAAAGTTAGATTTTTAGTTCTTTTTTCATATTAATTTGAGAATGGGGTGCTATTAAATTGGCAAAATGTTTTATTTTCCTGAAGAAGAATGTTCTATTTTGTAGAAGAAGAAGATTTTATAGTTGATTGCTGTACTTACAGAATAAAATGAGACTAACTATCTAGAGATTATCAAATTTTGTGTGGGCTCTGACCACATTTTATTACTTTTTTGACTAAGACAGAACTTAGAGAAAAATCAATTTAATTGTGAAAAAAAAAAAAAAAAAAAGAAAAATCTAATAGCTGAAGCCAGTAAACAAGCAAAATCTACAGAGATTTCTTCAGAATTGATTATAGTTTAATATGGAAAAAAATAATTTGTATTGTGAAAGAAGCTGTATTATAAGTTGTTTGTTACTTGATAATTGACTACTGAAGCTGCTTAGTTGATTAATAATAAGAAGCATGGTGACCCCAACTGGAAGGCAAAGCAACACCATTCTGATTTTTGGTTAAAATTTGATCAGGTGGCAGAGCATTCTAAGAGCACTTCAGAAGTGATTTGCAAGCATTGCCAAATCTTTCTCAGTCATTCAAGCTTTTCTCAAAACAGTACAAGTGGTCTGAAGAAGCATTTAACAAGCAAAGATTATATAAAAACTGGTGACAGACAGGATAACACTCTGGTTAACATGATAATAGATTATGAATTCTAATTTTCCAAATGTAATAAATTTTAGTAATGGTTCTGGTGTCTTAGCAATAGTTTCCAAAGCATTCTCAAACAGATTCAGATCTGCCTGTTCCTGAATGCAATCAAGATAATTTTCTCCAGCAGCTTGTGCAAATATTAATATTCTTGAATCTCTCATTTCATACTATTGAGAATCCAGCATTCCACATATTAATAATCATGCTTAACCCTGCAATGGCTTTACAGATACCCACATGAGAAATATTATATCAGATTATAAATGATATGTACAATCAGCTATTTTAAAATCTTCTCTTTAATCATGATCCAACAATCAAGATATCTCTGGCAGTAAATAATTGAACAAGTCTCAATAACCTTGCCTTTATAGTAATTAATGATTATTACATTACAAAGGATTGGAAGTACTGTAAGCATTTACTGGATTTTGAAAGTTTAGAGAGTGCTTATACTGGCAAGAATATGACAGAGATTCTTCAATAATCACTAGCAGCATGAAGACTTGAGAGCAATCTTCTTGCAATTACAAGTAATAATGTATCAAATAATAGTACCATACAAGCACATCTTACACATCAGTTAAGGCCAGCATTGCAGCAGTTGAACAAGACAACTGATTGAAATACAGAGAGTGAAACAATATTCTGTCTTGCTTATGTGATTTAACTTGTGGTTCAAGAGCTGGTTTGCAATCTCAAGATTCAGCCAGACAATAATGCTCTATCCACTATCTTTAATAAGAGCTCAATTACTGATGATCTAGCATCAACAGACACATTTACAAATACTCTTAGAAAGATAATGAAATTTGGTAATGGTCTTGATATACTTGAGTTGATTTACTAATTTTTGCTTGACAATAGATTTGTCTTGTTGTCAATGCAACTAATATCTTCCCCCAACTTACTGCACATTTCCAAGAATATCAACAAAAGAATCAGCACAAGATGATCCAAGATGTTCACACAAGATGGAATTCCATCTATAAGATGTGTATTCATGTCTTGTTGCTTTGACAAGCTGTGAACTTATGAATCCAGAACTCATCACCAAAATACCAAAGACTTTACTTATTGGATCATGACTGGAAGCAGCTAGAGTATATAATTGAACTGTTGCAGCCATTCAGTTGATTTACCAAGATACTGTCCAAAACAACAGGCCCAACAATTCATCTGATATAGACAACATACAATCATCTTTTCCAGTATTTAGAAAGAGAGAAGGACAAGATCCAACAGTTGATAACAAGAGAGAACATTCAAAAAGCTATCAAAGCTGCTAACTTAAAATTTCAGAAATACTATAGTGATACTGAGCATCTAAAGAGTGAGCTGCTAGCTGTAGCTGCTGTTCTCCATCTATCATGCCACATGAGAGCATATGATTCAGAGGATTAGACCAGTAATGAGCATGAAATATACCAACAATATATTTTGAGATTTTACAAAAAGTATTATGAGAAATATGAACAGCCAAGAGAAGTAATACTTGATGTGAATGATGTATGTTTGTTATAAGTATTATTCTGATTTCTTCTCTGCTAACTTCTCTAGAATATTAAGCAAATGATTTTTGAGAGACTTTATTAAAGACAAGCAAATTTCCAAAATGAAATGAAGCAATATTTAAATAACAAGAATTTGATATCACCTCAAGCTTCAATTCTGGAACAGTGGAGAATGCTAGAGCCTGATTTTTCAACTGTTGCTCAGATGGCAAGAGATATTCTGGCTATATCTTTAACAGAGGTTGGGGTAGAACAGATTTTCAATATTGCTCAGAATACATGTTATTATTGATGATTGCAGCTCCATGCATCTACAATCAAGAAGATCATGCTGCTTAAACATGAAGATAAGATGTATATGCTGGATAAAGCACTCATATTACATGAGAAGTTAGTCAAGAAAGTCATTCAAGATAATCAAGATGATCAAGATACTCCAGAGATTATACAGGAAGAGATTGCAAGCCTGCTAAATCCACTACTTAATTCAGATGAGAAACAGGAAATATATCAATGTTATCAATAGATAGACTCAAGTAGCTAATAGCTTGTGATATAATTCAATTATGCAAAGAGCATTACCAAATTTCAGTACTTTTCCAAAGTTGAATAAATTAATAAAATTATGTTAGGACTGTTATCAAATTTTGTTACTTTTTGACAACATAAATGGAACTGGAGTTTCTGATCCCATTCTACACTTTACTGGTTCCATTCTATATATAATATTGAAATCCTGGTTCTATCTTATTTTGTCATGTCAGGTCCCGGGCCCATTCTACTAGCTAGATTTTGATCCTGGTCTCAATTCCATCCCAATTTCAGTTCCTATGGAACTGTCCCAATATGCTGTTAAACAACCTGGTCCCATTCCATTAAGCTGAGCTTCAATCTGATCCCATCCTTGGAACAGGAATTGGGACAGGAATCTGGGACCAGGACAGGAAATCCCAGAACTGGATACCACTCTAATCCTGAAAGCCCTTTGTCCAGCAGAAATGCTAGCAAGTAGAAGCCAGAGAGTGTCAGCCAGACCAATGCAGATGCCTTGTATGGTATGAGAACAGGACAGAAGAGAGCAAGAATCAACAAGAGAATGCATATAATACAGATATCTACCCTTCACTTCTCCTGATGTAACTCATACTGCATCCAGGTCTTCTTTGGCTGGGCATCCAGGGCACTATCAAGTGCATGCCATACACATGCCTCCATCTCCACCATCAGAACAGACTGGCTGTTCAGAGTTGGAGTAGCCATACTGTCTAATGTTGCAGAGAGTATATCAATTAATGTAGATTCATCAGAAGCAGAAGCTCCTGTACAATACAGAATGGATTGAGATGAAGCTGAATTGGTGATCTTGATCATGCTGTACTGATTATATAATATACCTTCCACCCTCCCTGGTCCAAACAGGTTATTTGGCGGCTTGGCAGTAACCAGGCAGCAACCTGGATGATCACCCACACTAAACCCCCCCCATCTAACCACTAGTTAACATAATTTCCAAGCAAGCTGATTACCCAAGTAAACCAATCACCAAAACCACTGTATCCCAACTAGAGTGGTATCTGGTTCCAGGATTTCCTGTCCTAGTTCCAGATTCCCATCCCAATTCCCATCCTGAGAATGGGATCAGGTTGAAGCTCAGCTTAATGGGATGAGATCAGGTTGTTTAACAGCATATTGGGACAGTTCTGTGGGAACTGGAATTGGAATGGGATTGGGACTGGAATCAAAATCTAGCTAGTAGAACAGGCCCAGAACCTGACATGACAAAATGAAATAGGACTGGAATTTCAATATTGTATATGGGACAGAACCAGTAAAGTGTAGAATGGGATCAGAAACTCCAGTCCCATTTGTATTATCAAAAAGTAATGAAATTTGGTAACAGTTCTAACATAATTTTATTAATTTATTCAACTTTGGAAAAGTACTGAAATTTGATAATGCTCTTTGTATAATTGAATTATATTGCAAGTTATTAGCTACTTGAGTCTATCTATTGATAACATTAACATATTTTCTGTTCCTCATCTGAATTAAGTAGTGAATTTAGCAGGCTTGCAATCTCTTTCTGTACAATCTCTGAGGTATCTTGATTATCTTGATTGTCTTGAATGACTTTCTTGGTTAACTTCTCATGCAATATAAGTGCTTTATTCAGCATATGCATCTTATCTTCATGTTTAAGCAGTATAATCTTCTTGATTGTAGATGCATGAAGCTGCAATCATCAATAATAATATGTATTTCAAGCAACATTAAAAACCTGTTCTACTTCAATTTCTGTTAAAGATATAGCCAGAATGTTTCTTGTCATCTGAGCAACAGTTGGAAAATCAGGCTCTAGCATTCTCTACTGTTCCAGAATTAGAGCTCAAGATGATATCAAATTCTCATTATTTAAATATTACTCCATTTCATTTTGGAAATTTGCTTGTCTTTAATGGGGTCTCTTAAAAATCATTTACTTAATATTCTAGAGAAGTTAGCAGAGAAGAAATCAGAATAATACTTATAACAAATATACATCATTCACATCAAGTATTACTTCTCTTGACTGTTCATATTTCTCATAATACTTTTTGTAAAACCTCAAAATATATTGTTGGTATGTTTTACACTCATCACTGGTCCAATTCTCTGAATCATATACTCTCATGCAGCATAATGGATGAAGGGCAGCAGCTACAGCTAGCAGCTCACTCTTTAAATACTCAGTATCACTATAGTATTTCTGGAATTTCAAGTTGACAGCTTTGATAGCTTCTTGAATGTTCTCTCTTGTTGTTAACTATTGGATCTTGTTCTTCTCTCTTTCTAAATGCTGGAAAAGATGATTGTATGTTGCCCATACCAGATAAATTATTGGGTCTGTTGTTTTGAACAGTATCTTGGTAAATTGACTGAATGACTGTAACAGTCCAATCATATACTCTAGCTGCTTCCAGTTATGATCTAATAAGTGAAGTCTTTGGTATTTTGATGATAAGTTCTGGATTCATGAGTTCACAGCTTGTTGAAGCAACAAGATACAAATACACATCTTATAGATAGAATTCCATCTTGTGCAAACATCTTGAATCATCTTGCACTGGTTCTCTTGTTAATATTCTCAGAAATGTGCAGTAAGTTAAGAGAAGATATTGGTTGCATTGGCAACAAGATGAATCTATTGTCAAGCAAAGATTAGTAAATCAACTCAAGTATATCAAGACTATTATTAAATTTCATTATCTTTCTAAGAGTATTTACAAATGTGTCTGTTGATGCTAGATCATTAGTAATTGAGCTCTTATTAAAGATAGTGAATAGAGTATTATTGTCTGGCTGAATCTTGAGATTGCAAACCAGCTCTTGAACCACAAGTTAAATTATATAAGCAAGATAGAGTATTGTTTCACTTTCTGCATCTCAATTAGTTGTCTTGTTCAACTGCTGCAATGCTGGCCTCAACTGATGTATAAGATGTGCTCACATGGTACTATTATTTGATGTATTGTTACTTGTAATTGCAAGAAGATTACTCTCAAGTCTTTATGCTGCTAGTGATTGTTAGAGAATCTCTGTCATATTCTTGTCAGTATAAGCACTCTCTAAACTTTCAAAATTCAGTAAATGCTCATGATACTTTTAATTCTTTGTAATATAATAACCATTAATTGCCATAAAGACAAGATTATTGGGACTTGTTCAATTATTTACTGCCAGAGATATCTTGGTTGTTGGATTATGATTAAAGAGAAGATTTCAGAATAGCTGATTGTACATATTATTCATGATCTGATATAATATTTCTCATGTGAATATCTGTAAAGCCATTACAGAGTTAAGCATGATTATTAATATGCAGAATGCTGGATTCTCAATAGTACAAAATGAGAGATTCAAGAATATTAATGTTTGCACAAGCTGCTGAAGAAAATTGTCTTGATTACATTCAGAAACAGGCAGATCTGAATCTGTTCAAGAACACTTTAGAAACTGTTGCTAAGACACTAGAACTGTTACTAAAATTCATTACATTTGAGAAATTAGAATCCATAATCTATCATCATGTTAATCAGAGTGTTATTCTGTCCATTATTAGTTTTTGTACAATCTTTGCTTATTAAATGCTTCTTCAGATTACTTGTACTGTTTTGAGAAAAGCTTGAATAGCTGAGAAAGATTTGGCAATGCTTGCAAATTACTTCTGGAGTACTCTTAGAATGCTCTGCCATCTGATCAAATTTTGACCAAAAATCAGAATGATATTGCTTTGCCTTCTAGTTAAGATCACCACACTTCTTATTATTAATTAACTGAGCAGCTTCAGTAGTCAACCATCAAGTAACAAACAACTTATAATGCAGCTTCTTCCACAATATAAATTGTTTTTTTCCATGTTAAACTATAGTTAATTCTGAAGAAACCTCTGTAGATTTTGCTTGTTTGCTGACTTCAGTCATTAGATTTTTCTTTTTTTTTTTTTTTTTTTCACAATCAAATTGATTTTTCTCTAAGTTCTGTCTTAGTCAAAAAAGTAACAAAATATAGTCAGAGCTCACATAAAATTTGATAATCTCTAGATAGTTAGCCTCATTTTACTTTGTAAGTACAGTAACTAACTATAAAATCTTCTTCTTCTACAAAATGGAACATTCTTCTTCAGGAAAATAAAACATTTTGCCAATTTAATGGCACCCCATTCTCAAATTAATATGAAAAAAGAACTAAAAACCTAACTTTCTCTCCTAGATATTAATAATTCAATCATCCTCCATCTTATTATTCTCCTCATCATTCTTATCAGAGAATATCACAATCTCAAAATCATCTTTCTTCATCTTCTCTGAAGCAGATGAGCTGTTGTTGTCTTCACTCAGACCCTGTAATTGGCCCAGGAATCTTCTTATCTTCTTCTCAACTCTCTCTCTTGATATACTGACTGCAGCAAGACAATCATAATCATGAGCCATAATCTTGATCTCAAGCCTGGCTATTATTTAGCAGAATCAGGTCTCCCTACATGCAGCAATAGAATGCTGCACCTGGCTTGTTTTAATCTAAATATATTAGAACTGTTACCAAATTTCATTACTTTTAGATTCTATCTTCTTTTTCTACTGAGCTTCATTCTCAGTCTCTGTAGTCTCTTCTTGACAATGCTTCTTCTCTTTCTCCCTCTTCTTTTGCTGAGAGACCATAAGCTGGTGCTTATGATACTTCTTTGACTTGCTCTTGGCAAATCACTTGATCATCAACTCTTTAATGGCTTTATCTTCAATTATCTTGCAATTCTTCTCACTGCTATTCTGCCTGCAATGGATGTCAATATGATTTAACATAAACTACTAAGAGTGCATATCACTCATGTTTTGCTCAGATTCTCTTTAGCATGTTATGATATGCCTTGCAATCCATCTCTTCTGTCTTGAATATATCTTTTTGATAATCTTTCAAGATCTGGCAGTGCTTCCATGCCACACAGGTCTTCTCTTTTATTGAATATTGTTTTGGCTTCATCTTCATAATTGTATGTGATGAGTTGAATTGCTGGCTACAGAATAATGAGATTATAGAGTATATTAATCAAGTACTTGCATAGAATAATTACTATATATATTGTTTACATTCTACAGGCACATTGCTATGGGCAAGCTCAACATATTATTGCTATGCTGACTACAGAATAATGGAATTATAGAGTGTATTAATCAAGTACTGTAGAATGGTTACTATATATATTGTTTACATTCTACAGACATATTGCTATGGGCAAGATCAACATGTTGTTACTATGCTGGCTACAGAATAATAATATCAGATCAGTCTCTCTTCTCTTCTCTTTCTCTTTCTCTTTTTCTTCTTTTTCTTCAGAACTAATATTAATGATTCTTTCCCTTCTCTCTTCTTTCTCCTCCACCATCTTTTTATTTACTGTACTTTGACATCCACACATACAACAAACATATACTGTAACAAAATGGGTTGTGTTAAGAGATGAGTGCTTGCAGAATACTGCTCTGGCACACATTGTTTACTGACAAGATGTTAGTTTTCTCTGTGCATGTTCATTTCATACAGCTGGAGAGAAGTGGCACAAGACTGTATTGAAAGAATGAGCTCTGAAGAAGAGTAATTAGCATAAAGCTAATAAAGATGTTGATCTGGCCAACTTTAACCAGGAGAATTTCCACCTCCACTCCCCTGTTCAAAATTGAAAGGCCAGCACTTATATGTCAAAAAGTAATGATTTTTGGTAATGATCTTGATGCTAATTGGTGAAAATAGATATCATCAAGAAAATCTGCCACTTTCAGAGCTCTATCAAGCTAATCTTGCTGGTGGCCCCATTTCAGTAATTGATTCAGGAAATTACTTTGTTCTGTCACCAAGAACATAAATATTACTAGCAACATACTGCTATTAAGTTACTTCAGAAGGCAGCTGAAGCAATTTTATATGCTCTGTTTGAGTATAAGTTACTCTTAGTAATAGCACCAATAATTATACTGAGTAATATAGGCTCTGTTATGGCAATGGTGCACTGTAAGTGTGTTACAGTTAATACTAATGATATAAAGCTTGTTCTTGGCATCAGTACTAAAATCAGATTGAACTATTTCAGTCTAATTGATGCATCTGATTATCCTGCTCCTGCTGCTATCATCTGCCATTTGTATGCTGTTTCTGTTCTGCTAACTACTACTGCCATCTTTCTGCCTCCCTCTGGTGCTGTCAGAGTCTCTGCCTGTCAAATAATAAATATTAGAGCCTCTGTCTGGTTCACAAAGCCAGTTCTGAAGAAGCAGAAGGAGAAGAAGAAGGAGAAGAAGAAGAGAGAGAAGAAAAATGATGATGATGATAAAGATAATAATGATAATGATTAACTTGTCATTTAGACAGTTTCTGTTTGTTTGCTGGCTTCAGTTATTAGTTAGTTTTAATACTTTGTTTCTTTTGACAATCAAATTGATTTTTCTATGGGTTCCACCTTCATCAAAAAAGTAACAAAATTTGGTAATGGTCCACACAAAATTTGATCAGTTTGACTCTTCTCTATAAATTTGACATGATGGGACCAGGAATCCTGGTCCCATTCTGGTCCCACTATAGACCCAGCCAGGATAGGAAATGGGAGTCTACCATCTCTGCTGGAATGGAATGTGGGACATAATTTTCTATTTGAGAATGGGACTGGGAAATAATTTCTGGAATAGGGATGGGAACAGGACCTCAAGCTCTTGAGTGGAATGGGACATGGGACTGAGATTTCATATTTGGGATCCCAGCTGTTTCTAAATTTGGGACAGGAACCAGATTCAATGGGAAATGGGATCCTGTCCTGGTCCCAAATACCAGCCTAATCCCAACTAGTTAGTTTTGAATTCAAATTATCTCAACACAACAACACTCAATTAAATTCAATTAAATTACACTTGATTGAGAACATCTTAATCTTGTATGCCCAAGAGTGCCACAATTGCTACAGCATTGTGGAGCTTGTCAGCATGGAGCAGGCTCAGATGGTGGAGAATTGCAGAATTGAATAACTGCTGGTTCAACAGGTGCTGCAGGCTCTGTAGATACTGTAGATGAATCTAGAAGACTTTCAACCTCTTCTCTAGTTAAACCTTCTACTTCTTGTTGAATTCAGCATCTAGATCTCTTGTATTTTTGCTTCTCTATCTCATTTGTGTTGAATATATCCTGGTATTACTTCTTCATAATTGTGGCACTGATCATTCTGTATTCACAGGCCTTGATAATTTGGTCAAAACCTTCCACAAAGCCTTGAGGCTGACCCTCCACTAAGCCCTTGATCTTATTCACCTGCCAGTGTAATTGCCAAGAATTACTAGATGTTTGAAGCACCCAGAACATGGTTGAATTGCTAGAGCTGCATGGGGGGATAGAAGTCTGTAGTTGAATATCTAGCTGCTGGAGGACATAGTCAGATTGAAAGAGCACTATTCCAGCTGCCTTGAAGCCATTTTGAATAGTCTGAGGTTTGAAGACTGCAGTGCATGCTGTAGGGTAAGCATCTAGAAAATCTGTCTTCTGAATGACATTAAATCCAAGCTACATTCACTACTGAACTAGATCTCCATATGCTTGCTTTAAAACTAAGAAAACACTCACATCTAGTGGCTGCAGAAGATGAAAGGAATGAGATGGCATACAAAGACATATTATAGCATTATTCTTGCAAATTTAATCAAATTCCAGGGTAAGATAACTGCTGTGCCTGTCCAAGATAAGAAGAATAGAACTACCAACTCTGTATAGATTTGCCACAGGAATAAAGACCTGTTGAAGCCATTTAAGACCTATTTCATCAGTAGTCCAGCCATTTGAACTAGTATCTAGCCTCCAGCCTTCTGGAAGGCCTTCAAACCACCCTTCCAACAAGTTCTGATCTTTGAAAATGATGTAGGAGGATAGAGTTCATCCTGAAGCATTCACTGCTTCAATCACAGTCACCCACTCACAATTGTCAGGCTGTAGAAGCTTTGCTCTGCCATAGCACTCACTACTAGTAATAATCTTAGTAGTGGTGCAGAGTCCCATAGCAAAGCCAGTCTCATCAAAGTTGTATATATTCTCTGGCAGAATCCCATGCTCAGCAATTGTATCCCCCAAGATCTTAAACCAATCCTTTATAACCTGCTGATCTTCACACTTAGCACAGTCATGATTATAGCATCTGGAATAGCAGCTTTGGAGCTCCAGATGGCATGCCACTAGATTTGACACCCAGTTCTTGCCAACATATAGGGAGGGGTTGGTGGAGGTAGTGGAATCCCATATAGTAAGAAGATAATTAGCTGTATCTTCAACCAATGCAGGCCAGAGGAGAATTCCTCATTTAGCTTGGTCCAGCACCCATTCAACTAGCCTATCTTCTTCAGCAGGAGATAATTTGTGTGAATTTGCACATAAATTCACCCGTGGAGCTCATCCTTTTAGCCAGTCATAGAGTGTAGTGTAGAGAATATTATAGACCCTAGCAGCTTCACAAATAGAGGTAATTTCTTGATTTTTAATAGATTTTATCACAAGTTCAAGTCTTCCCTCTCTCTCAATTGAATTCGAAGAATTTTTATTGCAAATTGGTGGCATAATTGTGCATTGAAGTGGAAGAGTTCTTTAATTGAGTGGAATTTTGAAATGGTGATCGGTTCGCTTGGGTGATCGGCTCGCTTGGGAATTACGTTAGTTAAGTTACGTAACTAAGCTTAGGTAAGCATTCCGGAATCCGCCACAACAATGTTCCGTTCGCCTTGAGAGAGCCGCGAGGCGAGAGGACCCGACAAGACCGGCGACGGCCTCCTACAGCTCGCTTGGTTAACTCGTGGAGCGACAATGGACGACCTTCAGTCGCTGGAGCTTCTGTCTCTGGTTTCCAGAGTGACAACCGAGCTCCAAAACCATTTAGGAATCAACGACAAGACCCTCGCCGAGTTCGTAATCGACCAGCATCTAAAATGTGGCGGATCATTCAAGGAGTTCAAGGGCTCACTCGAGGGCATGGGGGCGGAATTCCCGCAGAGCTTGATGGAGAGTATCGATCGCTTGGTGCTGGCCATGCACCCGAAGTACAAGCCGAAGCAGAATGCGACGGACAAACACTCCTCCGAGCGGGAAAACGGCAACGGTGCGAAGATAAATGATATTGAGATGAAGGCAAAGGTGTTTAAAGGGTTGGCGATGCCGGATAAGGCACCCCAATGGGAAGATGATGATTATACGAAGCCAGGAGAAATTTTGAGAAACGATGCCGGTGCAGACGTCCTAGACGATACCTTTGCGATGCTTGAAGGTCTGGCCGCGAAAGCCAGGGGCAAAGGGGATGGAGCTAAGAGTAGGAAGCGGAGCAGGAGCCCAAGTAGTGATGACTATGATCGAGGAACGCGGCGCCGAGAAAAGTACCGTTCCAGATCTAGATCACGCAGCGGTGAACGGCGCTACAGGAGAGACGAAGATTTGGCCCACGAACGGTCAGGGACAAAGTATGGAGGAAGGAATGACAGATACAGAGACGACTATAAGGATCGAAGAGGCCGGAGAGGCCGTGATGATGATGACTATTTCCGCAGACCTCCTACACCCGAACTTGACGAACGGCCGATCCTTTACAAGGTGTACGATGGACGAGTTACCGGTATAAAGGATTTTGGGGCCTTTGTCAATCTACAGGGTGTTAGAGGGAAGGTCGATGGACTTGTTCATGTTTCTGCAATGCAAGATGGTGCTAGGGTCAATCATCCGTCTGATCTGGTGTCGCGAGCACAGCCCGTCAAAGTCAAAGTCGTGTCTATACAAGGGCCCCGTATCGGCTTGTCTATGAAAGAAGTCGATCAAGTGACAGGGAGAGATCTTGTTCCTCAGAGACGTATCGCCTCCGGTGCAAATATGGAAAGACTCGATGGAACTGGAGCTGATGATCGCTATGGTAATTTAAGCTCTAACGTACATGTAATAGAGGATGATGACGACGGGAAGCCGCTGAGGAATAAAAAGCGCTTAAACTCGCCTGAAAGATGGGAGATTAAGCAACTCATTGCTTCTGGTGCCGTTTCGGCTGCAGATTATCCCGATATTGACGAAGAATATCACGCCACACTTAGGGGAGAAGGTGATTTTGAAGAAGAGGAGGATGTGGACATTGAAGTTAAGGATGAAGAACCGCCATTTTTAGCTGGACAAACCAAGCAATCGCTGGAGTTATCACCTATCCGTGTTGTCAGGGCACCTGATGGCTCGCTGAACCGAGCTGCAATGGCTGGGACAAACCTTGCAAAAGAAAGACGGGAACTTCGCCAACAGGAGGCACAGGATAAGGCTGCAGAACAAGCCTCCCACGTTGATTTAAATGCACAATGGCAAGACCCCATGATTGCGCCGGACCAAAGAAAATTTGCCTCCGAGTTGCGGACCGCACAGAAAACGGATGCAATTCCCGAATGGAAACGAGTTACCCAAAGTAAAGACGTTTCTTACGGAAAGAGAACGAACTTGACAATCAAACAGCAAAGAGAGAGTCTTCCAGTTTTCAAGTTCCGCAAACAACTGCTAGAGGCCGTCCACAAGAATCAGCTCTTGATTGTGGTCGGTGATACTGGCTCAGGAAAAACTACTCAAGTCACCCAATATCTTGCCGAAGCTGGGTTTGCAAATGATGGTATGATCGGATGTACGCAGCCTCGTCGAGTCGCTGCCGTTTCTGTTGCGAAACGTGTTGCGGAAGAGGTTGGTTGCCGACTGGGCCAGGAAGTTGGATACACTATTCGCTTTGAGGATTGCTCGAGCCCAGATACTAAGATCAAATATATGACAGACGGCATCCTTCAGAGAGAGATTCTTTTGGATCCGGACTTGAAAAAGTACTCCGTTATCATGCTTGACGAAGCACACGAGAGAACAATTGCTACAGATGTTCTTTTTGGGCTTCTGAAAAAGACTATTAAACGAAGACCGGATTTAAAGCTAATCGTTACATCCGCAACCCTCGATGCTGAGAAGTTCTCTGAATATTTCAACGGGTGCCCCATTTTTACAATACCAGGCCGGACGTTTCCTGTTGAGATCATGTATTCTCGCGAACCGGAAACAGATTATCTGGATGCTGCACTTGTCACAGTGATGCAAATTCACCTCACGGAGCCAGAAGGCGACATTTTACTCTTTCTAACTGGTCAGGAAGAAATTGACACGAGCTGCGAAATTTTGTACGAGAGAATGAAATCTCTTGGCCCAAATGTCCCGGAATTAATTATTCTTCCCGTCTATTCTGCTCTTCCCAGCGAGATGCAGAGTAGGATCTTCGATCCAGCACCTCCAGGAAGCAGGAAAGTGGTTATTGCGACGAATATCGCCGAAACATCCATTACTATAGACCACATTTACTATGTTATTGACCCTGGTTTTGTGAAGCAGAACGCTTATGATCCAAAATTAGGCATGGACTCACTTGTCGTGACTCCAATCTCTCAGGCACAGGCCAAGCAACGAGCAGGTCGTGCTGGAAGAACTGGCCCTGGTAAATGTTTTCGTCTATACACGGAGGCTGCATTCCAGTCCGAAATGTTACCAACTTCCATCCCCGAAATTCAACGCCAAAACCTATCTCATACTATCCTGATGCTAAAAGCTATGGGAATTAATGATTTACTTCACTTCGACTTCATGGACCCGCCGCCAACAAATACTATGCTTACAGCTCTTGAAGAACTATACGCCCTTTCGGCCCTTGATGACGAAGGCCTTTTGACCCGACTTGGCAGGAAAATGGCAGACTTCCCCATGGAACCAGCTCTCGCAAAAGTTCTCATCGCATCAGTCGATATGGGTTGCTCCGACGAGGTTCTAAGTATCGTAGCTATGCTTTCCGTCCAGAATGTTTTCTATCGTCCCAAAGAAAAGCAGCAACAGGCCGACCAAAAAAAGTCCAAATTCCACGATCCGCATGGCGATCACCTTACTCTTCTCAATGTCTATAACGCCTGGAAAAATTCCCGGTACAGTAACCCTTGGTGCTTTGAAAACTTCATTCAAGCTCGGCAAATGCGGCGTGCACAGGACGTTCGCCAGCAACTAGTTAGTATCATGGAGAGATACCATCATAAGATTGTATCGTGCGGAAGGAACACGATCAAAGTTCGCAAAGCGTTATGTTCGGGATTCTTCAGGAATTCCGCGCGCAAGGATCCGCAAGAGGGCTACAAGACTCTGATCGAAGGAACGCCGGTATACATGCATCCCAGCTCGTCGTTGTTTGGGAAGGCAGCGGAACACGTTATTTTCCATACACTGGTGCTGACAACGAAAGAATACATGCATTGTACAACTGCGATTGAGCCGAAGGTAGGCACAGATTTCCTATTTCACTCTAAAAGCGGATGTTACTAACATTTTTATTCGCAGTGGCTCGTCGAAGCAGCACCGACGTTCTTCAAAGTCGCTCCAACTGACCGCCTATCTAAACGGAAGAAGGCAGAACGTATCCAGCCACTCCATAACCGTTTTGCTGGCGAGGATGACTGGCGATTATCTGCTCAAAGACGACAGGGAAGAGGTGGTGGTGGTGGCACTTGGGGTTAACCATGCTTCACGTTACATGACCTGGCTGGCAACCCTGGTTGCCCTTGATGCATAGAGCGGAGTTTTTGGAAGTATTCTACACACGGGTTCAATTTGAGCTTATTTTGTATGATATATGGAGTCGCACTACCTACTTCACATATATCAGTTTTCTATCAACCGTGTAATCCATAGTTTACCATCACTCTCAGTCCCAACTGGCAAGAATATGCTTTAATCGATCCCAGAATCATCAACAATGGTTCAACTGCATTTCTCAGTGAATATACCCCGAAGTGTCTAGTCTGCAATAACCTATGTACATTACATAGCTCATGTACGTAAGGCGAGATATCATCATGTACCAAAAAACATTGACAAAACAACAAACAGTACAGAAAGCAGAGAAATAGAAGAAAGAATATAAAAAATGCATCTTATCCCACCCGTTGCAGAATACAAGACACGGAACAAACCTGAAACCATCATCCCAAGGGGCATCAATCGCCAAGTATGAGAGGCGAGCAAGAAAGCATGGAGGGAGTAGCAGGTGTAAAGCAAAGGACATGCTATACAACAACATAGCTGAGAAGCTAAAAGGATATTCAAGTCGTAACAGAAACAGAAATATCAGATCACGGGCCAATTCCAATAACCTTCCAGACGCCCCGTCCCAAAACAGTAAAAAATAACAAAAAAGATGAACTCCGGTTGGTACAAACATAGGCTTATTGCAGATAGACAAATAGGGTATATTGAGTCAACCAAGCTGGCAGTTTCCGAATGTGATGAGATACGTTGGTCAAAGAGCAAGATTGGGCACACCATCTTGGTCTATGACTACGTATCTGGTGTTATGTTTCCTAGCGGTAAGGACCTGCTGGACCCATCATTCCTGCGCCACTACGGGCGCCAACATTTCCGTCTCCTGGGTTGCCACCATGCTGCGTAAACATCTCAAGCAACTGGCGCGACGATGGCTGATGAGGACCTTGCTGTGGACCTGCTCCATAATGGCCAGGGTGTCCATGGGATAAGTTCATCATCGCCTCTACGGAATGTGGCATGAGTGGAAAGCCTGATGGTGGAGGAGCGTTCATGTTCAAATAACCTGGAGGAGGCATTATCCCAGGCGGCGGGGCGAAACCAGTCGGGCCGTTTGCACTAGCTCCCCGCTGAAATTGTGGGCGTTCCGCCGATGGCGTCATCCCTGCTGGTAAAGGCATTGGATGTGCAGGAGAGAAGTTTGCATTTATATTCCGCGTTTGTGGAGCGGGAAGGCCCGGAGGCAGCATCATTTGGTTTGATTGCTGTGGAATCTGCTGGTTTGGCCAGTTATTGGGATTAACGTGCTCAAGGCCAGGAGGTCGCTGGATATTCATGGGTTGCTGCGGTGGGCCTTGAGGGCGGAGCCCAGGCGGGTTGCTGGGAGTGTGATTTCCGCTTGTAGCCCCAGGATAGGGCATTTCGTCAAAATATCCAGTTGGTCCGCCAGTAGGTCGCCGACGAAGCTGATTCCGTGGATCATTTGCGTTAGACTGGCGGAAATTTGCAATTGCTGGATCGTCTATGTAGACCGGATTTTTCTGGACTTGCACACCCTGGTTTCCAGCCAGCAAGTCGATTAAACCCCGTCCTGCAGGGCCTTGCGAAGAAGGGGGATTTTGGCCGGTTGGTGTTTGTGTGGATAGCTTTGACTGTTGCATAAGACGCAGCAAGAATTCGGTATCGCGGCCATGAGCGTTATTCTCCTTAGGAGCTTTCTGCGCAAGTAGATTCTCCAATCCTGGCGGTGCCTTGTCTCGTGGGGCCTGATCTTGGAAATTCATATATTCCTGGCGATTGAACGTCTCTCGTAGAGGATATGTGGCCGGTGGCGGTGCCTTTGCAAAGTCAGACTGAGGAATTTGCATGAGCGGTGGACGGGGTTGGTTTGGTTCCTCAACTTGAGGGGTGGCATTTCTCGATTTATTACCCCCAAGCATTTGAAGAATACGTTGAAACCCTTCCTGGTCTGCATCCGTAGAAGCTGGTCGTGGTGTACCTGACTGCGGGGGTTCAGCCTCTTTGGCTTCATTCTGAGTGTTAAAAAATCCAGCGAATCTCGAAGATTTTACCGGCTTAGGAGTTTCTTTCTTGCTTTCGGGTGCTAAATTCTCAAGTGGAGAATCCTGCGTGGCTTTGTGCCCTCCAAAAAGTCCGAAAAAGTTGTCCAGGCCAGCGTCAGTTTGAAAGGATGGGTCAAGGCTGCTAAACATCTCGCCATCGACTCGCTTGGTTTCGACTGTCTTTGGCTCTTGCTTAGGAGGTTCGGGCTCAACCTCTTTCTTCGTATCACCAGAAACCTGAGCAGCGCCGGCCTTCATCCTCTCTTTCCATCGCTGGAAATCCTCCTGAGTGTGTGCCTCTTTGGTGTCAGAACGAGCGGTGGAATCCATCCATTCAGGGTCCTGTTCTTGCTTAACGGGCCGATTCCAATCGCGGTCTGGGCCATGTAAACCTCGGCGCCATTCGCGGTTCCGAATCGGTGTTTTATCTTCCTCCGGCTCGCCTGTATCCTGTGACTCACCATCACGGTGCCAGAATTGATCATGTCTCTGTCTAGCAGGCGTATCACGACGACCAGGGAATCTTCCCTGGTCCCTATCCCGATTCACACGTTCGCCTCCGTCTTGCTGGTCGCGATGCTCTTTTGAGTCTCTACCATCCCAGCGATCTCCATCGCCACTTCGTCTAGGTCTTCTGTCACGATCTTCTTCCAGTCCAAAATTTCGTCGTGGTCTACTATTCCAATCTTCTCGATCATCTCGGTTCATCCGACGGCCATTAGTAAGGTTGGTTCGGTTATCTCTTCTATCCGGATCTTTATCCCTGTCTCCATATTCTCTGTCCTTGAAGAATTTGTCACGGAAACCTCCAAAACGGTCTTGTTTCGTATCATCGTGGTCGTTGTTCTTGAAAGATCTGTCGGTAGCATCAATTGATTTTCCAAAGCCCCTGGTGGCAGAGGCAAATGAAGTTTTGGGGGGACCAAGGACGAGATCTTCTGAAGGAAATCAGTCAGTACACAACAAGCCTGGTTGTCTCAGAAAACTATATGGAGTATCACCTGAATTAGAGGTGCGTGAGATATGGCGCGACTCAAAAAAACTCGGGCGCCGCTGATTATTGGCCGACTCCAATTGATTTGTTGGATCTCGGGGGTTTTTCTTCTGAGCGGTGGGGTCTGGGATAGGGCTATTGGAGCAACAATATCTCCAGTTAGCGATTAGACCTACAATAGAAAAGACCCAAAAATCGTGAACCTACCCCATCCATTCTTCTATAGGTGGTAAATTATCCGGCTTGATCACTAAAGGGGATTCGCGAAGGCGTAAAAGCTCCTCGGGCTGGTATCGAATGATAGCCATGGGCTCGTGTGGTACGTGGGTACTGTCTAATTGGGCCTCATGGCACAATCAAGCTGAAAGGGAATGTAATCACGCGACAGTAGGCTTCGGATATTCAACTAGGATTCGATGAGAGTAGAGGATTTGCTTTGGTAGAAGTGGAGTGCAAGAATGAGGTTGGGAAGATGGGCGGTTGGGAGGAGTTGCGGGAGCAAGGATGGCCAGCGGCGGCGGCAGCACTATTCCTGGGCAGCAAGAGCGGGTGTATTCGAGCTTCGATAGTTAGAGTTGGAGCACAGAGTTCAAAGTGAGGGAAAATTGAGGTATCTTTTGCTTTCTAACTGTTTGTTAACCGGGGAGGCGATAAGGTGTCATTGGGCAAGGGAGCATTGGGGGGATGTGAAGGGAAACTGATGGAGGCGATTTTAGAATTTTTCTGGGCCACCAAAACCCGCCATCCACCACCAGGAGATCGCCGCAACAACCGCATTTTGGCTACGCACACTACCAGAGAAACAGCCACAGTGACAGGGCCAGGCAGAGGGAAGACAATGGAGGAAGCCCGCAACAATGTGCGAGACATAGTTATTGAGTTGTGAGTAAGATATGTCATCCTGTGGTTCGAATGGATGCTCATGATACTGCTTTGGATACACTACATTTTTACATTTTTCTCCAGAAAAGATGTGTCGGCTCTAACTAGTATAAAACATGAAGCTTCTATCCCGATATCTGAGCTATTGTCTTTGGCAAAGCTAAGCCACTCCAGCGATCAATCCACTCATGATCACAGCCATCGTAGAGCTCTCTTGCAAGCGCCTGCAAGATCTGTCTTTGGGAGACACTTGCCGGAGTTTGACTTTGGATCCAGCTGATCGCCGCAGCGCGAGTTAACAGAGTGGTATTACCGCCAACCTCGCAGGCGCGAAAGACCAAATGTAGTATCTTCTTCCGTAAGCTTTCCGAGAGGTTCGGTGAACTGTATAGGGAAAGCAGACGTTCGAAAACACTAGCACGGCGGTAGATATCCAAGTCCTATGGCCACTATCAACATCCTCGATTCCTTACAGGGTTCTATTACTACTCACCTTCTTTGATCTAAGACCGTTAACAAACAGGTCCAACAGCCAACTAACTTCCTCGTAATGACTGTCGTCGTATTCCGATTCGTGCAAAAGGATCTTATCAATCCAGTAAGACGGGACTTTTGCAATTTCCCAGAGAGGTCCCTTGTTTAAGAACGTATTTGCCTTGCCATAAAGCTTGTGCAACGGGTCCATTAGTGCTTCCAGTAATCGGGCACCAAGCTCGCCAGCAATATAGGGCAACGTGTTTTCGACTCCGTTCTCTTTAGCAGTCTCCAGCAACTCTCCCATTAGAACGTACATCGTCTGACGTTCCGAATAAGTAGATTCCTAGAACGAATATTAATATCATTATAGCAGGCTCTCGTTTTATACTCACTTGAAGCCTGGCCATAAACCGCGAAATAGCAATAATGGCCTGTCGTCGAATCTCCTCATGCTCCGAACAGAGGCATAATATCAACTCCCCAACATAGCCTTGATCCAGTGCCAATTCTAGATCATCTTTCTCCCAGCGATGAAGTCCGGGGTGTGATTCGTCTTCGACAGGACATTTGCCAAATATATCCGGAAGTGATACTTGGATCTTTTCACTGGTTGAAACTTGCGGCGTAATACTCCTAGTCGTTCTTTTCTCATGCTTATCTGAAGACATTTTCTCTCGACTTTTGAGAGCCTTTTTCAGCAGCGATCGGCTTTTCTTTGTCTCAGTTGCTTCCATCATGGCATCCCGGAGTCTGGCCAATGCATTCTCCTCTTCGCCTGCGTTCTTCAGTGACCCAAGAAGCTGGGCAATCCAGCCTGCAACTGCCACTTCACTATCCCTATTCCCAGCTTTGACCACGAACGACCACTGTTCATTAACCGTAGTAGCAAGTAAACTAAGTTTCTGCGAACCGCTTCCCAATAGAGACTGTCCCTGGTCCAGATAAAGTACTGGCTTTTTGACAAGTCTCGTAACACAATTATCAATGAAATCAAGTTGGGCCTTGAAATCCTCTGGAGCCGAGACCGTTAGCCCTTGAGTTAAGGCGCTAAAAGACTCTCTATCTGCTAAGACCGAATTGTGAACCAATATATCTTGAAGAAGAGGCTTAATTTCTTCAAGGGGAGAGTTGTCCGGTGCACTTGCAACTACTTTCAAAACGGATGTAAATGCGGAAAATTCCAAGGACCCTAGGACGAAGTTAGTATGAAGTTACCTTGGAAAAAGAGTATGTTGTGGAGACATACCGGGCTTCTGCCACCAACGCATCGTCGGGGATTCTTGGGCAATGATTAAAAGGCTCTGTAATTGACTAAACAGCAGTTGCTTATCATAACCAGAGAGCTCAGAGTTGTCCAACTGCTTCAGGACATCGACCAACGTTAGAGATACGTCGAACTTTTCCTTCAAGGCGATCGCCGGGATGACTTGATAAAACATTGACAGCAGCTCTAGCACTGCATCCTGTTGCTGTATATTGTCTTTTGGGGTCTGTCGAAACGCAGCAATCGCGTCTTTCATTGCAGGACATCTTCTACAAAACTCCGCCACTAGTTTGGCAGCTGCATCACTCCATAGATCCTGGCCAACATCCCTTGAGCATTCAAACAACTTCAACACCGCCTGAAGCTTTCGCAATGCAAGCGTTGTGATTCTAATGGCAAATAAGGTAACCACGTCGGCGTTCTGATTTATACACCGCGTCAATATTTTTTGCGTAAGCGGTCGAGGTATTATACTTTCGATGACAATAGAGATGGGAGGCGGTATCACCGGCGGTGACACCCCTTTCCACCCGCATTGCGCTGGTACCGGTAGCTGGACGGACGAAAACAGGAATGCGGACTCTCCAAGCCAGCTGGGGGTGGGTTTGGGGTCCGATGTGAACATGGTTCGTTTGGAGAAAAACTCATAGACGAGTTCGGGTGCTGCTCTGAATATCTTCAAAAGCAGTTCCATCTGTAAAGTGTCGGATTCTGGTCGAAGAAATTGGACCAAAGAAGAGAGATTTCCGTTCCGAACGGGTACTGACTCTTTATATTTGTCGAAATAAACTGGCGAATCAAGGCCAAGAGAAATACATCCAGTATCTTCCGGCGGGAGCACATTTGGAGTACTCCCGAACGGATACCATCCGGTTTCTGGCAGCAAGACTCCCTTTTCCTGGGACGTACAAATGGACAACATAAACTTGTGAATTTCATCGGAGACAGATTCGTTCTTGATGGTGGGTTCAGTGGAGTCTTTTTCGTATCCATATAGTGTGACCAACCTTTCCAAATTGCTGCGATTGAGGAAACGGCTCTTGGAATTGCGTGGAAGTTCAGCATCGCTTACAATATGCTTGTCGATAGTCTTAATAATATCAATAACAATGTCGCGTGCATCTTTGCGAATCTCTTCCAGGAAGGCTTTGATAAGTTTTCCCTGGCTGACGAGCTCCTCCTTGGCGCTTGCGCCTTGAAACTTGAAGTTTGCCAGGAGGTAACGTTGCGCTATGCGTCGAAGAGAGGGTTTCCGATGGTCTTCTGGCTCCTCCTCAATATTCGATTTACGGCCACTGAGAAATATATCGAGGCGTTTAAACGTGATATATCGGCTTGCATAGACAACCCTGGCGATAGCGCCTCCATCAAAGCTCACGACCTCCGTAAGTAGTCGTAAACACGGCGAGATCAAATGCTCCTTGGATTTACTCGCGGTAAGCCCTCGATTGAACAATTTTAGTTGGTCTTTTTGCAATAAAAACTTGCACAGCGCCAGCCCAAAATCCCTAAAACTGAGCTGTCCAGAGACGGTTTTCAAGAAAAGGGCAAGTACGGAGGGTATCAAAGACAGGAGAGACTCCTCGTTATTACTCTCTGCAAAGGCCCATGTTTGTAAAAGGTCAAGAAAGCAGGCCGCTGGCTTGCCCTCGGCATCCTTTACAACTTGCGAGTCGCAATAACTTTTGAGGATCTGCAGCTTTTTTGCTTTGGCTTTTTCATCTTCTTCACTGCCAATTGAAGTAAGAAAGTCCTTAAAAGTCCGGATACCTATACCCGTATTAGCTTTTGATTAATGGGGTGCGAAATTTCTGTTGAGCGGTAGCTACGCACCTTGCTTCACTTCTTGCGAGACGCTCTGTTGGAATACAAGAAGACTTCGAAGTTGATGGGACGAAGCTATCGCGACGGGCTGCGTGATTCCACTGGAAGATTCATTGAAAATTTTTCTCCTTTTCGCTTGAGGCTCGATCTCATGTGAATCGGCCATTTTCCCCGCGAACGATTGATTTTGCAATTTCGGCGGAATTTTTGATGCTTTGAGCATGGGAGTTCGAGGCAAAAATTGGATGCGCGATCTGATTGGTTGAGCGCTTTGCCTTCGACGCATCACAGTCCATTTGAAGTCAAATCCAACAGGGACCCGAGACACAGATTCTTGATGATTTTGATTCTTATTCAAATTTGGCTGGGTTGGAACCTTTGTTCTATCCGATCACAAAATTGGATATGTATTACCTGTTCATCTGGTTTCGCAAAAATACTAAATGCATCATGGATTTATTTTGCGTGCATGACTTTCTGAGCTACAGAAGGTAGCACAGTTAGTACTGGGAGTTTTATAACTACAGAGCTCCAAGTTAACAGTAACTGATAGTCAACAGATATTCCATTCGGAGTATTAGCACAGTAGGTATCATAAATATTATCACTGAAATTCAGACCATTTTAGCTTTTGCTTTGACTTGTTCAACAAGTTTGCTCAGATCTTCTGTTTCAGGCATCCTGTCCGGGCCCGCAGTCTTGCCCCTTTTCTTCTTCTTTATTGGCTCTACAGCATCTCCGTCAGGCTCATCATGGGCCAGATGCCGTCGGCGTTTCCGGCCTTCTTCCAACAATGCCTTCATGCCATCAGTCTGCCTGAAACGAGGGTTGGTAGGATCAATAGCGTATTCATGACTCTCGTAAATACGCTGGAACCTTGGATCTTTAACGTCAACCTTGAAATCGTCAACTGGCATCGTGGCTTCGTCTTTCTTTCCTTTCCTATGCTTGCCTGCTTTCTTCGCGCGTTTTTGAGCTTTCTCAATTTCATTCATGTCGAAATGCTTTATTGTGGAGGTTTTGTCGTCCATCATCAAAAGTTCTAGCTCCGCACGTTGAGCGGCTGAAGCAGCTCCATCAGCTTCACGCTGCTGCCGTTGTTTCCGTTTCTCTTCCTTCCTCTTTGCAGCCACTTTGGCCGAATCTAACTCAGGGGCAGTGAAGAATGGGTCGTCAAACCCGAGATCTTCTTCCTCCTTGGATTCCGCTGTAGGCTTGTCAGCGTCAATCTCAGGAACTGTCCCCGACTTAGCAGCTTTTAGCTTGGCCTTTCGTCGCTGTTTTCTCTCCCTTTCTTTCCTGATGTATTTCTCTCTCGTAGTCTCTTCCTTTTCAGGCTCATTTTCAAAGACAGAGTCTCGAGCTGGAGCCGCCGTTAATCCAGCAGCAAACGTGACTTCCATATCGCCAACAGGCCCCTTTTCCTTTGCCTTGCTTGGCGCATCATTACTCAGTCCGAGTAAGGCCCGGATTCTGGCCCGTTCGGCCTCCTTTTTACTTAGTTTCGTGCTGGCACCAGCGGCCTCGGTGCTATCGACTACTTCAACGTGTTCCTCCTCACTATCAGAGCTGTCGCTACCCAAATAAGCCTTCAAGTCATTTTCATCAATTTCCTTTTTGCCTCCTTTAAATGCTCTCGCTTGTGCGTCTTTTCTCGCTTTGTCATCTGTGTCCCACGTAAGCTTTACTTTGCTGTGCTGTAGGGCGTCTGTTACAAATTCGTTGGGCTTGTAACCGTCTGGTATTCTGTTGCATTCATCCCTTGGAACATCTTCGGCAAAATCTGTGGATTCGGGCACAAATCTTAGGTCAAAAAAATTCGCGCTGCTCATATACTCTGTGCCGTCGACTGTGTCGTAAATATGCTTCGCAGCATCCTTCGACGAGCATGTTAGGACGGCGTAAAAGTACCGAAGTCTTTCCAGCTGATACTTCCGCAGTTGTGTAGAATCAAAATCTTGCCCTTCGTCTTCTTTCAAAATGGCCTGTTTGATTTTCTCTTCCTCCTCTTCATCGTCGCCTGCTTCCACATCGCTATCCACCTCGGCATCCCTTTTCGCGAATACCTCCTTCGGTGGGCCTTCCATCTCCTCTCTTTCCATCCTCTCTTTCCCAAATTCACTCGGATAAACGGCCACATTCAGAATCTTCCCGCCAGTGGGGAGGAAACTCGAGAACACTGCCATCAGATCTTCCGCACGGATATGATCCCAATCCAAATTCACCACCGCAATCCTGTCCGTGATCTCTCCCAATGGAATATCCCCTGTTTGGCTATCAAGTTGTCCCGACTCCGCCGCCTCGTCTTGCAACTCCGCCTCACTCTCCTCATCGCTCGAGCTCTCTTCTGAAGACGACGATTCCGAAAACCCTCCATCTCTGGCAGGGTCATAGTCCTCCTTTTCAACTCGAAGCAGCTCCTTCTGAACTTCCTCGTCATCATCCGCACTAATCTGTCCTTCGACGTCGTCCTTATCCAATCTGTAGAATTTTTCCAACTGCTTCTTCGTATCATCCCGGCGTAATTTCCTCCCATAACGATCAACTGCTGCATTTCTTGAAAAGTCTTTATCATGGAACATATGCGCGAAGCGCTTGTCGATTTTTACACGTGTATGTTTCTTGCTCGGAAGTCGATATCGAGGATCCGACTGGATATTGGCGAAACGAGGATCGGCTAAAATCAGCGGACCGTTGTTAGTAAATCCCTATAGAATATTAACCCGCAGGTATGTGGAACAACGTACTGATGACATCTTTATCAGCTTTATCGTTAGAACTCGTTTTGCGCCTCTTGGGCGACTTTTTCATTGCACTGGACTCCGGCATTGTGGGAGTCGCTTAGGGATTTAGTTCAAAATTATCAAACTTTGGAAATAATAATTTGATGTTCATAAAAGTATGTAGCTATGTAAAAAACGCCCTTCGAGTGAACTGGATATTCGATCGAATGTTGGCATCTACGCCTGCGGTTTTCTTTCTCGAAGCCGCTCTGTACAAATTCTGCTGGACATACAGATGGTCCGTGCGCTTATCGCCGTGCTTATCTCCACCCACCATCAGATAAGTCTGGGCGAGGAGGACAAGGAGGATAAGGACGTTAATGCACATTATGCGCGGTATGTATGTAGCTACGGCAATGCGAAAAAAGAAATGATTCTCTAAAAGGTGAATATGGCTTCCTCTATTTAGTAAAACACAGTTGACCGTACGGAATGTCGAAACCAGTCTGCCAAATCGTGGGCGTGTCCACCTTGCTCTAAGTCTAGTTCCTCCTACTCCTCTCTCGCCACGCTCAACAAGTAACATAGGACTCAAGACGACTGGCAGTCAATTTGGCAGAACCGGCCATAAAGCGGCACTATCGTGGTCCTTCTTGTGAAATGAGAGCGGAACAGCCAAATACGGAGTCGTCCCAGCAAAAGACTGCCGTCTTAAAACGGTTACACGTTTTGAGCCAGAACAGGGTATTGGAAATCCGTTATCTAACCCAGATTTTGCAACAAAAAGCAAGACTTAACCATTTAGTGGGACAGCCGACGTTGGTAATTCGGCCTCGTTTCGGGGTTGTGGCGCTGCGCGGCTCCGGTTATAATGCGATGGATATGTTTGACAACCATATCTAGAGCTATTAACTCCGTTATAGTAGCACAATGCGGGGACTCCTCATACCAATAGCTGTTTTGTTCTCTATTCCTCGGGGGACAATTATGTCTTCGTTGACATCAGTTAAGGCTCTAATCACGGCATCTGGCTCGTCTGGTACCTGAAATCTGCCTCTGGGGCTCCACAAACCGGTTGTACGACGGTTTAACAAACTTGAACCACTGTTTAAGTACGCTTTCAAGTGTCCGGCCCCTTTCTCGAACGTCTCGCGCAACTATTAAATTGCGTATCAATCAGTTACCATGTTCGGCCATGAAGGTGACCTGTCTGGCTGCTCACTCCTTCTCCCAAGGCAGACATCCATATCCGCTTCCACAAAGATCTGGCGCGCAACCAAAAAGGTCAGAATCTGCTATTAAAGCGTGGCAAAGGGCGCCACGTGCCTTAATATCCAACATATCCACTATTCTTGGGTCTGTAAAGGCTAGAATTCCTTCCAAAATAAGCACCCGGGGTGGGTAAAGGGAGACTGTTGCTTCCTCTCGCTGGTGCTTTGTGAAAGAGTAAATGGGGATTTCGACTTTGAGACTTTTGTCGCTGTCAGTAGCAGCTCGACTTGGCTAGACGAGGAGCCGGTTATATCAATACCCTTGCTTCAAATTTTGAAGAGTCTGTACCAAGACGTCAAAATCGATGGCATCGGGAGAGTCGAAATCGTATTCATCCTGGTGGGCGATAGCGTTCTGCTCGGGGGTAAGGCTTTTGTAGAAGTGGTCCTTTTGCCGTCCTTTCTCGTCAGGGAATCTCATGGAGAAAGGGACGACGGTTTAGGGCAAGAGATCATCTACCATGACCAGTATGACCGCTCCGGGAAGATTCAGGGACTTGATGATTTCCGCAGCGACGGACGACTTTCCAGATCCTGAGCTCCCGGCAATGCCTATGATGCTCATGTCCTCCCATGGTCGAGAGCACCGCGATTTTGTCTCTGCCATCCTTGAATACAGTATCCAAGAAGAACTATCCGCCGGGTACCTACGAGATGTATGTGACTAAGGAGTACCATACATCCGTGAGTTTGGCACGGCCGGAATAGTCCAAGATGATAAGTTCGCTAGGCCAGCTTCATAGTTACCGTGTGCTTGAGGGGAAAGGACGGAACTATATATACGATATGCTCAGACGAGCATCGATACTTCTCAAACATGCGGAGTAGAGTGAACGACCAGAGCTTGCGGGACAGCAAACCAGCCACCCAGTTTAGGCCTGGGCGGCGGTCATGTGAGTGTGCCCCGGATCACATGATGTGACCAAGCCCCAGGCAAACGGCGCTAGCCGAAAGCGTGAATTTCAACTTCCACCCGACTTCTCTTCTTCCTCTCTTTCTCCTCTTTTTTCTCTTCGACAAATCCTGCTTCTTGTCCTTATGGCATCCCACCCACCGCTGCCAACAGGATATATCTTACAACACGGCCTTTCTTTTCATTCCCCTTAGACTTTTAAGAATGGCTTCTACTAACATTGTACGTGTCCGCGCCTGCGTGCCGGCCAATGACTCTTACAGGTTGCTAATCGGTCATCCCGCAGATGTCTCCAACACCTTCCACCACCACGCCTACCTGGCACCGGTTCGAAAGGAAGGTGGAGGAGGTGAAGTCATCCAAAAGGTGAGTGTGCTTCCCTCCTAATCCATTCTTTTCTTGCCACACATGATGTATGCAATTCAATCAAATGGGAATCTCTCTGAACAAATCATTGAGGAGAACCTTTAATATCTCGTATTTTCTGAACTCTATTCTCAAGTTTATAGCTTTCACTTAGTTCGTTTTGAACGACCTTTACTGATGGTTCGTGGCAGTGATATCAATTTCCTGATTATGGACTATCTCGTTACAAATGGATATCCCTTAGCGGCAAAGAAATTTGCGGTCGAGGCCAATATCCAACCTCAAGCAGACATAGAATCTATGCAGGAGCGAGTAGATATTCGGAATGCTATCTATTCCGGGGACATACAGTCGGCAATCGAGAAGATCAATGAACTTAACCCTCAGGTATGTCACATTCGCTTACATTTGCCCATCCTTTATTGCAATGATTAAATCAGTTTCATGCACCACTCATATACCTTCATGGTGTTGATGAAAAAAACTCATCTTCAGTCCTCAGTATGACTTGCACTACTTTTGATCCACGTGATTTTGAATTCTTCGATTCCCGTATGCCTGTATTAACCCTTCGGTTAGATTTTAGACTGTAATTCTTCGCTTCACTTCGCACTCCTTCAGTTGCAACTGATCGAGCTGATACGGACTTGTACATCGACTCCTAATGGTGACATCTCCCTCGCACTTGACTTCGCAACATCGCAACTAGCCCCGCGGGCCCCGACCAATCCTCAATTTCTTGAGGACCTAGAGAAGACATTGTCCCTACTAATTTTCCCAGCTGAAAGTCTCTCTCCATCATTGGCTGCATTGCTGGATCCAGAGCTACGAAAAACAATTGCAAATCGTGTTAATGAAGCTATCTTGCACAATCAAGGTGCCAAACGTGAAGCTAGGCTTCGAAACTTGGTGAAACTACGAGCCTGGGCAGAACAAAAGGCCCGCCAAATGAAAAAGGATGTTCCCGATAAACTTGATATCGGACTCGACGGAGATACCCGGAAAGCCAATAATGCTTCAGATGCTTCTCAGCATAATGGAGATGATGTCGTCATGCAAGAACAGGCGGATGTGGACCCTATGATTTCATGATTGAACATATGATACCCCATTCATTCGCATTGTAAAGGGTGCATTGCACTGCTGTTGATCTTTTTAATGATCATTAGGGTACTTGGTTGTCTTATTAGCGAGGTGTTTGGGAGCTTGTCTTTTCCCGGTACCGGATGGGAAGCATTGGCTTAACCTGAGTTGGGATGTCTTCAAATTGCCTTGAGCTCTGGATTTGCTGACTCACACTTATTTATATTACTGAATTATGTAGCTACTTCAATCTGAATTTTGACCTAAAATATTATTGAAGTCACATTGTGTAGAAACCTCAGGCCTGAGACTGGAAAAGAGCGAAACAGTCAAAAGTAGGCAACAAACAAAAGATTCAAATCAGGGTATATTTAGAAATTCATCATATCTCTTCCAAACATCGCCCTCTTTGCCCAATCCATTGACAACATCACTCTCGTCCTCAAACTCACGCTTTGAGCAAAATAAATACTGCGCCATAAATACACCGCCAGCAGTCCACCTCCCCAACTCAACCCGTTAATATCAAACACAGCCGCATTGCCGATGTACGCCAGACTCCCAAGATGCTTGTATTCAAACGCCCGGTACACGGATTCATCCAGGGTCGCATAATCAGTCTCATTGGCCTTGAGGTCTGGTGAAACAGAAGCCATCTTATTGAATTTTCGACCCAGGTACTGACCCTGCTGATTTGCTCGCTGGGCTGTAGCGGGAAGGGAAGTGAGCTTCGTGTCTATTTGTGAGAGGAGTTCGTGAAGTTCGTCGAAGTCGAGGGTGCCACTTCGGTCCTTGTCGTACTGCTCGAATAATCGGTCCAGTCTTCTGAGGTGATTGGAAGCCTGTGGGAACCGCTTCTTCACACGTGAGGCTACATCACGCCATTCTTTGAAGGTAAGGTGGACTTTCTCCGGGTCCCTGCCTTTCTCCCAGGCAACGGTGCGCAAGAAGCTTACTAGGTGATCTGCTACTTTGTTCTGGACGGTTGAGCAGTCTCCGATGGCATACACATCACCTGCGGGAGCACCAAGGAGTCGGAGGTGAGTGTCAGTTTCGAGAGCGTGACGGTTATTCTGGCCTTTGAGCTTCTTGGAAATCTTCTGACAAAATTCGGTTTGGGCTTGAAAGGAAGATCAGCGAAAAAGGCTAGATAAAGCATGAAGAAGAGACTCTTACAAACTCCGGTTGACCATAAACAGAATCCCATGGGGATCTCTTTTGTGACTGGTTTGCCGTTTTCCATTTGGGTAAAAAGGATCCTATCGGGCCGCACCTCTTTCACTCTTGAATTTGTCAGAACCTCCACTTGGTCATGGGCAAATCGTCGCTGAGGTTGGTGTTAGTCGAATTTTTTCACAGAAACGGCACCTAGACAAGTCACATTCTCATACCTCTGCATAGAGTGAAACAGTTTCATCATAGGTGTTTAGGATATGGCTCCTGCTCTGGATTAGATGCACGGAGATCTCGTTTCTCAATATTTTGGGAAACGACCGGAACAAATCTTCGTTCAGCATATCAAACAACTCTGCGGCAAATTCAACACCGGTTGGACCGCCGCCGCAAATCACAAAAGACAGAAGTCGTTTCCTTTCCGCATCACTGGTAGTCGGCAAGCAGGCCAATTCCAGATTGTGGAGAATCTTGTTTTTTATTTGCCGCGCATCGTCTATCGATTTCAAAAAGTTGCAATGTTCAAGTCCTTTCACTCCGTGCGGATTTGTAGTGGAACCTTGATGAAAGCATCAGACCACGGAGAAAAAAGAGAGAGAGAGAGAGAGAAAATCGGGCTCTTACCAACTCCTATAACCAGTTTGTCATAGGGAAGATAGAAATTTTGCCTTACGCCATTGCAGTCCACTTGCGACACTTCCACAAGCTTCTCCCCAAAATCCAAGTCAACTGCTTCTGCCCGCAGAAAATGACCTCGAACACGCTGTACAATTAAACGAATAGGTTCAACCAAAGATCGAAGCCCCAGTGTACCGACAGTAGCCGATGGCAACATCGGAGTGAAAAGAAAGTAGTTAGTCGGAGATACCACCGTGACATGGTAATCTCCAGGATTCAACGACTTCAATAGAGCAACACTGCCCCACCCAGTCCCCAAAATAACAAGCTTGGGTTTATCCTTTTGAGCTTCTTTATCATCTGAATCACTGTCATCAATCAAAACATCCGCAATAGGCAGACTCTTCGGCCCGCCCCGTCTCGGGTTCAATGCCATTTCCGAAACCGGAATATCCTCAACGACTGGTTCGTTGGCGTACGTAGAGGCATCATAGATGAAAAATGCAACAACAAGACCGGCGCTGAATAGCGCGAACATGCCACTAAATGCGAAAACACTGAATATAATTTTCCTAGCTCTACCACGCGGCTTTATATCTCCTTTTGTCGACGAAGGTCCGGTTGACGCATGGCGTGCTGGCGCGAAAGGGGTAAGGCTTGCTGGGGAACATCGCACCCCGCGGGGCCGCGGAACAAGATTAGATGGACGGGGAATATATAACGAAAGATTTGAAGTACCGATCAAAGGATTGGACAGTGGTGACACGCCATTGACTCGAGTAGAATGACAAGCTCTTGTCACGCTTGTTATTTGAGGTCGGCCAAGTCGGCCTCTCAGCGGCGGAGCGAGCATGATACTCGAGCAGGAAACATGGATTGCCAAAAGAGGGAGAGCAAGACAAGACGAAAAGATTGACTCCTTCAGCTAACCCATTGACCTGATGAGATGAAGAGAGCTGGAGCTCCCTGCCGCGCGACTCCGTGAGGTCATTCCCAACCTCTCGACCGCCTCGTCGCCGTAAATGCCCGACGATGTCATAATGGAGCAAGATGTCACGTGGATTCAGGGGTGGTGGCTGCCCCGTTGGTGGCGTCCCAGCACAAGCTCTGCCAAGTCACATCGACGATCGGCTTGGCATCTCTCGGCAGATCCGCGGTCACTTCAGGGGAAGCGTGTCACCGGGTTGTTGGATAGAGCAATACGTTGCCCAAAGGTATAGAAGTATGATACAGATCTATATTGTTGCCACATAAATATGCTTGCTATAAAATATGCCAAAAGATTGCCCCAAAACACATACGAGAGCATAAGAGCCATTTCAAATGTTTCATGTCAAGGATCGAAAGCCCATCCGTCCTCCTAAAGTAGACTGCCATATCCTCACGCCATCAGGCCATCCATATTCGCAAGAAATATAATTAATTGTCCCAATCTCCATATTGCCGGTTTATGTTCAACGCCATGTATGCTTCGTTACTAGTCAAAGTCACCATCTTGTTCTGAATCAGTGCTGCCTCTCTTTTTCGTGTTTTTGGGTCGACCCTTTTGTCTCGGCCGCTTCGGCGCATTGCCGCTTGAAACTGAACTTCTGCGCTTGCTTGGTCTGGAACCATTGGTAGCACCCAACATTGCGCTCATGTTGCCAAAGTCTGCTGCAGAGTCATTGCCATCCCGGTCATCATCAGCGGCAACTCTCAATTCGTCGTCAATCGACATCAAAGTCGCAAACTCTCGACAGACCCTTGTCATTCCCTCGGTATTTTCCAGAGAAGCCATCGTCTTCGATATCGCATCCCACAATCGATCACCCCCGATGCCTTGCACTTTCGTTAGGCTCTTATTTAGATCTTTTGCACTTGCTTTACTTTCTTTCGGCATTGAATGGAAGCCAACGCCATAAAGACGGCGAAGGTATGTCCGAGTCTCCCAGAGCATCGATAAGGTTGCTGCTGCGGTGGCTAGCTGCTTCAATGAGTTGGGGTCCACTGAATGTGGTGCTTGATCTGCCGCAGCCCCGTCTACTTGCATTTGTTCGTTTGGGCAATCAATTTTCACGGGAAATATATCTGTTTCGATAGCATGAGCCACAGTGGTGCCAGTTGACGCAACGATGCGTTCCATGCATGCAACAGTGGCAAGGAGCTCTCCTATCTGTGCGTACTCGAAGTAGGCCAGATTTTGGCATACAAACCTTGCTAGCAACATATGTTCCGGTGGACTCCCGGCTACGTCAAGTGCGCGGGGCTGAAAATCAACCTTCGAACAGAGATTCGTCAAAAACTTCTTTTGATATTTGCTGTTACTTATCTTAATGATCTCGAATAGGGCTGCCAGTTTAGCTGAGAATGGGCGCGTCGAAGCTCCGGTCGGGTCGCCGACCACATCTCGCTGGTAGTAGAAAGCATCTTGAACGGCCCGCATATACTCTCGGTCGAACATTGACTCATGTTGCTGGTGAAGCATCTTATGCGTTTCAAAAGCGACGTTGGCAATGCTGGCATTGGTGGAGGTTTCTAAAGCAACAAGAACCCCAGCACACTCCTTCGGATGGATGAGACCCTGCCGATTTATACTAGCGATCAATTCGATTGCAGTTAAGGCATGGGAATCTTCTTTTGATAGAGCCGCATGAAGCATTTGCTGTAAGAAGTGTTGAGCAATCAATGCTGCTGCGCCGTCGTTTTCGCTAGCCTTCAAAGAACCGCCAAGACGCGTAGAACCCTCGCTCTCACCGTTGGTATCTTTAGTTTGGATTAACTTCTCCGATTTTCCCTCGTGAATAGAGAAAAATGCCAAAAACCCTTTCAAGACAATGTTTTGCAAATCTGGGCTGTCTTCTTCGAACACAGAGGTGAATGCAATCTTCGCTGGTTCCCGGCTATACTGGGCCGGCCATGTTTCACAAATGGCTCCCAAACTCTCGAGCGCCATGACCCTTAATTCGTGAGGATATTTAGACGACGCGAACGGCGATATAAAGTCGACCATTAAACCAGACACCGACGTTGCCTTCATGTGAGGAAACGACTGTGAGAAAAAGGCCAGGAATGACTCCAAATCACAATGTTTTCCGACACAGCCGGCAATCCGTATATAGCTCCTGACTCGTCCGAGTACATCGGCGCTGGTAGAGGGATCTACTTTGGCACTTACGGCTTGGTTGATACCCTTTAGAACAGAAATCGTAAGTTTCACCAAGCGTTCAGTGTTTTGTAGAACACCGTTGATCGTCCAAAGACATGCCATTACTTCATTAAGCTCTGTCCTCGCCAACTTCGACACGCTCTTGAAAAGGTCATTCTGGATGTCTTTAAGTAAAGTGTTATGAGACGTCGATAAATATGGTAAGACGCATCGGTAAATGACAACGACAGATCGGAATAACATGAGATCGTCAGCATTTGAGAGATGGCCAATATAGGGGTGAAGAGTTTCGAGCTGATCAGGGGTGAACAGCTTGGCATTCGCCCTCGCGAAGACAGTAATGGATTGTAGCAGTGACTGTAGCGTTCGTTTGTCTGTCTTGTCCGAATCGTGTATGATACGATCGAACATGGCAGCAACCACAGCCTTGCAGACATTAAAATTCAACGAGGCGGATTTTGCTTCAGCGGAAAGTTCATCCTTCACAAAAGCTTCGAACGTTGCTATGACACCCTCGTTCCTTCGCACCGACCCAACAATAAGATTCATCAGGTTTTTCAACGAAACTTTCGATTGTGGAGTGCCTTGCGTTGATTCGGTGAAAGACGAATGCAATGGCGAAAACCAAATCTCCTCTAGAGCTTGACTCGCTTGAACAGCCACGCTGCTTTCGTAATCGGTTACTCTTAGCAGTAACTGCTCGATGATGGTGAGCTTTAGTTCTTGATTAGACGTCTGAATATAGACATCTTTCATCAACCCAATAGCACGCTTTCTAACGCCAACAGTTGGGTCAGATGAACAAGCTAAAATTGCACGGCAACAATTCTCCTCAAGGCCTGGTTTCAGGAACATGCATTTCGCAATTAGACTTAGAGCGGAGTCGCGAACCATAGGCGATGAGTCGGTTGCACATCTGAGAATCAAGGATATCACCGATCCGTCCCGGTCAAGCAGGCTAGGATCTCGTTCAAGCATGTGGATGACGCTCTTTAAACTTCTACTTCTCACTTTAGCCTGATCGCTCGTTATTGAATTGAGAAGCACTTTGACAATTGTGTCGAATCCTTTGCAGAAACCACTACTCAGGACTATGATAAGATAGGCAAACCGAGCTTGCTGAGTCGAGATACGGTCAAACGCGCTAACACAGGGCAAGTCAGAAAGTGAAATATGTCTCGCAAGGGCCCTTACATACCTATTAGATTCGAGCCATTTTGGGTTGGAAAGTATATGACTCAAGGCTTTGGCTAGTTTACCAGCCCCTTGCGGATTTTTCGTTGAACCGCCCTGAGCTGAATCCTCATACCCGCTGCAAACCAGTTTTGCCCACTGCGCTATGAGGTAACCTCGGGCACTAGAAAGTTGCCAGCTACCAAGGTCCCCCTCCTCCAGATATTCAAGAGTCATTCGATAAGGCCCATCTAAAGATACTATGTCCTGGATGTGGAGAGCGCGATTCGAATAATCATGGAATAAATTGCGGAGATGATCTGTTAGGTCAGTGTGTCCATCTTCAAGGGTATTGCTCAAGTGCTGTGCTGTGGAGGTCAGGTCAGAGATTGCAGAACCCATCCATCCAAGTAACTCAAGGGACATATTTTTTGCATTCGCTGAACTTTTGTCGTGGTCCGCGATGGTAATCATCTGCGATGCGAGAACCCTTAGGATTAACTCCGCGCCAGGCCAGTCAGTGGAGCCTAGCACACTTATCAGGTCTTCGGTGAAAATATCTAAGAGATTTCGATAAGGCTGATCTCCTGACTTTGTGGATGTCATCGCCCGCTGAACGATGAATTTCGTCACGTATTGTGCACTATGGATAGCGTTGTCATACAGTAGCTCAACCTGGTTAGAGAGCTGTTTTATTGGTGATGTCTTCCTCTCACTTCCATTATTAGAGTCCTCTTCATCCTCCTCATCTGATTCATCGAGCGAGTTTGTTGCCTTTTGCAAAGAGCCTTTCGCCACTGTTAACCGCGACGAAGTTTGTTGAAGGGCAGTCGTCTGGACAAGCTGGATCACCAATGCAGAAAGGAGCTGAATACTTTTTCCATCAATGAGTTTGAATTGCCTCGCGCTTTGCCTGTTTGACGGCAGTTTTTCTAGGGACACCAAAATCTCATCGAGTATAAAAGGACGTTGCTCGGGATACTTTGCAAAGATTTTTGCGAGTACATCCATAGCAGCACGCCTTGAAGCCTCGTACTTCTGAACTCCTATGGCGGACTCTTTATCGTTGGGGGCATTTTCCACGAATATGAGCCTTGCGGCAAGAAATTCTATCGCAGTAATAGGCCCTTCTGCGAGGTCGACATTTGAAAGAAACACGGCAAGTCGCGATAATACTCTCTTCGTTTGGTGTATTACGTTCGATATGACTTGCTTCTGTGCAGAAAAGACATGGAAATGCGTGGAATCCTTGCCACTGGATCTGCATTCAACAACAGGAATGATACAATGATCAAAAACCTGGCCCAGCGCTGTCGGAATAGCGTGAATTAAGTCTTCAGGGCATAGATCCTTCGTACTTTGATTTCCTGGCATCGTCTGAAGTAGTGTTATTATTGCTAGCAGTGCGTTCTGCACATCTTCCAACTGTGTAATCCACCTTTCTATATCAGTATCTGATGGTGGACTTTCTAACTTGAAATCTGCGGACTGAACTGCCATAATAGGTGCTTCGCAAAGCCTTTGAATGTGTTTTATGTATTCAGTCGGAATATCGCCGAGACGCCGATAATCTGACACCTTTTGAAGCGCTTTGGAGAGTACTTCGTGAGTTTCGGATGACATTATTGGACCAAGATCCCCAATGGTATTTGGGAATTTAAAGAACTTGCCGCCCGCCTGGGCGTCTAGAGGTGCATCTGGAAGCAGCTGCTCTTCTGCCTCGAATATTTCATGCAGGAGACTTTGGAGTTTAACCAAGGCGGTATCTGATAGTTCCTTTTGGTCTCTGAGGGGCAAAGGGTCCTGTTTCTCCTCATTATTAGAGTCCAGTTTCCTGCGCTTAGCCGATCCCTCACCCGAGACATATTTAAAGTCCTCTATGTTAGACGATGGAGCTAAACCAGGGATTATAACCATGGGTTTCATCAGTTTCTCCAACTGCTGGCGCATTTGGTCTTCTTTATTGGCAGAATATGGCGGTTTCGACGACGAGAGAGGAGTGGGAAGCGTGTTTGAGGATTGGTGATGTTTTTCGGAGTTTGTAGTAGTCGGAGTTGAATCTATAAAATTCAAAGATGAGAAATATGCCTTCAAAGTGCAAAAAAATTTGTGATAACTCACAGTGAAAAGTTGCATCCGTGGAATCCAATATCAACTTTGCAAAGGGACCTAATTGACTGCGGCTCAAAGATTCACCATTCTTCTGAGGAGAAGAGTCGGAACGAAGGGAGGGAGGAACCTTGAAGTTGCTAGACCAATTGTTAACAGAATAATTAACAAAATGACAAGATGTGCGACGCACAAATCTGTTAGGTTGTCCTGCCTCAAGAGCTGTTGTAGGTACTCGCGAGCAGTTTCAAGACGAGTCGACTCTCCCAATCCAGAGCTGGCTTGTGTCTCGTTGTCTAGACTATCAGTGATCCTTCCAGCGACCTGACTATCGTAAGGGCGGGGCCATCCTGAAAGAGAAGGTTGGCCAACATCCGGGCGCATTATTGAGTCTGAGCAAGTAAGTAAAAGCTTCACCAGCGTAGGAAAAAGAGCATCCACGAGATTCTCATACCAAGTCCAAACACCGGGGCGCTGGTCATAGGAGAGTATTGTAATGCTTCATCCACAGAGAGCGGGCGGGGAAGCCGCTGGGATGCACGAGAGCTTGTGCCATTGCCCTGGATGACCACTGCCAGCCCCGGCTGGCGTTGTTGCTGCATGACGGCAGAATTCACAGGCGCCGTGTACTATCAAGGAGTGAAAAAGGAAAGGCGGACAATATTATCGTAGGCATGACTCTCTGGATATCAAAGAGATGCATGCCGCTCTCATAATTGTGGTTTGATGGTTGCCAGCTTCATGGTTGGCGGTTATTTCATGTCAAGTATGGATGTCCGCAGGTAGCTCGGCCAGGCACGCTCACTAGTCTGATGGTTTTACGTGATCTACCTTGACACCTTTTTTTTGCCGCATTTTGGCGCAGTCGATCCACCACATTGATTTCACCGCCTAGTTTTGCATGAACAGTTTTTTTGAAGCTTAGATAGGGGAGTCTTTTCTGCTCTGACATTCTCACCACTAACCATTTCTTTTTATCAATATGTCTGCAATTGGGTCATTGATTTTCTGTGTTGATTGTGGCAATCTCCTCAATGAATCCACTGGAGATGAAAATACAATTCTTGTTTGCGACATATGTGGAACGAAAAATCGAGGTAGGGCCTCACTTTCCTCTCACTTGTGCCTTTGATAGCTGGTATGATCCCGACTTTGTTCAATCACCAACTGATCTCTTGGATATTCATTAGACATTGCCTCCAAAACTATCATTTCAGAATCTAAACCAGAGGCATTCCCTTCTGCACTTAGGTCCAAAAGATCTGCCGTCCGAACATTGACTGCGGAAGACAAGAAAAAAGATGCTGTCATCGCACATACCTGTGACCAGTGTGGGCGTCCAGAAATGACATTTTACACATTGCAACTTCGTAGTGCTGATGAGGGAACTACTGTCTTTTACTCATGCGAGTGCGGGTATAAGTAAGTTTCATTTGGCATGCTTATCCTATATTCACAAAAGAAATCCTTCAAGGTGCTAACAGTTATTTCCATTACAGATTCAGTACAAACAATTGAAATCTCAGCTCTATATACACAATGTCAGGCGATACTAGGTAATAGGATTGGAACGACAGCCTAGCAGTGCAAACTTTGACTGATCTATGCCGCAACCGGTTGCTCCAAGATGTACTCTTGCTCTCCACTTTTCTCATATTCCGCCATATCGAGCGCAACAATAATACTGTCCCTCACCACTGTCTCCGGATCATTGACGAAGCGTTTTAACGTTTCTTCCACTCCATCCTCAGCACCCAGACTCCCAAGCGCCTCAGCAGCCTCATGGCGGACCATGCCGACTTCATTCTTATCGCTCAACGTAGCTACAAGACTGGGGATACTGGCGGGGTGAGAAAGTTGGCCGAACACAAACGCGATTTCGTGTCTGAAGAGCGCGGAACGATCCTTGAAACCTTCGGCCAGTGCTTCGATCGCCGGAACTGCTGTGGGCAGATCCGGGGGGGAGCACATGTCCCGCAAGGCAAACATAGCCCGATATCTTTTAAAAAGTGGGAGACTTGCGTCGAGGAGAATCTGTTTAAGTTCGGGAATGGATTGTTCGGCAGAGGAGAGTGGAAGAGGAGGTGCAGGGTCGATGGATGTAAAATCACTGGAGTGGAGTTAGAAGATGAAATTAAATTCTTCAAGGTCCCATTTACCTTTGCTTTAATTTTTCGGATTTACTGTCTTTGGACGTTTCCCATAGTATTCTATCGACTGCGATATCACACGTTTCTCGGACTACTTCCTCCTCCGATTCATCATCTCTGAGGCGCTGGAGAATAGCCAAGCTCCCAGCATCCCCTAGCGCGCCCAGAGCTTCTGCTGCTTCATGCCGGCACATTGCATCTTCCTGTGTATCCTCTAGAACCTTGCGGAGATGTGGGACGGTGTCCAGGTTTCTAGTTTGTCCAAGGCAGTATGCAAGCTCATGCTTGAGCAACGCCGATGGCGAGGAAAACGCAGCAGCGATTGCTTCGATAGCTGGAAGAGTCTCCTCCGTGGGAGGTTTCGATGAAGCGAGATGTTTCAGTGAAAATAGGGCGCGGAAGCGTTGTGCTAGTGGGGATGACTCGGAAGTGAGCACTTTTCGCAAATATTGAACAGAATCTTTAGAGTTGCCATTATTATCGGCATTGTCAGCAATAGTTGATGCCATATTTGATCCGAGTGAAAGAAAAGTAATGAATGTCTCGGTGTGTTGGAAAAAGATTGCGCCCCGGAGTTCGCAGGATCAAGAGGGGCATTTTTTGGCGATAAAAAAAAAGAGGAGCGGATCTGATAAGACACGATGACTTTAGTTATGTCTTGGCATTTGGTATGGGAGTGGCGGAACGGCGGAGCACGCTGATCCGCTGGGCAAAAGTAACATTGGATAAGTTAGTCGAAGGAAAAGAATATATTCTTTACGAATAGAATGAATATACTGATTGAGGTAGGAACTTGACATAAAATATTTGCCTCGGCATCACGAGGATACCCCGTTTTGAGAATCTGAAGGGACGCAAACGAGGCGTGTTAGATTTGTAGATAAAAAAGCGAGATAAGCCAGAGTAATGCCACTGTAGAGGGCGATAACGGCGATTCAGGGGGAAAACGTGTGGAAACGGTAAAATTGTACATAGACATGGCGCGCAATTGCTATCTAACATCTTATTTGGTTCTGATGTGCTTGAGCTTCTTAGGCACATGCAAAAAGTTATTCGCATATGCCTTAGGGTGGAAAGCTCGCTCATTCGGTTCTTGGACATAATATTCATACCCTTGTTTTTCGGCGAAACGAATTGCGTCTTCCTTCGATTTGAAGTTTATGTGGGTTCCCTGCATCGCGTCTGCAGATGATTGCCACCCCATCAATGGATTCTCCCACCGATGACCCTTTGACAGGACATCCCAGTCCATTCTCCAGTGATGATCATGCCAGGTGCCAGATTGCGTAGCGGGTTTGGCGGGCCGATAGATCCTACTTTGTGTTAGAACGTGCGCAGAAGGGAAGGTAAGAGTTTCCATACCTAACAGTTCGAGCCTGAAGGTCCGTAGGAGCACCTGATAGCACAGCAGCGGCAACAATATCACCGGGCTCACTGCCATCCATCACACGTTTGGGAACGGGGGAAAATAAACTAATTTGTCGGCTTAGCTGTCAGAGGTAGAGCTCAGTCTCGGGGGGTTTCTTACGAGGTAGCTTGGTCAACGGTTGCGTTATAATCAGGTTGGTGACGGGCCATAGCTTCTGAAGGAGACTCCCTCCGGATCATGGAGCCACCTCTGGACACGTCCGTCGGGGCGTCCTCAGGGCTGGTCTTGGGGGCCTTCTCATCAAGCTGGCGAGGTGCGGAAGAACTGACAAAGCGGGCATTGACCGGATATGCCAGCCTCGCAGCCCGCGCGCAGCCCGCATTGATATTTATTCTCCCCGGCCGTAACAAGGACATTTTTGACAATTGTGTCAATGCGAAGAACAAGAGAAGAGTATTCAAGCAGATGGCACATCCAATTGTGATGTTCCGGAACGCTCTGGAGATGACGATCCAAATGTGGTTAGCGCGAAAATGCCTCCACGCATCTTTGTTCCGATAAACGCCCAGTTCAACACTGAATGCCAGTCGACCGACCTCTGAAGAAGACATCATTTTGGTTCAATTGTCGCAGCGTTGCCAGGTATGCCACATCCCAGTTTGACACAATCTTTGTCCGATGTTAACAGCTTGAAATTTTGTTAGGTTTTTCACAATGAGTTACATCGTTCGCCGAGGGATTTCCACCCTCATCCCCCCCAAGGTAAAGAGAGCCACTCATTGCAAGCCGAAAACCCAGGATTGCTAATTGTCAAGTAGATTGCATCTCCCTCCGTACGTCCCCGCACTCAGTTCCCTTTGCCGACCGTCGTGTAACTTAATACTGGCGTGGAGGCCGCACCATCTTGCCTTTTCTCACTAACGTTCATCGAAGGCAATCGGTGCTGCAAAAGATGCCGCCCGTATGGAGCGTGTAGGCAATTTCTACGCAAAACTTCCTCGAGGACCGGCTCCTGCAGTGAAACCGTCTGGTTTCTTTGAGCGCTACCAGGCTAAGCATTTTGGCAAGAAGCCCACCGCAAAACGTACGTTAAACACCTCTGGCCATAATCTGAGTGCTATCTTTCCCGTCCTGGATATGAATATGAGGCTAACTAATCATTCCAATAGCCCTTATACACATCATTGTGGGAATGACACTTTTGGGCTACAGCATTCAATACATTACACATCTTCGTATGTTCTCCCTTCTTCTACCGGTCGCTCGCATTCTTGCTAAGCAGTTTTCTAGGTCACCACAAAAACAATGCCCACTAAGCTTGGCACGCCGAGCATTCTAGATGAATGGTGGAAATGTGTACATATATTATAGAAATGAATCAGTTTTGAGGTGTCATTGCGCAGTAACAAGTACATACCAGGACCGGAAGTCTAGGCTCTGGTGTAGTCAGACCTGACTTATGATCTCCAAAATGAAACCAAGAGAAAGGAAAAAACTAAAATAAAAGATAAGAAAGTAAAATTCAGTTAGTTGCTCACTGTCAGGGAACATCCGTTAACTCAGAATTCAACTTGATTGTTTGGGCTGAGCAAGCGCCTGTGACTGGCTACAATATCAGGTGAGCCTGGCAACAAGTGGTGATGGATTTGCCGCTAGCCGAATCGAGACATGATAGCTTGGCCACACGTCTGCTCCTTCAACCAACCTTAACTCTCTCATCTTTCTCTTCTCTGCGACTCTCTTTAACACACCGGACAGACTTACCGGGCTGTTGAGAACAGTTTTACCTCCGTTATATACTTTGGCAGCTCCTTTATTGCTGACCTTAGTTGTCTGGCCACTCTAACTTCCAGCTCCTGCACTCGCAACGGCCTCAGTTTAAGGCCGATTGGACTCATCTAGGTGCTCCATCGTGGCGGGATTCAGTTGCTAATCAGAAGTACGTCCCAGTCTCACATGTTATCGTGCTCCCGATCGTAATCTTGAGTCTTTCTTCGAATCTACATGTTCGATAGTTTGGGCACACCTTTCTCAGACTAACCAGCTCATCTTTCCAGCCATAGAACATTGTTATGGCAGAGCAGAGTAGCCACGATGTGGTAAACCAAACCCGGTCGGGCGGCGACCTATCGCCTTCCGACGTTCCTGCGAGCAAACCCGACAAATTCACGACCGGAGGGGATGGGGTGGATGTTCAAACTCTTGATAGCAAGCATCAGAGACGGCAAGATATAACTACGGCATCGCAGGACAAGCCGGATGGGAAAAGTATGCAGAGTACTCACCACCCCGACGAGCGCATTCCACCAGCATATGATACTGTGAGTCCTTTCGAACTCTTGTGTGGATAATCGCGATGATGTCACTGACTACGGCCCCAGAACACGCTCTCGATAGGCATAACCACACAAGATGACTTAGCGACAAGTACGAAAAAATTAGAAGCGAATGGCATCGAGTCTCCCATAGGGGATTACGGGACATCTCTCAATCACCTTGGGGATGGAAGCGGAGGTTCCGATACAGACGCCAGTCGAAGTGACATACGATCATCATCGAAAGATAGTACCCAACACTCCCGTACAAGCTCTGTTAAACGACCCGCATCTTTCAAGCCGGTATCCTTTGCAAAATTCTCTATATCGAAATCACCAAATATGGCCGCGGCATCTAAATATACTGCTGAGCAAGGTAAGCCCTTCCTGGCCCTTCTAGCTGCTTCCGAAATTCGAAGCTATCTGGCTAAAACATCCGCAGCTCCCTTTTCCGCCTCAAATACTTCGTCTGCGCCTGCCCAGCAGACATCAAGACCCCGTCTAGTTGCCAAGTCAACAAGTAGCATGCGCGACTCAACGCCGCGGGCTCTAGCTGGCAGTGGGAGGAGTGGATCCGGCGCACCCGATCCCAACCAGGTGTGGAATAAAAACCGACGTAAGATGTCAAACACCTTTGTTATACTGCAATAATGGGATTAATTAGAGACAATCTAGCCGTCCAGCCGCCCCCTACGAAGCACCTTACGGACGAAGAGCTAAAGCAGCAGTATGGCATTCATATGACTTCCCGCATTCAGGCCGATGGCGATGGCAAGGAAGCCAAGTGGGCCGATATTGATGATGACGAGGACGACTGGGCTCCAGAAACGATAGAATGGAATGATGGCACTAAGATTAATTTGACCCAAACCGAAACCAACCCTACCCCAACTCAGACGAAAGGCGAAACCCAAGACACAACCCAACAGACAACACTACCAGACAAGAAACTCATAGGACGTGGGGATGCCAAAGTTCTAGCTTCGAAACCACCTAACTCTCTTGGTCCGAACGCGACGATACTTAAACTTGGAGCGAACGCAGACAAGCAACAAGCCAGATCGGGCAGCGATTCAACCAAGGGAACCAATGACAAAGATAGCGCTATCCCCAAAGGTCTAGTGCCTCCGGCTAAGTCTCCTTGGGCTCCCTTGCCTCCCATTGACAAAGTCCCCGTTACCGTCAACCCCCCAACCCAACCACACCGGCATTCCCGTTTCTTCCATGGCGAACGCAGTGGTGTAGAGCCCACACCACCTCTGCCGGTCGCAGCTAAGGAGATTGCAGCCGATGATTTCAACCGGTCTTGGAGAGATACCCAATCAGCCGCGCCTCGGGAACTCTATAACTCTCAGTCTGGACGATATGAACCTGTATCAGAAATGCGCCGAGGGCAGTACAGGAACGAAGCTCACTTCCGTCCCTCATCTTTGCTTCAGAGGCCAAATCATAATGAGCAGTCTGGACCCGCAGAGCCTTCACCTGCTTTCCAGACAAACCGATCTAGTACCTCGCAAGAGAATACTTCGTGGAGTCGCCGTCGTGCATCATCTAACGTTAGCGGAGGAAGTGGAGTTATGGGCCGACGATTGTCCATGAGCAAGCCAGACCTCAGTCATAAACCCCACGATCTTCCTCAACCACGCCGAGGGTCACAACAAAATGAGCGATCTACATCTCCTCGCAGGCAATATCAGAAGGGTTCGTATATTGCAAGGGGGGCTTCTCCGTCGCGTCCACCAGTCCAGGGCATGCCAAATCATGCTTCCTCATCTCATTATACTCCGCCGGCCTCTCATGGTGGCATTGTCCATCCACTTGCGACAGATTCTCCCCTTTCGCAGATGCCTCCTATGGAAGATCCTATCGCAATGCAACAGCGCATCATGCGTGAGAAGCGAGAGATGGCAAGGCAGCGCAGACTAGAAGAGGAAGCCAAAGAAGAGGCCGCAAAACAAGAGCGGATCAGATTGAAGCTTGAAGCTATGGGCCCACCTCCATCGGAAAAGAAAGACTCTACGTCTGCGTTAGAATCTGCCAAACAAACCACTGTAGCTCCATCGCCACCAAAACCTCCACTTCCCGAGCCGAGCGGGGAGCCCAAACAGTATGGAATGATGAAGGTTCATCCTCCTGAGCCAGTGAAGAAATTGGTTCCATCAGGTGAGAGGCCTGATGTCAAGACAGGCATTACCGGTCCTCAAAGCCACCAGATATCATCTCCCCGAGAATCCAAGTTTGAAGCAGCTAGAACCTCCATGCCCCCTTCCATCAATGGTGTTCATTCGTCGACTGAAATGTCGGCGGTTCAGATGCCAGAGTCCCAGCAAGACGCATCCGGTGACCGAAATTTAACATGGAAAGGGCCGATGCCAGCAACTAGTTCTTATTCGTCATGGTCTGGTACGAAAATTGGTGCTCACCCCTCTGTTGGGAGCCTGTGGGGACCGCCAAATAACGATAAAGCGTTGGGCAACGGCACCTTTGATAAAAACCTCGCTGGATTCCCCTCAAGGGACATCTCGTCTCATGGTCCCCTTATGCTGTCCGATCAACCTCCCATCGGCCCGCCGCAGCACAGTGCGGAAAGAATCAATGCTTCCGAACGTACTAATCAACATTTACATGGAGTTCCGAAGAGCATAGCTGATAATGGTTCTTCATTGTCTCCTTTGCCCTCCCCAGAACAGCGCCCCGGCCGTTTAGCTGGTGCTGACAGCCTGAAACCGATTTCTCGCCCTGGGCCTATTGCGCCTCCTAATACATATTCCCAGGGCCAAAGATGGCAACAAAACCAATTTCCTCGACGTTCCGAAGAAACTGCTCCTTGGAATAATTTCCATCTAGCCGCGAGAAAAGCCGAGCTAGAAGAAAACGAGCGATTCCACCGGGAGCTCCAGGCTCGGCGCGAGGAAGAAGCCAGATCCGGAGTCAAGCCGGCATTACAGGTCACATTCGATGAAACTTGGCGACAAGTAAAAACCGATGAGGCTGGTCAGCGTAACGTCGTCTCAGTCAATAAGACAACCGAAAAGTCAGCACCTCTTTCCCCTCTACCCGGTCTCGAACCCATTGATGGCCTACCCTTCTCAGATCCGAACGCCAAGGTTGGGACAACCGCCCGGGGTTCCCGTTTCTTTCCCCATGGATCCGACCAAACCAAACGACCTTCGGATCGAGATAATGTTGAGCCTCGTAGCCCCTCTCCACCGCCTCCTGAGGAGGTATCAAGCCATCCCGCATTTACTACTGACTCTCCACGACCACTGGTGCATTTACCGGCTCCGAAACCACGAGTGAGGCTTCCACCGCGCAGTTCACCTCCTCCAGCTGCTCCTCCTGCAACATTTGCCTCCATGGTTGCCTCTGGTCCACCTCCTCCTCGTGGTTCTCAACCGATCGCTAGCACTGCAACTTGGCAAGATCGTTTCAATGGATTATTTGGCAAAAAGACCTCACAGCCTCCGCATGCGAAAAGGACTGTTCTCGCTGTTGCATCGGCAACGAAAGAGCCGCTTGAAGTTCTGCCGGACACCTTATCGGCGTCTGTATCGCTGCCTCAATTTGACGATGTTGAATCAACTCGGGACGCGGGTAAAGTAGCATCAAAGGAAGTAGAAGACGAGGAGGCTATCTTTGAGGATCGCGAGGCCGGATCTCTGCCGGTTGTAAAAGTCCCACATATGGCACCCAAAGCAGCTTGGCAGCCAGCATTGCCTCCTTCCCATCAACGCCTCCGTTCACGGTTCCAAAGACCTGTCCAAGTTCAGAGTATTGAGCCTTACATTTTTAGTTCACCCGACCGGAACAACCCTGGTGGTGTCACTATCATTATTCACTTGCCAGGGACTGAAATCTTAAAGACTCTCACAATGCCCGGCAAGGGTGGTGTCAGCGGCGGAAACAATCAGACACGCCATCGTTCACATAATTTCAAACATCGCAGAGGTGCGAAATCGCGAGAAGGTTCTGGGCCAAGTTCTGGGCCGTACCATACATCTCAACCTCCAAAAAAGATGTCATCTCCCACCTCTGGACCCTCGCGATCGCATTCTGGGCATGGAAATTGGGCATCCCGAGTGGCTGGTACTGCAGTTTGAAGAGCGTATCCCCCAGCTGGAATTATTCGATCCTAAATCTAAGTTTATCACACTGACTTGGTTAATGTCTTCTCCATATCTAATGAAGAGCAGCAAGTCTTTCGCGGGAAATCGTTGGCCACGGTCTCATGGTTTGGCGCTTTAACTGATTCTCGTATACCTTCTTTCTTTTCCCCTCGCGCCCTGTATCCTTATGTCTTACCAATTGTCTCCGAACATGCAATCCTTCCAACAGTCGCTATGTATTCACTCTTGAACTCGGCACAATTGTGTTAAGTTTCTACGAGTTTTACAGCTGGTGATTACTCCATGCTTTCCATATCAAACCTCCTATTACCAACTGTAATCATTATCCGTTCCAAGTTATTCTGCATTGTGTGGGCGTTATTGTGCTCACCGCCAGCTGGGCGGCTTCCTGACGACAAAGCTGACGCTGGGGTCTGTGATATTATCAACAACTTCCTGCTATCAGTTGCACAATTGCGTTCTACGTGGATGTCTTGTAATGCCAGTCACCTTTTGGGACTCCAATGGGATTGATGGATTGATTGATATCAGAAGGCCCTTGGTTTTATTTTGCTGTCATGAAGAAATGAATGCAATTGCTCCAGTGTATTAGCTGCTTGATAGTTGAAATCATTTATAATTACTGCATATTCCTTGCCAATTGATGGGCTTCGACAGTGATTGGAAAATGTCGCAATTTTGGAATAACTATTATTGGAGGTCCATAATTTGAAAGACTAATATGTTACAGCGCTTGAGAAGAAGAATCCAAAAAGACCAAAAGGTATGATGTTGGGTATTAAAGGAGCTTAGCGCCAGCGCAATGCATATTTCAAAGGACATCCATCGACATCCATCGCTATAAGAAAATGACGCAGAGTAAAAAACAGGATCATAGAGAAGAAAACTCGTAACGAATATCGTAGATTCATCAAAGTCGGGGAATTCTACCAATTCCACGTCCGGCTTGAGGCAGTGAAAACTGGTGGTTTCCACTGAAGACGCGAGGAATCGATTTTTCGGGATCCCTTGGCCTGTTCTTTTGCTAAACGCTTGTTACGTTGCTCGATGATTGCATCGGTGAGGACAATTATCCAGTTTCCTTTCTGCGTAGAGTATCAGCATAAGATCTGGGTTGTGAGAGATCGGTTTGCGAATGTATGGTAGCACTTACATTGTATTTGAGGAGGTTTAGTACCACCAAGGTCTCATGAACATCCTTCTCTGTCATGCCACTTAAACTTGCCAATTCACTCTCGCTAATGGCATCCCGACCGGGTTCCAGGAGAAGTTCAACCAGCGTTTCTCTCCAGTATTGCCGGTAGCCGAGTAGGCCCAGGTCACTCAGTGGTTTCTCAGGAGAGCCTAATTTGCCTTCCCGTTTGCTAAGCTCGTAACTAAATGCAATGAGCAGTCGACCGTATCCACGACGCTGATACTGTGGAAGCGTAAGGATACATGCCACATTGTAGCCCTCGGCTGATTCTTTCTCCTTGGAGAAATATCCGACGAGGTGGCAGCCCTGGGCATCGCGTGTAGTCATGCAGTAGAAAAGAAAAGGATCAACATCATAGTAGAGGGTCTTGTGGTCCAGGAATAACTTGCTCAGCAAGCACAAGTTTCGACACCATGTTCGCTGTCGACGGCCATCCACTTCAAAAAAAGATACATAATCATCCCGATAAATCTCGTTGCCTGGTGGATGGACGAGAGTACATTTAGATCGGTGTCTTTCAAAAGCACGTTGATCATCGAAATAACTGAGACAGAATTCATCGATGTAGACCATGTCCGCGTCGCTGAAGGAAGTCGGATACGGTGAAAAGTACCACGGCTCTATTTCATATTTTCCCATCTGGATTCGATTCAGGTTTCGCACACGATGGATTTCCGTGGGGTTCTGTGTCATGCTCCCACCCGTCCTCAGCTTCTCGATTTCCTCTTGCCGAACAGCTTCCTCGGCGGCTTTTTCTGCCTCTTCCCTGATTGCTGCCTTCGCTTCAGCTTCGGCAACATCAACCATCTCCACATCTTCAGAGTCCACCTCCAGTTGAGGAGTACCTCCAGCAGAGACGCCTTCGCTGGGCAGCTGGGGAATACTTATCGGAGTACCATCTTCACCGTTTTCCTTGCCACTACTGGCCTTGGACAGCTTGGATTGTTTACTGATATTGAGGTTCTTTCCTGCTAAAAGATCTGGAGTTGAAGATACATCTCGACTTGCTTGTCTTGCCCGCTTCAGTGAATTCTTGGGCTGAGCTTTTGTTGCGGCGGCGCCGCTAACTTTCTTCTTCTCTGGTTTCTCGGGCAGAGGCCATTCTACTTCTTTCGTTAAGTCAATCCGCGATGCAGGGATCCATTCTGCAACTCATAGTCAGTGATAAAGATTGCACAAGCAGCCAGCTTCGAGATATATGTATTCTATACGAACCGTCAAGACGCTTGTTGAAGTCGACATAATGTACGCTGTCGTCATGGTCAGTATCTCGCAGAAGATCAACAGGGCAGCGGAGTACATACTAGAAGGCGGGCCCATCTTTCCGCTGTCTCATGGACAGGATCTCTGCTTTCCGATAGTCGCCATCCTGGCAAAACCAACCAGTTAGCGCCAGCGAGCCCAGTAGATGTCACGTGAAGCGGTGCTGGGCTGACGGTCAACCGCAGCGAAAAGATTCTCCTCACCTTTTCGACAAACGCCTTAACACCGATCCTGGGCCAAGAGAATCAGTAAAGGACGATGATAATTCCAGGTAACCAGCAAGTCCCTATTTGAGGAGGGGGGAGAGAAGTTACCTTAGCGTATTCAAGGTGGCGAGGCTCCTTTCAACAGGATCTGGCGTGCTGGGTGCCTCTTGCGAGGGATCTCTGACGCCCATGATATTTGTCAGGCTGATTTCTACGTAAAACCAACAAAATCTGAGATGGAAGATGCTGTTAAAGTGGATTTTGTGATGGATTTTTTTTGGCTCTTCTGTGGATGGAACTTCGTGAGGACTTTTTTGATTTTCCTTTGCGTGCTGCTGGTTGGCGGTTGGGTTTTTGACTTCTCATTGCCACTCACCAACTGAGACGGCATCATCCGCTGGATTGTACCATTGCTTCACCACTTGCCGCGCGGAATCACAAAAAAAGGCTCGTTAGGTACCAAACAATAGTATTTCTGATTATAGTCACTCCTAGAATACATTTTGCTACCTGCTGAGAGTAAGCACGCCCAATTGCATATGTATAATCATGGTTGCATCCCGAATACTCTGTTGTTATACACGCCTATAGTTAATGCCACCCATTAATACTGCCAGCTTCAAGAGAATCCAACTCCTCCTTGCGCTGCCTGTATACCTCTTGAGCTTCGCGCTCCCGTCTGGAAACAAAAGTGACTTCCTCACGAAGGCTCTCCACCCGCCCCCGAACAGCGGACTCCTCTGCAATCTGCAGCGTCCTGAATGAATCTAGATCAAACTTAGCCTTCTGCAGCGCCTCATTTGCTTCCAAGATCTTATTTCTCAATGTCTTCGCCCTGGCCTGATATCCACCGTAGTGCAGCGCAACTTTTTTCTCTAATTTATTACCCTGTTCAGCAGTTTCTATCAAGGCATTCTGCACCCTGTCAAATGCCGCAGTCATATCCTTTTCCTGTTTCGCAAAGTCGTCCTCATCCGTGTAGATTGAAAGTCCCGGAAGCGCGGATGGGCACTCGTGTAGAGACGCCCACGAACTGTCAAAGTTATTCTGCCACTGCTGCAACACTTCCGATGATACCTCGGCAGCAATGTCCTCTCTAGCTTTGGCCAAAAGGTCGTTACTAAAGAGCTGACGCTTAGGTGCTTTGCCCTCAATATGCATACCCTGCAATGGGAACTTGTGTGCATCGTGCGCAATAATGATCGCCATCTCCCGTGCAACCATTTGCTTTACTGGATCTTCAACTTCTTCAACTTGTTTCATCAAGGCTGCGATGTCTAGTGTCCGTGGTCGAGGAAGGCCACGTTGATAAACTTGCGTCTGGCGCTTGAATTTCTCCTTCGCCGCTTCTTCAGCGGCGGCTTTATTCCTCTTGTCCCGCTCAGCGGCATCCTCTTCACTAAGAGTATCCGTCATGATCGGTTCTGGTTGCTCTGACGGCAATTCTTCAAGTTCCCATTCCGTCTCCTTCGGTTTAGGAAGTGAACCAAGTTGCTGGCGGAGTTGCCTCCGTATAAAGTTTTCCTGGATCTTCATCTCTTTTGGAGTACTCGCCACAGGGAGACCAGTGTCTTTATTAATCATGAAATTATCCCGGGGCGTGCGTAAGGGAGTGGCCCCCGGACCTGCCTGCAGAGGAGTACCTCCGATAGTACCAGCGCCACCCTGACGGAAAGGAGTTGCCATGGGATTTGGCGTGACCATCTGGTGCTTTCGTGGTGCAATGCCTTCAAATCCAGTGGAACCGCCGCCTTCAAGAAGAGGTGCGTTCTCTCCACCGAGGAGAGATGACTGTGTCTCAGTCAGAGCCTTAATGTTTCGGATCTCATTTGCTATTCGATCTTCCTCGGGAGGAGCCCTTGGTGTTCGAATCGGGGTACCACCAATAATACTCGAATAATTGGCGATAAGACCTCGTGTCCCTTCATTATCATCATCTCCGGCCATTCGACTGGCCCTCTCCCCGGCCATACCCATTTTCACAATCTCCTCTAGCTCGCCCTCGCTAACCTGAGGTGAAGGGAGGACTAGCGCCCGGCGCTTGCTGCTTTGTTCTGCTTCCCGGATACGCTGCATCTGACCGGCTTTTGCAGCCGCTGCAAAAGCAGCAGACGATCCAGTTTTGTCGTTCTTCTGCCGTTTTTTGTCTTGTTCTTCGTCTTGGTCTCCTTTTCTCTTATTCGCTAGCTGCTGTTTTCTTGGGTCGAACATCTCCCTTTGTCGTTCATTTCGTGCCTGCTCCTCAGTGGTATTGTAAAAACCAGGTGCGGGCTTTTTCTCGAACGGAATGTCTGCGTTATAATCCATCTGCCCCTTTTTCGTCGTAACAACCTTGATATTGATTCCGGCATTTTTAAGTTCTCGTCGCTTCTGTAGAACGGCCAAACGTCGTGATTCTTCCAACTGTCGCTCTCTAGCTTTGCGTTTCGCTTTCTTGCCTTGAGTGTTGGCAAGGCGGGCACGAGCCTCGCTAAGCATTTCCTTTTCATCTTCATCAAGGTCGATGGTGTCGGGTCGAGCCGGCTTGGATTCCGGATCAGGATCTAGTTCTCCTGGTCTACATATCCAGTCAGCGCCATTGGCAGGGCGTAATACGGGGAAATGATTGGATTGCAACGTACCGTAGTCTTCTAACATCATCGGCGCTGGGAGCTGCAGTTTCGCCGCCAGCAGGGCCACCCAAACCTAGCTCATCAGATTCTCTAGCCTCCGCTTCGTCCAAGAGTTTCTGATATCTCTCCAGACATTGCGTAGCAGTTCTTCCGACAATGGGCGCTATCGTTCTCCATTGGGTGGGCATCAATTTTGCCAGATGAAGTAATTTCTCATCTTCCTCCTTCGACCACTCGACTTTGCGAATAGCGGGGTCCAGCCATTCCGACCAACGAGCTTTGCACTGCTTCGGCGTCTTGCGCGCAAGAAGTGACGATACTCGAGCCCACTGGTTCAATCCATACTTGGAGACCGCGACTTTGACGATCTCATCCTCGATGTTAGTCCTATGGCACCAAGGAATGTCAGTAAACCGTACAGGCCACGCAGCAGTCAACAGCAAGGGACGAGCACACATACCAAACGCCTCCCTTGACGACAGGCATCTTGATGGCTTTCGACGTATGTCGGGGAGAGCTGTATGGCTTGATGAGGTCGATTTGGGCATCGCGTGAAGGGAGATGGGAAGCTGGCGTGTGTTTTATCTTCTGGGTGTCTTGGCAGCAATCGCCACGCACCACTCACAGCCTTCGCCCAAGTCAACTAGTGAACAAAAAATTGCGGGTGATGATACGGAGTACTCCGTACAGAATACCGAACTGAAAAAAAAAAAAAGAAAGAAAAGAAAGAAAGAAAGGAAAAAGAAAAGGAGCTGCAGCACAACTGAGCAGGGCAGCAAGACGGTGGATTAAATAACAAACATGGCGACCAATATTGAAGCGCCACACCAATACAATCAACCCTCGAGAAAGGGTAAAAAGGCTTGGAGGAAGAATGTGGACGTGTCGGAGGTCCAGGAGGGGCTTCGACTGCTTCGGGAGGAAGAAATTCAAGGGTAGGTCGCTCTGAGCGTCGCTGGAAGTTGTCTATGGATTGCAGCTGATCCTAAGCCTTTTTATAGCGGTGTTCTCGCAGAAAAGCCTTCAGGGGACCTATTCACAATCGATAAGCTCGGGTCAAACGAGATAGCAAAAAGGCCTCCGAAAGCATCAAGACCGCTAAAAGCCGATGAGATTCTAGGCCTACGCTCTGCTATCAATGCTGTCGATAGCCGGAAACGCCCAAATCCCAAAGTCACGGATGGAATAGTCGAACCTAAAAGCAAGCGAACGAGAAGGGACTGGGTGACCAAGGAAGAATGGCTACGACTCAAAAAGGTCGCCGCAGAGGCAAACGTGCTAAATCAAGATGTCCAACAAGGTGCTTCCTACGACCCGTGGGAAGACAACCCAAGCGCACCTACACCCGAGGACAATCTCGATTTCATCCCAAAAACAAAGCCGAAAGTTGCGCCTGCAACACTAAAGCGCCCACCGATCTCACTCGCAGCTAACGGCAAACCAATACCTTCTGTGAAAACACCCGATGCCGGAATAAGCTACAACCCCACCTTCGAAGATTGGGACAAGCTCTTGACAGAAGAAGGGAACAAGGAGGTAGAAGCGGAAAAGCAACGCTTACAAGAAGAAAAAGCGGAGCAAGAGAGACAGACGCGAATTGAAGCAGCCAAAAACGAAAACGACGAGGCTAAATCTGACGATGAGAGTGCGTGGGAGGGATTCGAAAGCGAGTATGAGGCCCCTGAGGGGTTGAAGAAAAAGCGACCTGAGAGGAAAACGAAGGCCCAAAGAAATAAGATAAAACGGAGGAAAGAGGCAGAAAGAAAGGCAAAGTGGGAAGCGAAGATGAAGAAGAGAGAAGAGCAAGCGTCTCAAATCAAAGCTATTTTGAACGCTGTGAAAGAGAATGAGGAAGCCCGGAAGTTGAAAGAGAAGGAAGCTGAGTCCTCAGAAGAAGGGGATGACCGGGTTTTGCGGAAGAGGTCATTTGGCGGTAAACATCTGTAAGTTGCTCTAGGCCAGTTTTATGTCCTTCGTATCATGCTAATCGCACTCGCAGAGTTCCTGAAAAACCCCTTGAAATAGTGCTTCCCGATGAACTACAGGATTCTCTTCGGCTTCTGAAGCCAGAAGGAAATCTGCTAGGTGATCGCTTTCGGAATTTGCTTGTACAAGGAAAACTCGAAACCCGGAAACCGGTCTCCCAGCCCAAAAAGGCAAAGAGAACGTACACCGAAAAATGGTCTCACAAAGACTTCAAAATCTAGTGCTGGGCGCTACGGAAGCTTGAGTGCAATGATCTCTAGGTCGCTAAATAATTTAGTCAATGAATTCCCAATTTGTTTATTCTCTGTTGGAGTCTAAGGTAGCCCGTAACTTGCCGATATCGATGTAGAAATCCATCTGACGTTCAACGCGACTAGCCTAGGAGTCCTCCATCACCTCCTCAATTTTTCGGACTTACAAAATTCCGTCGAAGACAAGGTTTGCACCGTTTGCATCTGCGGAAAACGCATTTCGCAAACCTCCCTCCGCAGAAGAGGAATATGACACACCCGCTGGAAGTGCTGCAGGAGCAGACCGACCATGGAATTGTGACAGATATGCGAAAATGGATCTAAAAGATCTATCTAGCAACTGGAAGAAGCTCCAGTCGACCCTGAAGAAAAGCAGCACCTCAACGGTCTCGAAACGCAGCGCCAGCGAACAAGTCCGGCAGAATGGAGTGAAGCGGAGAAGGCAGTCATCTTCCCGACATACACACACAAATACCAGTATAGAAAAGCGGGAGCGGGTGTTTAAGAAGCGAAAGATGTCCAGTGTTACTGCGGAAGTCGCTGATGCCGTGGAGAAGCTTGCAGTCGACGGAGATGCGAAGACCAAGGAACCTACAATACAGTTGACAGGGAACGACATTGGCCGTGAGCGTATTAATGAAGGGCTGTCAGCTACGTAAGCCCCTCAGTCCCTTTATCACAGCAGCCTGACTTCGACATCCGTGATGCTAACCATCAGCAGTGCTGAAGCAGGAAAATACATAGCCATCGACTGCGAAATGGTGGGGGTCGGGCCAGATCCAGACCGCGAATCCGCGCTTGCACGTGTGAGCATAGTCAATTTCGCTGGAGATCAAGTCTATGATTCCTTCGTCCGAACCAAAGAGGAGGTAACAGATTGGCGCTCGAAAGTTAGCGGAATCACACCGGAGAGCATGGAGCACGCTAGAAGTTTTGAAGAAGTACAGAAAGATGTCGCGAGTTTACTGGATGGTCGTATTTTGATAGGCCACGCCGTGAAAAATGACCTAAACGCCCTGCTTCTGAGCCACCCAAAACATGATATCCGTGATACAAGTTTACATCCTCCGTACCGAAAAATCGCCGGGGGTGCTAAACCGCGACTGAAGATATTGGCGGCTGAATTGTTGGGGCTTCAAATACAAGGGGCAGCTCACTCAAGTGTTGAAGATGCTAGGGCAACAATGCTGCTGTTTCAGAGGGATAAGGAATCGTTTGAGAGGGAGAACGCGAAGAGATGGCCTGTCCGTGTGCGGAAGGATGCTGATAAGGATGGGGCTGGTAGCCCGAAAACGAAGAAGAAACCAAAGAAGAAGCGAAAGAAACGGTGATCGGCATTTACAAATCTCAAACCCTCCTCTTTGCAAGTGCATCTACGGAGTATCGAGCGAGAAAACGCGATACAGTCCGATTGCACATCGCGCCCGTAGGCTAGACCGATTACATAATAAATTCACTTTAGCCAGCGCACGCGTCCAACGCGTCGCGAACCGACGAACATAAATCAGACAGACAATTTCCAGTTAATAGATCTCATTTAAACTAATACCATCCGAGAGTGCTCCGTACATTCATCAAATAGAAGGACACTGATGCTCATGATATGTCTTTTGTAAAAACTCGTCTCTTAGCTTCTAAACCTCCCTGCAAAAAAACGCACCACGCGAGAAATATCCAAGCGAGTAACCCTAGTTTCTCTAAACAAAACCAGCATCAGGACCGTTAAAGAAGCGGACAATAAGCCCTTGCGAGTATCAGACCAAAAGGATGTTTGTCCTAAGACCATCAGGCGAATCCAAAACTCCTCTCCCTGCCGCCCAGCCAAATATCCTCCCCTGCAAAATCCATCACGACGGTCCTACGGAGGTCTCTCAAAGGCATTGGAGCCCAATAACGGATGCAGACAATCCAGGTAGGCACTTTCTATTATTCTCTGAGAGGCCTTTGTGTGGCCCTTGTCCTTGTGAATACGTGTCTATGACCATATAAGTCGGGCATATAATACTTTGGAAGACGGGCTCTATAGGACAAAAGTCTGCGCCCCTGACGATAAAAACAAGCCTGGGCGAATGATGTCGGCTAAATCACTATTCTCCCAGAACTAGCAACTACATATTTTCGTGGTCGGAAACTTCGCGGCCGGCGAATTGCACTTCCAGAAGGGTATCATGGTATGTCGATAGCTCCGGGCTTGCTTTGGAAGCACAGACGGGCATGGCCCCATCAAGTATTAACACTAGAAATCCAGGAGTCGTCGCCTCTCCAACAGAAATGACTCTAAAGCAACCTAAGAAAGATACCTCGCGCGGCTCGTCGAGACCTGACAACCCCGAATGCAACAGAAACACCAATAATGACAGCGATAACGATGGTAACGATGTTGACGAAGATGATGATGATGTTCAACCTTCTCCAACAATTCTTGAAGCCCAGGGAACATTTTCGAATCTTATTGTCTGGGATCATGACAAAGTACCCTCTACGGATGATGTTTTCGTGAAGGGGATAGGCGAGTGGATACGGTTTGCTGAAGCGGTACGTCGTTTTACTCAATCTCAAGTGATCCTTTCCAATGATCTTATGCCTAACGATTAATCACTCCGCTTCCTTTACGATTTGTAGATGCATTCGGATATGAATCCAATAGATTCGGAGAAAACATCCTAAAACACGAGATGAGCGTATAACCCGTGGACTAGGAATGATACCCTATTTCAATCTAGGATAATAATCAACTCCAGTGTCTATATAAATACAACGACATTATAATTTAAGTTTAGGATATATATATTAATCCTGACGGAAAGAGCGGGTCAATTCATTGGCCATAGCGTCTTGGTCGCCCTAGACCAAGACATTCAGCCATGCGGAAGAAGATATCAACGGAATTATAGACGCCTGTTTTCATAGGTACCGGTCAGCAAATCTTGGAGGAAAATAAACACAATACTCCAGGGGGCAGAATGGACAATATACCTCCAAATTTCTCCTGGCACGGTCCCATCGCGAAGACTGGCACGTCAGTCAAGGAATGAACGCCCTGACCATCGGCCACAGGCAAAGTTCCATTGGTAACGAAACCAGAAACAGCATCTTTATAGTTCACATAATAATCATCCGAACCCTTCGGGAGCTCAATGGCAGGTACTCTTGGACCATCCTTATGGACCTGGAAGTTTTCCCGACGGTCTGGATTGGCAGTGACGCCTTGATAGAGGGTGTATCGCGGATCCCACTGGGCGGGGAAATGTACGCCCTCGGTGTAGTGGAGAGACGCATCGCTCTGCTCAGTATACTGCGACAATCCAGAGTTGAAGTATGTTCCAACGGCGTTGCGTTTCTCGCGATCGGTTTCCTTCTCATTCAGGTATTTGGTGTCAACAGAACCCATGACATCAAAGCCATGCCCATGGTCAGCAGTGACGATGATAAGAGTGTCGTCAAGTTCGCCGAGGGCACGGAGTTTATTGACAGTCGCCTTGATGGTGTCGTCGAGTTCGAGGAGTTCTCCAAGGGCGCGATCGTAGTCCAGAGCATGCATCTGTTTATCAATACTGGCGGCTTCGGACATGAGGAACCAGCCCTTCTTGCCTTTGCGTGAGCGGTTATGCAGGATATCGATTGCCTTAAGAGTCATTTCCTTCAATCCGGGCTGGTCAGTGGCATCCTTGTCAGAGCCATCAGGATGATTATGTTGATTGAGCAGATTGTTCCTGTACACATTCCGATCGAGCCATTTCGCCATGACACCAACCGAGAACACACCTAGAGCCTTAGTGTTGTTAGGAGCTTGGGCAAGGGAAGTAGCGTTCCAGCTGACGCTGTATCCACGCTCTTTAAAGAGCTTGTAGTAATCCTGGCCTTTGTATGAACTCTTTCCAGACAGGAAATTTTCGGCACCACCACCAAAGAGAACATCAGGCCCATCCCATTCTGTCCAAGAGTAATTGGTTAACCCTTGGTAGTAAGAGTCAATCACATGTTCGTATTGGCCTCGATCGCGAGTATGAGCAGCCAGTGCCGCAGGTGTAGCATCGGCTAAAGAGCCAAGCTTAGCAAAATACCTTCACTATCCGGGAAAAGATATGACTTACATAAATGTGCAGTGGACACGATACCGACACCAGCGTCAGGATATATTCTATGGAAGATTTCCGCAATAGTCTCGACCTTTGGATCATCAAACGGATCTTTCGACGAATCAACATAGACACCCAGCGCATTCACCGTGGTCTTATGGCCGGTGTACAGAGCTGTGGCAGAATTGGCGGAGTCCGTGATGAAGGAGTCCATGGAGTGAGTCATCTGGTGGCCCAGCACTGGGAATTTATCCATCTGCATTGTTGTCTGATACTTTCCATTCACGGAGCGGTGGGCAATCAGGCGTGCAGCGGTGATCATGTTCGTGGTCATTCCATCGCCAATGAACAGGACCACATTCTTGGCCCTCCTGAATATGGACAGATCTTTCACTGTCCAAGTAGCAGTGGTCTTCATGCCATTGTAGTAGGTTAAAGTAGCTTCGTATTCTCCAGGTTGGTACAAGGCAACTCTACGATACACTTTCGAGGCAACGCGAACTAGCGAGGGCTTCTTTGCATCTTTGGCGAAAAGATCTACGGGGCACAATGTGAGCAGGGGGTTCGTCCACAGAAAAGTCACAGCAAATTGACCTTCAAAATGACTTACCTTCGTACCAGGAGAAGTTCCAGGTCTCTAGCTCTGGTTCCTTGACCTTGAAAAAATCTGTAGCCTTTTTGGGTTTGCTTCCGCGACGTTTGCGGGCGACGGTGAAGGTGAAGTTCGGGTCAGGTTCCCCAGCACGCGCCTCGGAGCCGTTGACAGGGGAGTGGACCTCCAGTCGAATATCGAAATACTGCCCGGGGAGGAATTCGGCCCTATCACAAATCCATCAGACATCAGCAGCTCTTTTAGAGGAGACAGGCGGTGGACATTCGTACTGGTCCGGTGGGAAGATGCAACCCAGGCCAGGACAGCCACCCAGACGTTGGAATGTCTGAGTTAGGCCGGATGCGGAGAAAAGGGCAATACCCGCAACCAACGAAAGCTTCATGGTTACGACGACAGCAGCAGAGCCGACCTGCTCGCGAGTCAAGGAGACGGGATGCCTCTTTTGAAATATGAAGACGAGGATAGACTCAGGTGGCAGGAATTCAGCTCTCTTTAAAACTGTTTCGTATCTGACTATTCGCGGGAGTGCAACCAATGCCGGGTATCCATGGATCCTGACCGAGATCGTGTCCAGGCGGGACCGTTCGCGCAGACGCCATACAGGTGATTGTGTACATACGAAAGGCCGCGAGCCAAAAAAGAAGATTCCCTCCACATTGTTCTCCAGAGCCCAAAATGGCCAATGATCGCCCTTGCGAAGGCCATGCTCCAACGGCACGTGGAAGATTGGCAGCAGGCAGCCCCAGCTTGGTGAGCAGATGGCCAGCCGGCGACAGAAGCGGTTCTGCCGTCGGATCTCTCTCAAGAGTTTCCTGCCGGGCTCTGGAAACCGACAGATTGGGGCGTGTTCATGTGCCCGTTGGTTCTCTCCATTGCACAAGGATGCACCAGTGACCAGCTTTGTGTCAATTACCGAGCTGTATTCGAATTGTATTTGTATTTGAATTGGGAGAACTCAAAATACTTTGGCTGGGCACAAATCACATGAAACGAGCTGGTATTATTGGTTGACTACCCCATTACTCAGCTCGCGCTGATCAGATTTAGTGCGGTACCTGGACTTTTTTTTGTTAACTGACCAATCACAATTCATAGTTTCACATGGCCGGTGTTGATCCGGATAGCTCGAATAAGCTTATTCTGTACCTGGTACGGACTACACTCACCCAAAACCGGACGTCACCCCTTGTAATCCGTAAGGATGTGTGTATATACATAGGCGTGTGGAAAGGAGATCACCCCCTGGATAATTTTCCATTTGGCGAAATCGTCTGCAAGGAATGGAAATGCGGCGTGGGGTGATTCCTGGTACACAGCCATCCCTGGAAATGGCCGGCGAGAATTGCAATGCCACCATGCCCAGTAGCCGACACGCAGAGAGACACGTGCTGGTGGCTTCTGGTCGACGAAGAACCTTATTCGAGGGCTCACTTTTTTCCTTTCTGTTGGTTAAGGAACTCCTCTGTGGGCGGGCCGAACTCGACCTCCATTTTAGGCTTCCCCACTCTCCTTGGCGGCGCCGTGCTCTTCGATGAATCGGCTTGGGTTATCAGAGCATGTATCCACGGCCGGCCATTAAAAAAATTCGCCCCCCGGGGAACCACGGAGGACTTCTGCCTCAGAGGGCATATTTGCCATGGATGAATGGTAGTTCGGAGGTTTCGGTTGAAATTAAACCTGCGGAGAAGCAAATTCATCAATGTGAACGCGATTGACCCTAAGGAGAGCCATAAATTCAAAAGCATCGAAGGCGCGGAAGCACTACTTTCTCTTCGTCTCTCTTTTTTTTTTTTTTTCCTTTTTTTTTTTTTTTTTTTCTTACTCAGCGACACGGAGCTCCACCATTGGACATGTAATCATGTTGACTTTCATCAAACATATCCAAGCGATTCTTCTGCGTTGAACGTATTTGTAATTGCAAGCAGCCAGGGAAAACGCTTTGTGTAGTTTCACCCTGCAGCAGATGATAGATATCCGCTGGTTGCCCATAGGTAACTAACTAACTAGTTAGTTAGTCAGCACCCCAGCCAAGGCTTTCCGTCACTTCGAGACGCTGGGTAGCAGGTCAAGAAGACCGTTTAGGGACAGAAGGAAAAATGTCAGGCAAATCTGAGGCTGAAAGCTTGGTTCCAAGGTTCAGGATCGAAAGACTCCTCAATCAAGGTTAGCAAAAAGAGGCGCTGCACGTCTGTGCAATGTCTTTTAGAGACGCGGGATGGTGCACCAAACTACCAGCAGAAGGCCCCGCGACGTCTCCTCCCGTAGCTACATGATAAAATGGCACGCTGACCATGAATCTGATATCCAACAGACCAAAATGACCGCCGGATTTCAATTTTAGGCTCTATTGATGACCAGCCTGGCGTCCTGATCATCGAGAGAGCAGCTTTCGTTGCAGATATCGGCTCCCTCAAGGCGTTCCATGCGGCATTGGGCAATGTCACAAACCTGGGCGCGAACGACATTTACCGCTGGTATATGGCCTCTTCAGGCCAAAACCACGTCAATCCACCAGACCTCAAGCTTAACCTGATATGGCCTTGTACCGAGCAACACGTTCTAAAATACTCTGCCCAGAACGTTCGGATGGTCACGGAGACCCCGGAAATATATCAAAAATATGTTAGGCCCTATATGCAGGAGAAACGGGGCAACGGTCGCCTGAACTGGGTCTTCAACATCATTGAAGGACGCAAGGAGCAGGAAGATGTGCTTCACCGGGAATCCGATCCTGAAGAGGGATTCCTACTTTTACCCGATCTTAACTGGGACAGGAAGACTATTGGCACATTACGCTTGCTGGCTCTAGTAGAGAGGAGAGATATCTGGAGCATGAGAGACTTGAGAAAATCTCATGTCGTTTGGTTGAAGCAAATGCGCCAGAAGCTTCTCGAGGCAGTTGTTAAAGTGTACCCTGAGCTTGACACCGATCAGCTCAAGCTTTACATTCATTGTAAGTGGCGCGATGCCTATCCTCTTCAGCTTACTGGCCGAAGGCTACTTCTCCTTAGATTCTTAATCTAACCTTGCGAGCCTCGTATAGACCACCCGACTTACTATCACTTACACATTCATGTTGTGAATGTCATGCTTGAAGCCGGAACCACCCAGTCGACAGGGAAGGCTTTTGGGTTAGAAAACCTGATTTCTCAATTAGATGCAATGGCAGGAGATGCAGACGCAAGCATGGCAGACGTGCCCGTCTCTTTTTTCCTTGGAGAATCGAGCGAGCTATGGACGAGCATCTTTGGGCCTTTGAAGCGAGGCGAAACGCCGAGTTCTGGGCATTGACACCGCATCGCCTCTAATACCACCAGTCTTTAAGTGATTCAAGTGAACTCTTTGTTTTATAGAGATACCATTTCATAGAATGAGAAACAATTGCACTCGACGTTAGTGGGCGAGTATGCCTGGAGCGGCCTTGGATGCGGGGACGAGTGTGCTGAGTTTGCACTATGACGCATGCTCCCCGCGATAAATAAATTCTCATCAAAGTGCTGCCTCCGGGAGCTGTCAGAACATCAACAACAAGCCGAAGAAACCCTAGAGAAAGGTCTAGCGTGGCAGATAATCTATAGAATCTTTGATTGTTATTCCTACAAAAATGGCAGACAATCCAGACTCTACCAAAGCATTCGTACCCCTCGGTAAAGTCCTCCACAACTCGTCCCGCGCCCATATCACATCTGCCCTTCAGGAGGAACAAGACCAAATCCGACGGAAACACCTTGCTAATCCTTAAAAAAATAACACCAGAAAACAACCCGGAGGTGATGTCCCACCTCGTCCACCAACTCGGTCTCTCCCCCGCTCTCGGTTTCGCCGACGTTTTTAGCATCGACGACCCAGAGCTTATCGCTTTCGTCCCCCGTCCCTCCCACGCGCTACTCCTCGTCTTCCCCATCTCTCCCGCCTATGAATCCGCGCGCATAGCCGAAGACTCCTCCAAATCCGAATATACTGGCTCGGGCCCCAACGAACCCGTGACGTGGTTCAAACAAACTATCCGCAACGCATGCGGTCTCATCGGCCTCCTGCACGCAGTCTCCAACGGCGAACCGCGAAAAAACGTCACTCAGGGATCTGATCTTGAAACGCTCCTGCGCGATGCAGAGCCGTTGGATCCGATCAAGAGGGCAGATTTGTTGTATGAGAGCTCTGCGTTGGAGAGTGCGCATGCGGATGCTGCGAAGAGGGGGGATACGGAGGCCCCCCAGGCGGATGCGAATGTGGATTTACACTTTGTGTGTTTTGTAAAAGGTGATGATGGTCGATTGTGGGAGTTGGATGGGCGGAGAAAAGGTCCGTTGGATAGGGGAATGTTACAGGAGGGAGAGGACATGTTGAGTGAGAAGGCCTTGAAAGCTGGGGTGAGAAAGTTTTTGGAGTCGGAGGCGGCTGGTGGTGCGGGTGATTTGAGGTTCAGTCTTGTCAGTCTGGGACCGGCATTTGACTAATTGTGTGCTTTGCAAATACTATGGTTTTGATTAACCACCCTGGTCCTATTTGGCTATGGAAATGATGCGGATAGCTATGTATTATCAAAAGGATTAGTTATACCACGTACTATTACGGGGATTTTCTCGATTGAAACGATGTTTCAGGAAACCTATGGGTATCTAGCATCCTATCATCCACACCACCAACGCCGAAAACATTGTTCCATTCTAAACAGGCTCAGTGGCTCCGGCATTCGTCCACCACCCATCCCAATTGAATCGCAGCACCTCATCACCACAGGACCACCAACCCGCCGTAAGATTTCTAGCAAAGACCTCGAGAGCATTGTACTCTTTCATATATCTTTGCTCACCATCCGCATCCCGCGAAGTGAAGAAAAGTTGCTCTACCATTTCCTTGAGATTCGGTTTCCGAGAGTGAACATCTGGCACAGCGGCGATGACTCTCCGTCTCAGTATATGATTCAGTTTCCCATCACTACTGGGCAGGCGTTGCCTCCCTAGAACCAACACCTCGTACGGCAGTCTCCACAGCGCACGAACAGGCGAAACTGGGTAACCACTGGTCGTCGTCTTGATCCAAACCCATTCCTCAAAGGGTTGCAGCTGGGCTGCCTTGAGCGCTTGACGAGCAGCAGAGCGAGATTTATGGTTATTTGTCGTCCAGATCGCGGCAATCCCTCCCGAGGGGTCGAGTTGGGCTTTTAAAATCCGGTTTATCAGCCTTTGAAGAACAGAGAATGTTGGTATTGTCTCGTAGTGAGCCGAACGGCTAACAGAGCGGTTGGGCCAAGGAGGGTCCATGATGACGAAGTCAAATTTTCTGTCCGATGGAAGGAATGAAAGAAGGCTGGGAAAGGAGACTGGTTGAGTTGACATGTGTGTAAGACAAAAAGCTGCCTTTGGTGGGATTGTGAACGTTATCAAACCTGCCGGTTCGACAGTCGACTTCCCCTGGCCCCGCAGGTTGGTGGCGCTGGATGTCTGCTGTGCATTTCGAATGCGTAAAAGCGCAGGAGCAGAAGATGTATTCTTCACGGTCATGCTCCGAATAGAGTTCAAGGTGGGAATTATATTCAAGCCAGGCGATAATATTAACGGGGGTACATCCTCAGAGAATGAGGCATCTTCCCGGGTGCTCTGACGTCCATCACTCAAACTAAACCCCTTTAACGCATACAATTTGCCCAAGTTTGGCTCTCCAACTTGACGATCTTGGTCCTGTTTCTTCCCAGAAATGTCCTGCAGGTAGCCAGGCCGCATCGCTCGCGGGAGGCACCATCCTTGAGTGTCATGATTAGCACGTAGTTCCCGTAACGCGTCATTAACGAGGTCCGCCAATTTGTTACGATATTCCAGTTCAACAGCCGGAATGCGCTCCATCACTCTGAGCATTGCTTTCGTGCCCTTTGGTTCAGTTGAAGGGCTCGAATAAGGATGTTCCAATGGTGGACAAGAGAAAATTGACGGCGTGCCTATCTCCTTTGAATCATCTCCAGTGTACCTGGATTCTTGCTGGGCCAGACTAATAGAAGCCGGAATGTCTATTAGATATACAGTGTGATCCTCGTTACAATAGAGGATGGCTGAAGGGCTCCCGCCCTTTGCAGGTAAAGAGCATGCCATTTTCACCAGATGGCAATGTAGGAAGATTGGAATTGATCAAACTCAAGCTTTCATTCATATCGATATTGCTATATCCACTAAAGCGTAGAGCCGATAACGATGATTTTGTTCTCACATCATATTCTTACATCCGACATCATGGAGCTAGATGTGTGATGCAAACAATACAAACAACTAGTTGGTGCAAATAGGTGCAAACATAGCCAAATCGAGACTACTCAGTTGCATATAACCCATAATTATCTCCCCCCTTATTGAATTCAGATGAACTTGGTATTGATACTCCCAGCCTTTCATTCAGTTTCAAAAAGATACAAAGTAACTGCGCACTATCAACCCTTGAATATAAAACAAACCATAATCAGCATATGACATGAAACAACAAAGTCCCTACCATACCCTAAGTAGTACGACGCCATAAGCGAAAAGTATGCAATCAAATAGACAATAATATAATTTATCCGGTTTTTTCTTTAAATGCAAACTGCCCTTGATGGACTGATTTGAGGGAGGGGGTAAAAAAAGGAAAATAGCATAGGTAAGAGGGATCACAAAGCAAACACATACACATGCATACATACATACATTTGACAAGAACAAAAGATGAATAAAACAGAAGCAGAAATGAAAGGAAAGTGGAGGGAAGCAGATATGAGATTCACACAAATTTGAAATCTTCAAATAGTTTAGAGAGGCCTGATTGCTTTTTGACCAAAAGTAGAAACACACCAGGTCAAACAAGTGAAGAGAATGAGGTCCAAAAAAGCAAGGTAGCGTTAAGGATGGTTCCGTGCCCGCCGGTGGCAGAAGTAAAACTGAATTAAAGAAAAGTCCAGGTATGTGCTGCATGACATGTGTGTTCTAATGGTCCTGGGTTTGTTTACTTGCTGGATGACCTGCAAGTTATGCACGACCATGTGCTAGCACATATGGCTTGTATGCAATATCCCACGCTTTCAAAACTCCAGGTGGTGTCAAGAATCCCCTGTAGGATAAAGGAAGCATCAGGAGGAAGTAAACAAGTTCATAAAACAAGGTGAAGAAGAAAAAGAATATGGCTGGTTTAGATACTTTTTGTTCTGTTTAGAGCCCTTCGCTTTCATTCCCTTCCTCCCTTTCAGTGATAAAAAAAAGGCAAAGGAATTGTGACCACCTTAAGAAGGGGGGAAAATAGGAAGCAGATCTCAGACAAATAGACACCGGTCGAATATTCCAAATAGAGGACTATGCTTTATCTCTATATGTCAATTAGTCAATGATCTCAGCCGATTACAAGACAAAAGATAAACTTACCCGTCCTCGGCGGCCACCGGGAGCAGACCCCTGCGAAGGCTGGGGCTGCTGATAGAAAGGTTGTGGGTAGCCATACAGCTGGCCAGCACCCATAACCGGAGTTGTGATAGGGCTGAATTGCGAAGGTGCAGCAAATGCAGGCTGCTGCATCATCGGATTGGTGCTAAGCTGCGCCGGTGGTCCGGGAATCGGAGAACTGTGGGTTTGCATGGTACGGAATGCATCTATCGAAGGAGCGTTTGTTGGATAACCACCAAAACCGTTCGTTGGCATTCCCGAGTAGAATGCTCCCTGTGGAGACATTCCACGGGATTGAGCAGCCAGGAAATTTTGGTATTGCACTTGTGGGTTAAGAGAGTTGACAGGGTCGGCACTAAAACCGGGGGCATTCATGGCATTGAAGTTACCAAGTGGAACCTGAGTGTTTATTCCACCGAGCGAGTAGGGATCGAAGGGAAGAAGGTTGTGGTCTGATGAAACGGATCGGGCCATGTTGGATGGAGAGTTGAAAGATTGAGGAGGTATATTGGGCGGGAACTGTCCGCTGTATTGCCTTTCGGGCTGAGGTGGAACATTTGCGGCGGGCTGCCTGGGAGGCTGTCTTCCTTGGTTCTTTTCTTGGCCATTTCCGTGATCCCTACCGTGATGAGTATCCCGCGATGGTCCATTTCGTGAAGAAAGTCCAACTTCGTCCATCAGGCGCTTATATCCTTGGCTTGGCGAAGTTTTTAGCTTCGTGAGGACTTTCGCCACGGTTTTTACCACTTCAGCACGCATGCTCTCTTCGAAGAAAGGTGTGGTGAGAACCTTAAATATCAATGTCGCACCGGATACCTGGTCCTTGAGGATGTTCTCTAGAGTTTCATCTCCTGAGCTGAAGAATAATGCTTTCAGGATAATCTCTCTCGCTTCTGGCTCATTCCTTTGGTTCACAATTTTCAATACAGTCAGATAGGCTACCTTGTGCGTACAGAGGTGCACCAAGTGTGGAACGAGTCGAGGAGCGAGCACAGTGCGGCGATGAGGGAAATTGCAAGTATCCAGGAACCATGTCAACAGCAGAGCCCCATTGGCATTAGTTGCCAACTGGACGCTATGAAGAGCGATGGCAGACGCAAGCATTCGTTGCTGGTCCTTCGTGGCATGGTGGCTTTCTAGACACGCTCTCATCGCTCTTGCGCCGAATCTTCCCTGTGCAATTTCCCACATCCGACTAAGCATCGTCTCAAAAATGAAGTCATTGTAGGGCGGCCCGAAGCGAAGACAGCATTGCAGGACATAATTTCCGTACTGGTCAAGGAATAGTGGAACAGTGTATGGTCGTAGGCTTTCGACGATCATTTGTTTTTGGGTGTGAGTCTTCGCTACATCTATAATCTTCTGTGCAGCCCAGGTGCCGTTCTTATGTACGCCGATTTCTGCAAGATGAGGGGCGATCGGAACGAGCATCTCTTCCTTGGTGGCTTCAGAACAGAACTCAAACAGCTTCTGCACCACAGTATTACCCAAGTAATCTGAGGATAGTTCTGCGATTTCAGGAAGCATGGCTTTAGCGGTCTCCTCAATCTCTTGGACACTGCATGCTCCATTGTCGATGCGTTTTCGGATGTCTCTGAGTTTGGGAGCATCGAAAGTTCGAGTTTGGCTCGGCTCGGGGATTGGAGCAATCTCGTCATTGAAAGACTGATAGCTGATTGCTCTCTGGATATTCTGGCTGATATGCATGCATTCGTTCTCTGACGCACCGAATTCTGTTACAATTTGGGCCATCTCTGGAAGCAATTTGGATAGCTCGGGGATCTTCGGAGAATCGACACGGCCTTCTTCCTTGCCAGAGCCTGCTGCACCGTCACCTTGCTGGCCGGAAGCATTTGGATCTGGTGTTGGAGACGACTGAGAATCGCTGTGACCAGGAGTCTCAGAAGCTGGTGTCACCGGGACCTTTGCATAACCAATACGGACAGGGCCGGCACCGGGAAAGATTTCCTTGCCATTCAAAAGCGACTTGGCTTGGATCGCGCTCTCTACGCGCTCGAAGTTGACGAATCCACAATTTTTGTGGGTCAGCACTCTAGTCGACTCAATTTTGCCATACATGCTGAAAATAGCATCTAAAGATGTAACAGTTGTCGAGACGGGTATGCTCCCAATCCAAAGCGCCCGGGTTGGTCCTTCCAGATTGTTTTCTTCGGCCACTTCCTGGCCGGGTCGCATTGTCCCAAGGCCTCCTAGTTGCATCATCTGGACGGCTTCCTGCAACTCGTCATATTCCCCTGCTTCAGCAATTCGTAAATCCGCGGCGCTAATACTGTTGTCTAGTCTGGAAGGAGTCGCAAGGTAGTTACGGATCGCCGATCGCTGAGGTGGGGTGTCTAGCACACCGGCGGTACGAGCGCGTGGCCGGCTTGCCGACGCCTGGTTTGCAAATGCTTGAACAGCGAGGTTATGCTGATGAATCTGAGCCTGAGTTGCAGCCAACTGAGCTGCTGTGGCTGCAGCTGAAGGGGTCAAGGTTCCAGATGGTATACCCGAATAGTGAGCCCCAAACTCTTCTTCATCTTCGGCATACTTTTCCTTTGCATTGACCGAGTATGAGCGGAACCTGTTCGTACCCCTGTTCAGCATCGTTAGCTCAGCAAGCAGCGGAGGCAAAGAGGGGGCTTGGTGTTGTTGTTGTTGCTGGTGCTGCTGTTGCTGCTGGTGCTGCTGTTGTTGCTGCATCATGATATCAGCAGGACGCGCCAGGGTCGCCCTTGTCTGTTGTGGAGTTTCTGCGAGGCCAAGATAATCTAAAGTTTTCACGTCAGCGTCGGCTAAGCCGTCTCGCGAAAAGGAAGACTGCGATGGAGACGTGGGTCCTTCCGAGGAGCGGATGCTGGTCAGAGTAGTAGCGCGGTCACGGCCCGAAGCCCAGTTGGTCGAGAAGAGAGACGGGCCAAAGGGGTTACTGTTTCCAAGGACGGTCGTGCGCTGTGGCATAGACCCTGCTCGAAGTCGAGATAGAAGGACTCCGCTTCCCGGAGCCGAAGTTCTTGGGGTTTCTAGGCCAGGAGGACGAAAGGGACTGGTCGATGGGGTAGGTCTAGAGGTTTTGGAATTTATGGACGACTGGACGTTGACGCCGTTGAGAGGCCCGACTGGAGAGAATCGAGAGGGAACCGTGTCAGCCCGTGTGCGTCGCGCTGGGCTCTGGATGTTCGTCTCTGGCAGTGGGATTAAATCTGGAAATTCATCCTGACCGGGGGACTCGGGGATGTTTTCTCGCAAAGGTGTTGAGTTTCCGCTGGTTGGAGGACCCCAGATATTCGGAGTCACCCCTTCTTGAGCTTGGATCTCTCTTGCCCTGAACCAGAAAAGGCAGAAAAGAAGCGAGGCACATACGTCAGCGACGAGAATTATACTTTTGGCGGTAATCAAAGGGGGGAAAAAAAAGAAAAAAAAGAAAAAACAGAAAAAAAAAAAAAAATGCTTACCGCTTGGAGTAGATGCGAGCGCTGAGTTCGTGGGAAGGGGAGCCAGCCGTCCTTCTCGCACTTCCGATTGATCCACCTGCGCTGACTAGGCCATTTGATCCTCCAAATGCGGATTTCATCGAGCCTGGCGCCTGTAGTTCGCTGGGAGACGAGCTTCCGGTCGATGTTCCCGAACGTGGCTGGCCCGTCGGGAGGTAGCTAAGATTAAGATGGCTGTCCGGTCTTGAGGAGGGTGCCATTATAGATTAAAAGATATTCTTTCCTTTTTTTTTCCTTTATTTTCGTTCGTCCGTTAAATCTATGGCTTCTCTCTGAGAAGAAAGAAATGGGTTCAGAGACGGGAAAGATGACGAAGACGGATGCGCCCAAAGGTAACTGACAACACCATTAGGTCAATAAAAAGCTTTCCGGGCCCTCCTGCAGTGTATAGAGATTAGACGAAGGGCTCAGATCGTGGCTTTGAATGGAGAGATCGCACGTTGAAAGAGGGTTGAAAGATGATTACCGGTGTCGATGTTGGCCGTAGGATCGAGTTGGAAGGCGGATTTGGGCCGTTGGGACAAGGCTTGAGCTTCAGACGCCGTGACTAGCTTCGGGGGATCCGTGGGACCAAAGTTTGTCGCAACCAGAGAACAACGGTCGGACAGCCTAGCCCGGCGAGCAATGGGTGAGCGAGACCGTCACTAAATGCACTACGGCACGCAACAGGATGAGAAGACAGGGAAAATAGCCATGCAGCCAACAAAAGGGGGGCAAAAGGAGGAAGAAGAAGAAGAAGAAGAAGAAGAATGCGATGGCACGGGTGGGCGTTCGTGGGGGCGGCAGGACGGGGTGTGGCTGGTCTGAAGCTTACAGGAGAAAACGGTCGGAGCCCCTTTCAGAAGAAGAGAATCCGAGAATTAAAAAGATCTATCGTAAGGAGAGTCGCCGAGTAAGGCACGCAGGTCCAGGCGAAGAAATGAAGAGACGATTACCAGCGTGTCATCGAGAGACGGAGATGCGTGAGGTTAAAGGCAATCGGGGTCTGGCGGCTCAAACTCGGAGAGCAGCGTGTGGTTTTTGAGGTGGGAAAATATGGGACGAATAAAAACTCACTGTGCGGGAGAGAGAATAGAAGGATAAGATGAAGAATAAAAAAAAGGAAGAATAAAAAGAGAAAAGAAAAAAAAAAAAAAAAAAAAAAAGAGAGAGAGAGAGAGAGAGAGAGAGAAGCAGAAGAGAAGATGAAGAGAGGAACAGATTAGTGGAGGAGTCCTTTTCTCTTGGTTCTGTTTGCGAGTTCAGGACAGTCCGTCGGAGGTGGAGGAGGAGAGGAGAGGAGAGAGGAGAGAGGGAAAATTGGGACGAGACGGTCTGGCGATGAAGTTCAAAGAAACACGGATTGAGTTCACCAACTCACTGGCTCTTCTCGTGTCCTGTCTCTCTACTCTCGCACACTGTCTCCCCAGATCTCTTAACACGATTAGTTATTATTATTACCATTCGAGTCTCTGCTGGTTCTGGGGCACAAGAGTCCTTTTTTTGAAACTTTCTTATTATCAGCAAGCTAGTTTATTAAAAGGCCGGGATTCAAGCCCCCAGTTGCAGAGTCGCTTTTCTGCGTCCTGAAACATCCACCACCAGACCTCATCCTTTGATAAAAGGGACGCTCTCTCCGCGCTAGTTAACTGCCAATCCGCTCACTAACCCAGCGAACTATTAGTCTCCCTGCCATCAGGGGGTCGGCTCTGTCTGCCCTGACCGAATCACGACGGGCGGCCAGAGCTGAAGGTTCCTGGACTAACAAATTCCAAAAATAAGCACTACACATTTCCATCTCAAGGTTCCCTTTCTTCTAGAAAAAGAACAACGATCTGCTTTGCCGCTCTGGACTCTCCTCGTATTTGCCCTGGACTGCGATCTGTCAAAACAGCATATCCGGTTAACCCAAAGGGAAAACACGCTGCATGTTCTTCCTCCCCCCCTCCTCCCCTGTCCACTGAATTTCGGCCCTCGACCCGCCCGAGATTTTTTTCACACTGACAAGAACGAAACTAGTTTGATTCCAGCAAACTTGGCTTCGGCTTCTCGACTCGAGAGCGCCCTTTTCTTTCCCGACAAGCCGTCTCGAATCCTGAGCATGAAAGAGTGAGCGGTAATCAGCACCGCCAGAGGAGCTCGAAAGCCATCCACAGAAAGCCAAAAAAGAAAAAAAAAAGAAAAAGAGAAGGGCTGGGCGGCGCTGGAATGCCGAGATTGCGCAATGCTGATACACTAGCCCAGGACTCCAAGTCAATGGTCTGACAGGGCCTCTTTTCTTTCGACTTCGATGGCGTTTCATTCTCCACAGGTAGGATACCGGCGCACTGCAGTGGTTGGATGCCTGGGTGAAATTGGCATACCAGACGATGCATCTTCAGTCTGAAAGAGTCGGACGCCTTGCTCATCTGCTTTGCTGTCGAAGGGCGGTGAGAGACCCGTTTCAAAAATCGCTTTTGTCTATGCGGGAGGGAACTCTGGCCTCGCTATCATAGTTAACCTGTTAATGTCCACCTCGGATCTCTTCATGCGACGGATGATCGACTGCCTAGGACAAACAGGCCCAAGCAGGGCGATCACGTAGTAGTCAAACCAGCCCGGTACGGAGTAGATCGTAGCACTCACATCATCGCGCACAGCGGCCGCGAGTTGGCCCGTTTTCCCGTTGTGACTCAGACCCTAGCGATAAGAGGCGGCCCTTGCTTATCGCCCAGTCCAGTCATAGGGGGTGAATGGCGGGGTTGAACCCAAAATTCAAAATACCAAAAAAAAATAAAAAACATAAAAAATAAAAAAAAAGTTCATTGACACGATCAACGATCACACAAGCACTTCCTCCAACCCGTGCCTGGCGAATCGTGGAAAGTCTCAATTGAGCCGTTCAGAGCAAAAGACAAGAATATCTCAACGATATGGCGCCGTCAGCGCCCAACACTATCTACATCGACGAGGACGTAGGCAGGGACGATGAATCCGCCGCCGGCACCGACCTCTCCCCTTACAAGACCCTCGTCTACGCCTTTCTCCAGCACCCGCCATCCACCGAGGACATCCAGTATCTCACCCGGAAATCCGAGACGGGCCCCGTCGGCGAAGATGGCGACCCGTCCGTCCGCCTTGAGTGGAAGCCAGCCACCAAGTCCGCGCTGAAGAAAGCCACCAACCTGTTCGAGGCAAGGAAGAAGAAAGCCGCCAAGGAGCACGAATTGGCTCTTCGACAGAAGGAGGAGGCGGAAAAGAGGCAGCTGGTGCTCGAAGCTGCGAAGAAGGTGGTCATAAAAGAGGATGCTTCCCTGCCGAAGCCCGTGAGGATTAGACTCTATGAGAAAGACCCCGCGAAGGTGAAGCTGCGGGACGGTGACACGCCGGGCACAAGGGTTCGTGTGCTGGGGAGAGTTCATCGTCTGCGATCGCAGAAGGATGTTATATTCGTGACGCTGTCTGATGGATATGGCTTCTTACAATGTGTCTTTACCGGCGATCTCGTCAAGACATACGATGCGATGACCCTTACCCTCGAAACCTCCATTGCCGTCCACGGAGAGATGTGTGCTGTTCCGCCAAAGCAGCACGCTCCCGATAATCGGGAACTCCATGCGGATTTCTTCACGGTCATCGGTCGTGCCGCTGGCGATAAGGAGGCCATCACGACCCGTGTGGCTCCCGACGCCGACCCCCAGACCCTCTACGACAACAGACACCTGGTCCTCCGTGGCGAGATCGCCTCCTCCGTCATGAAAGTCCGTGCCGCCGTTATTCGTGCCTTCCGCTCAGCCTTCGAAGAGCAGCGCATGCTCGAAGTGACACCGCCGGCCATGGTCCAAACCCAGGTCGAAGGCGGCTCCACGCTCTTCTCGTTCGACTACTACGGCGAACCCGCCTATCTGACCCAATCCTCGCAGCTCTACCTCGAAACCTGCCTCCCCTCCCTCGGCGACGTATTCTGCATCTGCCCTTCCTTCCGTGCCGAAAAGTCCCTCACCCGCCGCCATCTCTCTGAATACACCCACATTGAAGCCGAGCTGGACTTCATCACCTTCGACGACCTCCTCGACCACCTCGAAGTCATCATCTGCCGGGTCCTCGACCTCGTGCTCGCCGACCCACAGATCGCCGGGTACATCAAGAGTCTCAACCCAGACTTCAAGCCGCCCAGCCGGCCCTTCAAACGCATGAAGTACGCCGAGGCCATCGACTGGTTGCGCGAGCACAACATCCCTAACGAAGAAGGCAACCCACACACGTTTGGCGACGACATCGCCGAAGCGGCCGAGCGCAAGATGACCGACACCATGAACCAGACGATCTTCCTGACCCATTTCCCCGTGGAAATCAAAGCGTTCTACATGAGGAAGGACCCGGAGGACCTACGCGTGACGGAGAGTGTGGATGTGCTGATGCCGGGCGTGGGAGAGATTGTAGGAGGAAGTATGAGAATGGAGGACTGGGATGAGTTGATGGGGGCGTATGCTAGCCGAGGGATGGATCCAACCCCGTATTACTGGTACACGGATCAGAGGAAGTAAGTTCCCTCCATTATCTGCTCTCTTCTTCCCCTTTCGACGATATCGTTCTGTCCTGTATACTAATTCTCTTCTCTTTTTTTTTACCTTTGCTTCTAGGTATGGCACATCTCCACATGGTGGATACGGACTTGGAGTGGAACGGTTCCTGGCCTGGATGTGCGGACGATACACCGTCAGAGAATGCTGCCTCTACCCCCGTTTCACCGGAAGATGCACCCCATGAACATCGAAATCCCTTTATTAAATATTCTCCGTCCTTTAGAATCAGAAAGAAAGAATACAATCTGAACTTACATGGCTTCAAAAATACCAAACTCACTTCGCCAAATATTCCTTCTGGTAGATTGTTGAATGTCTTTTAAGTCTATTGGTTAGAGGAATGTTACAATTCCCAACAAGGTATCACTGATGGGGAGGGGCAGCAAGTAGATGCCTATCTCCCGATAATATCTATTATCCCTTTTTTCACTTCATTTAGATTTTTTTTTTTTTTTTTTTTTTTTTTTTGTTTTGTTTTGTGTTTCTCCTTCTCTCTCTCTCTCTCTCTCTCTCTCTCTCTCTCTCTCTCTCACACCCGGGGGGTTTCCCAGAAAGAAATGAACAATCCGTCCCGCACCTTGGGCACTCCGAATTCCAGGCCCAAGATCAAGGCATCAAGCGGACTTGCCATGGTAGATACCGGACTGCACCCCATTTTCCATGCCCCTCCGCATCGCGGACATCGAGCACTTCAACTCCAGCGATCCACTGACCGTCTCCGTCGCGGTGGAAGTGCTCAGAGACGGTGGAGACGAAGCATACTCTTTGGAGGACTGCTTCTCGTCGCCGTCGTCGCCAAACTCGCTGTTCACAGCCGTAAGGGTCGGGGAGGGGCCGGCGTTGATGACGATGTCGGGGGACGAAACGATTCTTTCTTTGTTCTCTTCGACCGGGTTGATGCCGCTGTGGCCGGCGGACTCGGGGTGTGGTTGCGGCGCCGGGCTACGCCGGAACTGGAGGAGGAAGCGGTATGCGGCGGTTGACTCGATGGTGCGTCTGGGACGGGGCGGGAGGAAGGTGGGCTTTTCGAGCTTTGGTTTTTCGTCCAGGTATGTTACTGGCTTGTCGCCCACGATGAGCTTCGGCGTCTCAAAGTATGGAAAGGAGAAAGGCTCTCGCGTCTGGGCCATCGCTCTCATTGCTTGCGGTGGTGGTGGTGGTGTTGGTGGTGTTGGTGGTGTTGGTGGTGTCTTTGCGGTTGTTGTTATCGTTGCTGCTGCGGAGGATGATCTCCGGCGAGGAGGGGTTAATTTGGGGTATGTAAATGACGACAGAGTTTGGAGTGAAAGTGAAATTGGCTTCAGAGAGTCTGTATTCCGGCACCTACAGAGGATGTACTGTAAGCCATGGTTTCCGGGCAGCTGGGTAAGTTGGGTGTGTGGCCTAGAGACATGGTATAAAAATAGCCCGGGACAGCATACATACCTGGTGCTGCAGTAGAGGATTGAATTGTTTGGAACGGTGATCTGATGCTCGCACGTGGCGCTAACAGGAGAGAGAGAAAATCATGTTTGTCAGCCCTCTGGCAGGTATAAACAAAACACTCTGCAGCGTTGCAAGGAACTGAAACAGGAAAGGGCGTGCAGATTTAAAAAGTAGGGCAGGTACTCCGTAGTAAATAAACATATAAAGTTGTGGAAGGGGCGAATTGCCTTTTTTTTTTTGGGAGGCAACTGCGAAGGGGCTGTACACAGGCTGTACATACCAAAACTGGATAAAGCTGGCTGCCATTTCCTCCCAGGTTCTTCGGCTCTCTCCTTCTCCTTCCCTCCCGGCTACCCAGGTAGGTAGGTACCCTCACAAGGTAACTTTTTTACAGTGGCTCTTGCTCTTCTGGCTGCTCTCAGACTCCGGCCAGCAGGTATACACTCGGCAATATCCGCTCCCCGCAACAAATAGCCCGAAGGGGAATCATAGCAACATCGCGGTCAACCGGGAAAGGAAAAAAAAAAAGGAAAAGAAAAGAAAGAAAAAAGCAAGAAAAAGAAAAAGAAAAAGGAAAAGGGGCAAAAAAACTAACAGAAAAGCAGCAACGACAGTAGTAGAAATGGAGTCAACAGCGAGAAAGAATCAAACTATGCGGCGGTGGCATCGAGCTCTTCTCAAGGTAACCCCGGCGAAGTTATTATCAGGTGCTGTGAGGAATACGTGGGATGGGCACGCGACCATTCGAGACCCCAGGAAACGTCAGTGAATATCTGTCGAACGGATAACTGTCGTTTGCCTTTTTAATTAAAGAGAGAGAAAATAAATATATATATTTATATAAAAAAAATATGAAAAAAAAGGCTCGGTCAACTATAGACGGGGTGAACAAGGCATGGTTGGCTTCTGGATCGACAGCGAGTTTTGGGTAATGATAAGATTATTCCTGCATGGAGATATTCCGAAGATGGAACCGCAATAACAAGTATAATAGCCTAGAGTATTATATATTTATATATATATAAATATATATAAATAAAATATGGGGTATGTATCCTCGAACGACTCTTTTTTCCTTGACGCAATGATGCTCCGAGAGGGAAATCTGTGTCATCACGTTCGGCGACAAGGACGAGGAAAGAGAGGATAGCGATCAATCTGATAGTCCTCGGCTGGAGCCCTCCCGATAGGCGTGAAAAAAGGGCGAAGAAATCGAAAGATAGAGAATTTGCGGGCGAATTCAGGAGCAATCTCTTTCCTATCTGTTCCCCATCGGAATGATAGCTTAAACTGTGACTCGAACATTAAAGAAAAAAGAGAAAAAAATCCAGCCAACCCTATCGGTCTGCCGAGGACGATGTTATCGCCATTTTTATGACCCGTTAGCTGCGATCCTCTGCGTTGACCGTCTTTTTCAACCTTATGCAGATGAGTGCGTATGTCAATCTTTATGCCTGCTCCCAGGATGTCCAACTTTGCAGGCGACTTGCTCGCTCGCCCGCCTCGTGTTTAGTTTGAACTTTCCGTCGTTAGCCGCAAGAGCAGCAGGACCAACCACGAACGGCCAATCTTCGCCCCACAGACTCCGCGTTTGCAGCTCCATCGAGTTACTCCGAGGCGGCGAGGCACTGGAACGGGTGCCGCACGACGGGCTTCCGCAACGAGACACATGCCTACTGGTAAACAGGAGTATGCCTGTATATCCCATGGATGTACTCCGGAAAGTCTGTATGTACATGCACTTCGGCCGCCTGTCATCTGAGTAAGGACTAACCACCTCGAGACGGTGTGCAAGAAGGCATGTAGCGGCCTCGAAGTTTCTTTGACAACCGATTGGCCCGAAGTTTCACCTAGACCAAAAAAAAAAAAAAAAAAAAAAAAAAAAAAGAAGAGCTACGCAGCCATGGAACAAGCATCATGGAGAGCAACCTGTTGCTGCTTCATACTACCCCCAGGTATTCCCAGCAAGCTGCATGCAAAGGTGAGCCTCTATTGACGGCGGAATCCGGGAGTGCGTGCTAGTAGAACTTTTTACACTCCCCCACCTCCACCTCTACCTCTACCTCTCAGCATCAACATCCTCAGGTTCAACGCTGTTTGACCGCCAGACTCGACTCGATATGCCAAGTGAAGAGAGTCCACCCGCTCACGTCACAGCTTGCTGGAGTTCTCGTCGCCTGGGAAGGGTTTCACCTGGGTTTGGGCCGGATGGTAACAAACAGCCTGAAACAAGGGCCACTAGCATGAAGCCAATTCAAAACAAGCAAACGAGCAAGCAGCAGCCCTCATCCCTGGGGGATAAAGAACAGTGCACGGCCGTGTTATGTAACTTCATATGAAGGTGAAGGCTCATGTTGGTGTTGGTGGTCAAACAGTTCCTGCGCCGCGGTCTGTATTGCTATCCAAACCCCCCCTTCCCTCCAAAATATTTTGGTTTTGGGTTATACTTTGTGTCATGGGCATTTTTCATTAAATCATTATTCATACATTGTCTGAAATGGGAATCTTGTAACCATTATTAAGGCGCATCCTATATATGCAGAATATTTGGCAAACAGGAACCATCAACCACTCGCGCCCGAACCTGCTTGGGACTCAGTAGGAGTAGCAGCAGCCGTAGTAGCGGTAGGGGATGACTTGACGGTGATACCCTCTCCGCTGACGGGTGGCGGCGGCCCCAGAATCTCCTGTGGCGGCGGCACGTTTGGAGCCAAGAAACGCTCTGGCACGCCCCGTGCGCCCCCTCCAAGTTCGCCCACAAAGCATCCCAGGAAGCCACTCCAGGCGTATCGACCCCCAAGGACCTGACGGATTTCTCGGTACGCCTGGGTGTTCGCGTAGCCTATGCCCGTTTGAGGATCGCGGTACCGGGCCGGCCGGCCTGTCACGGGACAATATTCTTGCGCAGGTTCTGCGTTTTTTTCGTTAGTAAGATTCTCTCTTCTTTTTCTTCTTTTTCTTTTTCTTTTTCCTTTTTTTTTTTTTTTTTTTTTTTTTGGGGGGGGGGAAGGTTGGGTTCTGATAAAAACAGGAAGACAAAAGGTTGCAAGGAGGGTGACTAACTTTGTAGTTTCTGTGGCTTTCGTGGGTTGAAAAGGATACTGTATTGACTTCGTGCCTGGGGTGTGGTGGCATCGAAGTCTTCTAGAATAATGCAATTACGCGACGAAATTTCGATTTTGGGCGCTACTTGAGTGGGTGGTGTTTCATTCACGCCAGCCTGTACAGTGGATGTTGAATCGGTGCCGTGATTCTCGGTAGAAACATTTGAAGGTGGTGATAATGGTGGTGGAAGTGGTTGCACGGGTCCTGAAGGTTGTTCTAGCGACGCCGCATCCTGGGTTGATGGTGGTTTTGCGGCCCCTGTTGGAATTACTGACGGAGTTGGCTGCTCAGAAGAAGCCTGATGGTTTATGGCACCTTTCGTCGGGGTATCTTGCTCTTTAGGCTCTGGAGCCGGTGCTGCTCCCTCGGATAACCGTGCGGTGGTCGTAGGGCCTGGAGTGGACTGTGTTGGATCTCCCTCGTCCGCTACTACCTTTGCTGATTGCGCGGTTGACGATTGATCAGCCGGCACAGAAAGTGTCTCATCAGTCATAGATGCGTAGAGGTGGATGCCATCCAAAAGCACCGAACCCTCACCTGGAGGTTCTTTCGGCTCGTCCTTAGGGTCTTTCGGCGCATCTTCATTCGCTGGTGGATGGACCGTTTTTGCTGAGTTTGCTATTTCAGATTGAGCTTTTTCTGTTTTGAGGTCGGGTTCTTGTTGCCTCGATGGCTTGGATTGGCCAGCCTTGGGTGGTCCTTGATGCGTTACATCGTTGCTTTTCCTTTTTCGACCCGCTTCCTTCTCAGCAGCTTGGGTATACGATCTGACGCCCACTTGAGCTAGCTTATCGTCTATCCACTTTGCTATTCCACTCCACCATGTTACCACCGGACCCTCCAGACGACGATTCTGCAGGGCCTCCAGCCTTGCCCGTTGTTCCTCGCTCCGCTTCTTCTCCATTTCCTCCCATCGATTCAAGCTCTTGCTGTTTATACGTTCGGTCTTTTCGGCCTCCGCTAGTCTTTCTTCCTGCGTCATCTGTTTGGCCTTCTTGCTCTCCTTGCGCCTGGCAGCTTCTTCCATAGTAGCTATTAGTCGTATGCGCCTTTGCTCGCTATCCTTCAACCGAGCGTGGGTGAGCTCTTTATTTCGTACGGTTTGCATACGCGAGGAGGACCGAGTCGGCCCATCTTCCGGCGTGGGCAGCCAAGATATTCTCTCGGATTTCTTCCTCTGTCGCGGGGCAGGAGTCGTGAGCGAACGAGAGGGCAGGTTGGGGTCTATTTTAACCTTCTTGCGTAATGCCGTTAGCCGCAGCGATTCCTGCGCCTTTCGCTTCTTGGCCAATCGTTCCGCTTTGGCTTGCTTCTCGAGCTCCCTTTCTCCTTCGAGTTCATCTTCCTTTGCATCGGGGCCCTGGTCCTCTTCATCGGAAGAGGAATCCAGATCCATATCTTCCGCATAGTCCGCGACCACTCCGTCATCTTCGCCTTCTTCTTCCTGCTCGCCGAACGTGAATTCTTCATCCTCCTCGTCCTCCGCAAAAAGTAGTGCTAGGTCATCGTCGGCCTCTGCATCGAGCAAACTGCTCATATGCTGTCCCGCCGTGCTCCGCCTTGCTCGTGCAGTAGCAAGATACTCGATAGGCTCGCCATCGGAGCTTGTGGCGTCGTTCGTTTCCGGAGAGTCAGCCATGGAGTGCTTGTCTGAAGGAATCAGTGCAATCTCAATTACGTGTGTGTGTGTGTGTGTGTGAGAGAGCGTGAGGGGTGGTTAAAACTAAGGGGCGCAACAAAGCGCAGCTCAGGAGAAGTCCATATAAAAAAGGTAGCAGCTCATTTTCCGAATCCTGTTGGTTGGGGGATTCGACTTGCAGACGGCGCCGTGGTGAAATCGTGATGGCTGAAAGGGAGCGCCGTAACTGCAACCTCTGGCGTTGCTTGCTTGGCACGAGAGGCATGTGTGGCTAGTGAACACGCACCGCCACACGCCACGTGCCGGGTGGCTTTCGCTGGGTCTTCGACGTTGCGCAGAGATCAGATGAAACGGTGACTGCAGAAGCAAGACTCAGATTGAAACCCCAGAGCGTGCAGCCTCGAAACAGATGGTTTACGACGGAATACTCCGTATTGGGTTCTCGAGATTCTTCTTCGGATGTGCTGGCCGCCATGTGTGGAAGACGACTCACAACTGGCTAGCTAATGAAATGCGCCAAGTCGCCAGTGTAAAAAGCTCTTCCCTGTCAACGTAGTACGGCGCAGTAAGTTACAGATAATGTTGGTAAATTTGGACGACCAGGCTGAAATAGTGGATGTGTGTGTTTTCTGCAGGAGTTCCCCACGCGAGACTAGTTAAGTGAAAATAGTTCTTACACAGAGGTCATGTGTCCGGCTTTCTTGGGGCAGACAAGGATCGCTCTCGGGGCTCTTTTGCGCATCGTTCGTCGATGAAAGGCGGGAACCGCATCCGGGTACCTGCTGATCATGGACTGAAGGGTATCACTGCAGAGAGGCCGACTGCAGGTCCACAGGCATGTTCCCCTCGACGCCTGGGCGAGCGGATGTTCGCTCATTTCCAGGTCTCATCCGCTTCATCTTCGTTCTCTCGATTGGGAAATTCTGAGGATTTTCGCCTGGAGGTCTTACATAACTATTAACGACGATCGACACCGGCGGTACATGGCTCTAGATGCGTGATCAAAACGGTCTCGTACCGAACAGGTTTCTTGCAGGTTTTCTTGGAGCAACCATCCATTTAAGGTTTAGAGGCTAAGCGCGGAACAGCCTAGCGTGCTGGATTCGACCCCTTACTTTACCTGATACGGACTAGCAGCTATCGAAATTACCCAAAATTAACCAAGAGACCGCCGAGGCCGGCCAATGGGAGCGTAAGCCAGCCTTTTTTTCTCTGACTCCTGACCCATTTGTGCGGGTGAGAAACGTTACCTGGGGTCTGTATTTTATGTCACCGTCCACGCAGCTCCCAGGCGGACAGCACACAATGAGGCGCTACGGAGGAAGAAGGCCTTCTGAGGGTGGGATGAGGGCCGCTGAGCAGGTAGTCAAACATGTTTGTAGGAGGCGAATGTCAAAGGCGCTCGGGAATGCGGCTGTGTTGTTTTGGCTTCCGCAGCTGCGGTGCGTCGAGGGGGCGTATGTATGCATGTATTGTGGTTACAGGGTCTGAAGTTACATACGCCCACACTCCGTACATGCACAGCAGGCCCGGTAATTAATTACTTCTCCATACCTCTTGGGTTTTTTGCTCCCTTTAACTCCCTTTTCGATCGTCCTCCTCTGCTCTTTTTTTCCTTCTTCCTCTCTCGCTTTCTCTCTCTCTCTCTCTCTCTCTCTCTCTTTCTTTCACTCTCTCCCATTATTACTTCCTCCAGGCTGTTGTTAATTAATTATTAGTATTAGTTGTTGCTTGCGGCATCCCTTCGCCTTTCTCCTTTTCCACCCTCGTTTCAATCTATTTACTTTTCTTTCTTTCTCCTTCTTCCCTCCTTTTCCTAATCCACTCATTTAATTCAATTCCTGCCCTCCTCTCCGCCCTGTAATACCATATCACACCTTGCTGCCCTCAGTTCTCCTCTCTCGCCCTCATCCGTCGTCCCCCCTGACTGGAATCACCTCGACACCCGTTTGTCCTGCCCCGCCGCGTTGCATAAGACGTTTCAACGACACTCTTTTGTGCTCGGACCCGTCCTCTCGTCGCCTGTCGCCTATCAAAGAATAGCTCCAGGGCGCGCCTTGTCTAGAAGCCTGCTAGAAAACAGCTCTCGTGCACATTTATAGGAAGCAGGTATATAATCCCGCAGAAATAAGTGATTCCTTGCGCAATTGCTCTTCTCCTTATCGGAATTACCACACCCGTGACTGTCAGCCTAGGTCAGCACCGGAAAAATCCCCTCTCTGAGAATGACTGAAGGCCCAAGAATCACAGCTGTTTCTGGTGTACCATGAAGTACACTGTCTGTCTCGTTTCCTGTTCCATGTACCCGTTTCTAACACCTTTTTGGCTTCCGTAGTCCCATCAGTCTGCTTTTTGGCACAGAACCCGTGTTGAAACCCGCCCTCCGTTGAACTGGTCCGGTCTCAGCTACCGGGCTCAAGTTGACGTTCAAGACGGCGGTTCTCTCCCCGATTCAGGGCAGTCCTGTCCTTTCCCGGCATTGGCTCGCAATGCAAACGTCGGACGTCGCACACGCGCCCAATTCTATCGTGGGAAATCGCTTAATGCAGCCAGTTTCCAAACTACCCAACCCAGGCCCAGATTCTACCGGTTTTTCCCACGGTGCGTACGCCGGTAATTTGTCGTTCGCCGACCGGAACTCCCGTCGGGCCAACATTCCCGCCATCAATACAAGCACGACCGGGCAAACCTCGGGTGATATCACCAGTGCCAACAACGCCTTCGATATGAATTTTGCCCCGTTACTTCCATCACAGCTGCTTCTGGGGAGCCCTTTCCAGACAGGCACCCCGTCTTTTGCATCTCCCCAGTTCCAGACTTTCCAAGGATACCCCCAGGCCAACGGCAACTCCCATGGACAGACCTCTCAGAATCAACTCAATAGCCCTACTCAGGCCCAGCATAACCCTCTGTCTCCGCAGTTGTACCAAAATCTAGTTTCGCCTGATGGAATGGGACCCTCTCCATTGCTAGGAGGACCGCAATCACCTGTCGGGGGCTTCCCTGGGTTCGCAAATGCCTTCGGGACCGCGAATCCGTCGCTTCAGCCTGGCATTCTGTCCGGTACAAGCCGTACTGTCTACCTTGGAAACCTTCCAGCGGAGACAACCGCAGAGGAGATTCTGGGCCATGTTCGAAGTGGCCAAATTGAGTCAGTTCGACTCTTGCCAGATAAGAACTGCGCGTTCATTTCTTTCTTGGATAGCAGCTCGGCGACTCATTTCCACTCGGACGCGATCTTGAAAAAGCTCTCGATTAAGGGCAATGATATCAAAATTGGATGGGGCAAACCTTCCCAAGTCCCTACCTCCGTGGCACTTGCAGTTCAGCAATCAGGAGCGTCGAGAAACGTTTATCTGGGGAATCTCTCTGAGGATGTCACCGAAGAAGAGCTCCGTGAGGAACTTGGCAAATTCGGTCCCATTGATACCGTGAAGATTGTTCGTGAGAAATCGATCGGCTTCGTTCATTTCCTTTCTATCAGCAATGCTATTAAGGCTGTGAACCAGCTACCTCAGGAGCCGAACTGGCAGCCTCCAAAGCGCGTTTACTACGGCAAGGATCGATGTGCCTATGTTTCGAAGACCCAGCAACAGAATGCCGCTCAGTACCTAGGAATTGCCCCTGGTTATGCACATATGTTGAACTCTGCAGATAGAGACCTGATTTCGAATGCTCTCGCTCAGCAATCAGTTGCAGCAGCAGCAGTTGCAACTGCTGCAGGTGGAGTGAACAATCTCGGAAACCGAACCGTGTATCTCGGGAATATCCACCCTGAGACAACAATCGAAGAGATTTGTAATGTTGTTCGTGGAGGCTTGCTGCATCATATCAGATATATTCCCGACAAGCACATTTGCTTCGTGACGTTTATTGATCCAACATCTGCCGCTTCGTTTTATGCGCTGAGCAACTTGCAGGGTCTGATGATCCATAACAGACGCCTCAAGATTGGGTGGGGAAAGCATTCTGGTGCTTTGCCGCCGGCGATTGCACTCGCTGTCAGCGGAGGCGCTTCTCGAAATGTTTACATTGGAAACCTGGATGAATCTTGGACTGAAGATCGCTTGCGGCAGGACTTCTCGGCTTATGGGGAGATTGAACTTGTGAATGCTCTCAGAGAGAAGAGTTGTGCATTTGTCAACTTCACCAACATTGCGAATGCCATCAAGGCGATTGAAGGCATGCGCGGCCGTGAGGAATACAAGCGGTTCAAGATCAATTTCGGCAAGGATCGATGTGGCAACCCTCCTCGCCAACTCAACAATGGCCAACCAGCACGGACAGATGGAAACAACTCGCTTCTTAATGGAGGCCTTCAGAGTTCTCTTAATCAAGGTGGACAACAATCGAGCCCCACCGGACCTGCACTATCTCCTGCTCCCGGTTCGACTGGCTCACAAGGAGCAAATGGGCAGCAAACCCGACATCCATTGCAGGCAATTCCAACCCCGTCTTCCATCCTAAACACCGGCGCCAATAACCCGCTGACGATGTACCTTAACCATGTGTCTCAGCAGCAAGCTCAGGAGCAGGAGAACCGATTGAACGGTTCAATGGGCTTTGGCTCCCTCCAACAGCAGCAGCAACAGCCGTCACATCAACAGCAAGGCTTCGCCCACCAGCAAGCCGGTTTATACAATGGCACCGGGGCCAGTGACAATAGTAGTTCCGTGGAGAGTTCCCTTCATCAACAAAAGCCGTCCAACCACGGGCTATTGAACGGTTCGGGTGCGACCAGCTCTGGGCATCATGCTTCCAGCGGTGCCACGTTGAGCGTTCCACGTGCCCAACACTCACGGGCCGTCAGCCTTCCATCTTTCTCACAAGAGCCGTTTGGACAAAGTCACAACCTATCGAGTCGCTCCGGAATGGCCCATCAACCACAGGGCAGCTTCTCTGGTTTTGGCGGGTTAGGCGGTCTAAATCATAACGGATTCGGACTCTCCATTTCTAATGAGAATTCGCTTCCAGGATGGGCCGAAGAAGAAATTAGAGCAAAATAATTTATGACGTATTGTATTATTTAGCGGCTTTGATTTTCTTTCTCATTTTACTTCTCCGGCTTTCTACCCCTTTGCACCACTTTTATATGTGCTTCCCCCTGTTGTCCCGTTTCCCCCCCGTTCCCCTTTTTGTATTAGTTATAATCATCGTACGTGTTTTGGAAACTTGCCTTTCCCCCCTTTTTTCTCATCTTTGCCATTTAATTCGCACTATCTGGGAACATATTATATATATTTTTTAATTTGTCTTGCTAACCCATTTAGTCCTCGGCGGGTGCAATCGTTCTGGACCGGTCGTTATCTGACATGAAGATAGAACACAAAGATGCAAATATCCTGGATTATATGGCAATATGTCCTTCCGCATTTCTTGCCGCCGTTCATCCTTTTTTTTTTTTTTTTTTTTGATCTTCTATCTACACCGCTTTTGGCTTGATTTTCATTTCTTTTCATTTCATTTTTTTTTTTTTTTAAATTATTATTATCGCTTCTTGATTTAGTGTTCTCATCTTATTGACAATTCCCTTTTTTTTTTTTTTATGTGATGCCATTTTTGACACTATTTTAATAATCTGCTTGCCAAAATCTCTTTCTAAAGCCGTGTTTTCATTGCGCAATAGTCTTTTGGAAAAGAAACAATATGGTCCGATGACAATGGTGCATATTGGGAGGAGGGTTTGTGAGTGACTCGGGTGGTCGAGGAGAAAGGGAGCCTGGTTACATAGACGCAAATACCCATATTAATATAACAAACCCTATTCTCGCTACAGTATCACTATTTTTTGCCATTCCAGACCATTTTCAGACTCTCGTAGAACACGATATATGATATATATACTCCGTACAGAGTATATAGTTCCGTCTTTTGGCTCCAGCTGGTCGATATAGTCACGTGGTCACCTAGCTCGTAAAGCCGCCAGCCGAAGATAATCCAAAGCAAACCGTTGTGGCGGCAACAGCACCTCTCGAGACTAGGACAGTCAGCGAGACTCCTTTGGTGTTAAACCATTCTTCACACACCTGCAGACGTCGAGGGTTACCGTAGTCACTCTTAAAGACGCAAAGTCATTCGCTTTTGTCTGACCTGATGGCGTTGCCCCCGGAGCAGATTCGCATCAAGCGCCGCAGGGAAGAAGAGCCTGTGGAGACTCTGTGTATGTGTGAATATCCCTTGCTTTCGTTTATATTCTGCGCCCCCGAGTTCTATACCAGTATTTCCTGATGTGTGTGTCCGATGGGAACGGGTTCTTGTTTGTTCCTGGGTTCGCCCTTGTTTTCTTTCGTTGGAATTGTGTATAGGAGGTATAACACATGCATTGTTGACCATGGAAATTATGCATAGCTTTACAGGAGTACCCTTCAATTTTTTTTTTTTTTTTTTTTTTTTTTTTTTTTTTTTTTTCATTCCTCCTCTTGCTTCCTATTGCCAGCTCTACTGAAGAGTTCGTATTTTCTGGGTATGGTTAAGGACTAATCGTTTCATCTGTGATGGCCCCCGTCCTTGTTTACAGATATTCAATCTCAGACACGCGAGACAAAGAGACGTTTTACGGACTTTGTGTTTCAACGCGTTGTCCTAAATCAAGATGGAGTTTATGTCCGTGACATGTCAGGCCATGCTGGCGCCCAAGAGGCAATTAAAAGCACTGCGGATTCTGATAGCATGAGAGCTGCTATCAATGGCCCGAGTGTGCCGGTCGTTAGGACCGGGGAGGAGTTGCGCAAGGTGGCTGAGGCTGCGAAACAGAAAGCTAGCACGAGAGGGATGGCTGTTCCCGTAAAGCCACATGCACGGTCAACTTCGATGAAGCTTCCGCCACGGCCATTGCCGTCGACGGTGACAAAATCTTCAGTGAATTCTACGGTGCGCAAGTTTCACATAGCAGCGCCGGTGGCAGATGACCTTGTGCTTCATAAGGTTGGAGGGGGAGTGCAGAAAAAGAAAGGGCCAAGACATGCTGTGGTCGTGGAACAAAAAGGCGATATTGTTAGGGGGCTAAGCGAACTCGCAGCACAGATCGGCGACATCGGATCTACTACCGATATCAAGGCAGAAGACGTAAAAAGAGAAGTTGAAATGGTAGACGCCCAATCACCTACGATTAGTCCAAGAAAACGTCGCGTCGTTAATGAGGCTGAAAGGAGGTGGAAAGAGAAAGCCAATGCACATCGTTATACTGATCGTGAGACTTATGATCGGAAAGGGAAAACTGGCACTTCGATTAAAGACGACCCAGCTACCTGGGATTATGACTCTGCTCAGCTTGCAGAGGAGCTGGAACACGCCACTCTGGAGCTGGCCTTTGGAGAGCCTATCAAACCCGCTGCGACTCCCGAACAATCTAAGCTTTATCTGCCCGCAACCAAGCCCGTTCTCAAGTATCGACCACGTGTCCCTAAGCAACAGCAAAACAAGCGCGATGGTCGTGGACATGGATTAGGTCAATTTGATGGAGTAGACGAGTCTGGCGAAACCTCCTTGACCATTAATGAACCTTCTACCTTCGGAATCGGACTAGAGGATATATCCTCCATGAAAAACGCCCTCGAAGAACATGTGATTCGAGCCAAAAACGAGAAAGATGATGAGTCTGATTATGTATATGACATTTTCATTCGACGCTCTCTTCAAGAGCTCGCTGATGACCCAAAATTTGCCCAATTCCAAAACGGCGATTGGTATGTAGGATATGAAAACGTGCCGGCAGACATTGGTGTCGTCGTTATTTCAGACAAAGATGTGCATTACTGGGACGCGGTTGCTGAAGACGATGAAGAAGATAAAGATTGGAATACGGAGGATGAAGATTCGAATGGTGAGCTTCGTAATATTACTTAGGCTATAACTTGTTGTCAAGTACTGATTTTCCTCTCAATCTACAGCCGAAGATAACCCCGCGAACGAATATCCCGACGAAGACCTCGACCTTGAAGATGAATTCGACGATGTGAACGCAGCGTATAACAAATATCGCAATTATGGATCCGATTATGAGCAATTCGACATAAATGATGAGGTTAATGAATATGGGTTCAAACCGACGTCATATACTAGTTCCGGGGAGGCTTCGTCGGACGATGAGGAGAGACTTGCATGGAGAGAGTGAGAATTTGTATGGAAGTCGGTGGCAAAAAGTACGGTTTAGTGTCGGTGGATCTGGTTATAGGGGCTTTGAGGTTTTATATATCTTGGCTTTGAGCTCTAATATTTTTTACCAAGCAACAGGCTTAGCGTTATGGGTGGAGCATTATTCTACATGGGGATCACGGTTGCTGCCTTAACCGAAAAACAAATGATAATGTCAACAAGAAGTCGGAACTTTTAAGAGACTCATATTCCTTTGTATTTTCAAGGTGCGTTTTAAGGTGCCATGGTGGAATTGAGACTGCTCGTTGCTTCCGGAGCCCGTTATGGTTATTAGCTGGCAAGTAGTTACAAATTTACGGGGTACGGAGTACTTCGGCGGTAAACTAGAGCGGAGCGGAATTCCTCCCCGCTCATCACGTGATTCAATATAGAGACCTATGGATGCGAAACGATAGAGTGTTCGAAGGCTGGCATATTTTGTAGCAGCCTAAATACATGCAGGATACTCCGTACACGGAGTAGGTTAAAGCATAATGCCTCAATTCTTTCCTACCACATCAATTTACCATATATCCATTTCTCTTTTTCCGAGAATTAAAGCACTAATTCCACTTGGAAGCCTTTTGTTCTTCGATTACCTTCGCGACAGCCGGTCTATTTTTCATATTTTCCATCCACCGATGCACGTTCGGAGCCTCTTTTTCAATATCCACCCCTGTCAGAGATGGTACCAACATCTGCCAGGGAAAAAAGGCAAGGTCTGCGAAGGTGTATTTGTCGCCAACCAAAAACTGCTTGTTTTCAAGCCACTTGTCCAACACGACGGTCACTCGTCTCACCTCGTTCGCATAGCGTTCGACCGCGCTCGGCAATTGCTCAGAATGGTAATTCTTGAACCAGAACCACTGTCCGTAGTAGGGACCCTGGCCGGACATTTGGAAATGGAGCCATTGCTGGGTTAGGTGGTACTCTTTGGTGCCGACAGGGAAACTCAGTTTGTGTTCGGTGTCGTATTCGGTGATGAGGTAGTTGACGATGGCGCCAGATTCCCAAATGGTAAAATCATCCTTGTTGGGGTCCACAAGGGCTGGGAGACGACCATTGGGGTTCAAAGCAGTGAAGGCCTCGCCTTTGATATCTTCACGGGCCACTTGGACGACTTCGTAAGGGAGAGAGAGTTCCGAGAGAACGGTGGCAACTTTGAAAGGGTTGGGGCCCAGGAGAGTGCCATAAATTTTGAATGGTTTGAGCGACATATTTCTTGTGAGCTATTTGGTTTGTGCCAACTTTTGGGCTGAGTACTTGTGATTTGAAGTGGGAAAGCCGAACGATTGATTGAACAATGTTTGTGTAGTGATTGATGAGTTATTGCAAGATCCGGCAGGACCAGCGGCGACTCTTATAACTTCAATGCTGGTTCTCAATGATGCCAGTTTTCATCCCTGGCAAGTTGCCATGCGGCTCTGAGAAGGAAGAGGATACGGCATTGACTCGAGAGACGACAGATCGGAACCCGCGGGATTCGCGTTCACATCTCGATCCCGGAAAGTGATTTGGAGGACTTTGTAACGCATTTCTAAGCAATGTTGGCTTAGAAATTCAATGGCTTCTTCAACACTTCCCAACCCCTACTCCGCTCCGCCATAGGGAGCCCAGCGCCAAGCGAATGGTCCGAATAGTGGTCCGCACTCATACCATCGTCAGTTCCTGTTGGCGAGTAACAAGCTGAGCGGGAATTTAAAACACTTAGAGTTCCGGGATGCGGCTTAGCAATGAGCCGAGCGCGAGGCTCTGTGACTAATTGCACTTCTTCCCCGCGGAGACGAAAGATGGTGCCTGATATGATAATGACACAGTGTCAACTTCGTCCAGGCGCGCCATTGTTTTTGTTTTCAGCTCAGCCCACCGATGGAATGATTGTTTTGATGGAGATGCACTCGCTCTCGTACGCGGCTTGAGGCCAAGCTGACCCGTGTTCCCTCAAGAGCCAGGAGCAAGTGAAGCAGACGACCGTCATCGGCTGCCGAATGTTGCATTCAGTGGACCACCAAATGTTCACCTGCATGAGCCACGGAAGAGAATAACTTTTCCCACTGACCACGTTATCTAAAGGCGGTACGCCCCAAATGGCCTTTTGCGATAGCTGTTGGGATATCCAGACAGATTCCGTTCAACAGTCTGGGAGTGGACGTAGACTGTTGTCTCACCACCCTCATCGTCATTGCCCTGCTCTCCATGTTCAGCCGCAGATACCGCTGCACGAATCCGTGGGAGTAATCGATACATGATGTAGAGAACAACGGTCTACCCGGCCATCATCGTTACACTCGGCATGGTCCCATCCGATCATCGAGGCAGATCTCTCCATATGTCACAGTACATTGCCTCAGGGCTGGCTGTCGCTGCATCTACCTGTTGGATCTCCAACAATCTAATTCAGGATGGTCTCATGATTGATGTCATAGAGACACGTTGCAGGTGCGGCTGGTTGGGGCCGAGCTTTTATCCCCTGAGTGTCCATAGCCACATTGTAAGAAGCGCCTTCATCGAAAGCTCCTTGGCGTTAACTGCCAGATCCGAGAATATACTCTCTCGTTTCCCAAGCACGGCTCCCAACGCAGGACTCGCTTCTAAATCCTTGGATCCTGCTTCATACACGCACATGCGGACCCCTGTCCTTGTGCGCTATGTCTCTAGAACCCCCTGTGAACGTTCAATCACAGTCTAGCGGTCCAACGCAAAGCTTCGCTTAATTCATATAGATGGAGAATCTTCCCGCGGATATCCAACACATATAAAGAGGCAGATGGGTTCAAATGATGGGGAATCCAATATCACTCTGAGGCATGAGTTTCCGTGGATCGATACTAGGCTGCCAGTCGTGTACCCTCCACGACTGTGATGTGTGACATCATTCACAACCGCAGTTACCATTTGAGATCCTCAGCATCCTCGCCGGTACTTAGCGGAGACTACCGTAGTAGGCCGTGGAATATCCAGTTGAAACAGCCAATGTATGGTTTGGGGATTCCCAATGAGCGAAAAGGTATTTTCACCAAAAGAAAGTTGCAAGCCGAGGGGTAAGTTAGGAATAGGCATATGCCCAGATAGCCTTGTTCGTGAACAGCATTCTTCAACAGGGGCTTTCCATACTGTGAACTATATCGTCACATGCTTGGAAACTCCTTTGGAAGTGGCTTGTATGTCGAGGAGCCAGGCTATCGTCTTCATCGGAAGCAACATGCTTCAAACCCCCCTGAGCTAGGCAACTTGTAGGGTCTGAAACTGAGTATGTAGTTAAGGCAGGAGACCACGCGCAGCGCCATTCTAATAGCAAAATTCATGTGGGGAGTGTACTTGCCCGTCTTTTTTTTTTAAAAAAAAGGGGAACTTTCTGCCCAGAAAGACTCCGCGATTAAAGGGGTAAAATCTATATCAGAAGAGATATTTCATCCAGGACAAGGTGGGCAGATAATAAGAAAGCAAAGCCTCGCGGCACTAGCATTATGATCACTGATAGGGGAATGCCAAACCAGACAAGAGTAAAACACCACGCCGAAAAGCGAACGGCGATAAATAGCAGCCAGCCTCCCAGCTATAGTCCCAAAAAAACGCCAAAGTAGTAGATAGCCGCCCTTTAATAACATATCCCACTCACTGTCCCGATATCCACAGAGACCTTTGATTGCATCATTGGTATAAATTTGCAAGGGCTTCCAGATACCCTGGACGAAGGTTCTAACACATTCAATGTAAGAAAGGGAGAAGGAGTCGAGATTCCTGTGGGTAGGCCAGCACCCACGCCCGAAAGAAGTGGACAGAAGATCGAAAGAAACGAAAACCCATGGGATAGAGCGCTGCAAAATTCAGACAGATGGGGCCGATTATTCGGGTGCGAAAATTTGAAGTCGTCAAAGTTAATATTTGCATGAAATCCATGCAGGAACATAAACTGCGTCAGAAGCAAATGTTAGCAAGTTGGTTTCTTTGTTTCTTTGCCTTTTCGGTTGCGCTCAAAGGAAAGTTGGGTCGATAATGGGCCAGCGATTTGTAAAAGGGGAACAATACCGTCATTCAACGCAATTCTCAAGTGACTTACCAACAATAGGGATGCTGCAGCAGGCCGTTCATTCGTAACCTCATAATTATCGACAAGCTCGATAAACGCTATAGAACAGAAGAAAATAGACCGCCTTCCTTACTCAAAGGGCCCGTTCATTCGTGCCCTGGGGGAGGGGGTTCTTTCATCCAAGGAAACCAAACACGGCACCATCGAATAACCCCATACGCGGGGGAGTCATCATTGGGTCCATGCTTAGTACCGCCACCGTCTCCATTTCTTATTCTTCGCTGCTCTCGTAGCGTAGGGCATTTCTTCTCCTTGATAAACCGATAGTATTTGCACTGAATTCCCTGAAATCCGTTCCTTTGCCGGTTAGGAAACTGGGCATTAAAGCTTTCCCGGACTTGTTTCCATTCCTGATTCAAATCGACACGGTGATACCAGATAAAATACATCTCTTCTTCTTCGTATTTTGGCCGCGGTGGACGACGCCGCTCGACGATTGTAGAGGAGCCACTTGACACAGAAGGAAATCGGTCCCTTCGGTACGGTGATGGTGAAGAACTGGCAGATCCAGAGCGTTGGACCGATCTGTCGGGGCGGGTGTCTATGGGAGACAGGTTACTTTTGGGGTATGGTATTGATTTAAACGGAGGGAGCTGAAGTGGTGGAGGACTGCTAGTAGTTTGTGGATAGCGATCGGGATGGTGGTGGTGGTGATGATGATGGTAATGGTGATATGTTCCCTGCCATGACCCGGACAAATGTCTCGGAAAGGGTTCGCCATCGGTGTTCGGGTTCAACAGGTTGTCGATTTTAATCCTCGACGAACCAAACTCCCCCGGTGTCTGAAGAGCGGGCACATCGTGTCTGCTGGACGGCATATTTCCTGAGGCGTCAAGTGAAGCCTAAACACACAACTTTCACAGCACAATGCACTTGGAATCCTTCACGAACTGACGATGTTGAATAGAGGTTTTGCGTGACTGTCGCGGGTTCAAGAATGACGGATCGCGGAAGAAAAAGTTTTCTAAGGCTTTGCCAAAGAATCACTCTCGTGATAGTATCAAAATTTCGACGAAATCTATCGGAGACTGCGATAACAAAAACAAAATTCAAAACATCAATCTGTCAAGTTGAACGAGGCTCCAATTCGAAGCAATCTACCCAGCATTAAGAGCGATTGGGCAGCAAAAACGGATCGCAAAGTCGCAGAACCGAGTCCGACTCTGAGTATAAAAAGACGGTTATCGGGAGCACAGAGATTCACGTTCGTCAGGACGACCCATCCAACCGGGATCCACTGGATGCTGTGAAATCTAAGGTAGGAGGGATGATTTGATCAAGCTTTTGCAACTCAACCACGGATTCTAGCTGGACACAATCGTAAGACAGAGCTCTGTAGGCTTTATAGGGCGAAATCGTTGCCTTAAGAATATTTAGAGTCAGTCAAATATATCTCCAACTTCGAGCGAACAACTGTATGGGCTAGGAAATGCAAAAGCAAGAAAAAATTAAAAAAATAAAAATAAAAATAAAAAAAAATCAACGAGGTGCGCGCATAGGCTGTTCTTGTATCATTTGCATTATATGCACATATATGGAGTTAGGACAGCGTCCCAGCTGTCTGGAAAATCAGAATAATAGCACTGCAGGAAACCAGAAGGGTACAATAAGTATCCATGAATACACAGAGGCTCTCCGTAAAGAAAACCACGCAGCCAAATTGGGGCTACATCTTTTGCCGGGGAAGGGGACAGGGGATCAAGGGAGCTAGTATTACCGAAAGTCGATTCTGGATAGGATGCCCCCAGTAGTTATTGATTTAGTAGGGATAAGCAAAGTAGGGGCCAACCAGGACCAGGACAGGGGGAATTGAAAAAGAAGATGTCGCATAGGGCAGGCGTCAGATATCGATGAAGAGCAGGAAACCGGAGAGCGGATGAGCGAGACAAGGGAAATCGGATAAGGATTATGATGTTCCGGTAAGATAGAGTTACCTTTCTTCCCACGCATAGCAGACGCCGAACCCCAGCCGCATATGCATCGAATCATATATATCCGAGATGGCACGGCAAGCGAAGTTTCGTAACCATCGCCCGGTAATCTGGTACCGACAAGTTCAAAGGAGCAAACTCAGGGACGGCTGGAAAAGGAAGTAGAAAGAAACCAAAAATGTGCATGGCATTGTGGGAGCAAATGTAAAAGACAAATCACAATTAAAAAAGCAAAAGGAACTAAAATTCTCCGCGGATGCTCCGTCGAAGGAACGGTTTCTGCAGGAGGATATATATAAAATCATCATATATATCGACAGGTGTCGCATGAGGCTTTTTTTTGGGGCGCATCAGCGCATTCTTCCCACGCCGTTCATTCTCCCCTCTTATCCTCGGGGCAGCGCTTTTCTCACAGCTGCATACATGTTCTGCAGCGTTTCTGGGGATCTGACAAGTAACAAGCCAGAGAAGAGACCCAGTGGTCCAGCCCCAAATTCTGACAAATGGATCCTGTTGGCTAAAAAAGCCGCGGGCCTAAAAAAGGCATGATTATGCTTCCCAAATTCCTTTTCACTGGTTGGAGCTAATCGGTTAGTGAGTGACAAAAAGACCCAGAAACAGGGGTAACATTCCAACCCAACCTGGCCATTATTCTTTCATCGAGAATGAGCGATTTTACACTGGAAACAGAAAGAAAAAACAAAAAACAAGTTCCTTCAACAAGTGATGGTGACCCGCATCATCATCCTTGGGAGGACGCGTTTGAGAAACTTAATTGGGTTCATTAACTACCAGATCCTCTTGAGTGGTCGAGTGTTGCCTGTGGTTGAGACTTGAGGTTTGGGCGTAGGCTCGCCTTCTTTCGGCCTGATCCGAAATCGTACTAATACACGTAAAACCATGGGGCGGTAGAAAAATAATCAGGCAGAGGAGAGGTTTATTGTGATGACTCCGTATGCAGTAAACACAACAGAGAATGAAGTAACTAACTGGTGTATTATTTTTTGACGGCGAGATGGTGCGTGTGGATTTAGCCAGGCTATTGCTGGATAAACTGGTGTTTGTTCTCCGGGCAAATCAGAAATCGCGCCGCAGCCGCTTTACCTGTTGGGCCAACCTGATTGCTGCTGACTGTGGATGGAGCACGAGGATGAAGTTCCGTCAAGGGTTGTTTGCTAAGAAGTGGAACTTGAAGAAATCGCTGTTCGTAGGGATTGGAGGGGAAATTTGGAATGGCGTTCGATTAGGGTTAAATAGCTTTGCTTAGTCATGCATGGGAACGGCTGGTGCGAGTGCGGATAAGAACCGGTTCGTGGCCAAAGGTCAGTGCACAAAGAGCGGACAAGCGGGCGGCTGGGATGTGATCTCTGAAGATGAAAAGTGTGAGCGGGCCCCCCTCCCCTAAAGACCGCGTAACAGCCGGGTTGGGCAAATCTCCGTTCCCTATTGCCGCGCCGGGCCTCGATGTATTTGTTACTGTGTGTACACATGCCCTGCGCACCGTACGGGGTTCTCCATCGGTAGAGAGTCTCCTGACGCGTGCCTCACAGGGATTCCAATGGCCAGTTAACTCAAACCTCACCCTCGAAGGTAGATTTGGCAACGCAGGTATGGAGTTGATGGCAACTCAATATCAAAGCCCCATTGCAAACGTCATATGATTAAAGCGTCAGGGTTTCCGCCAAGTCGAGGCACAGCATCTCAACGTGAGTACGACCTCTTGGACACATGTGTTCTAAGAGATGTACGGAGTAGTCCATACCGTATGTAATTACATTTCTGTATGCATGTGCCTCCATACGGAGTACATATGTATACGGAGTACATACATATTCATACAGTGTCTCCGTACTCCGTAAAGAGTGGACATACCGAGTACATACAAGCGGAACGGAGGTCTCAATGGGCTATTTTTAATTTTGCGTCGCATTTGTAAAATGGTGCCAAGTCTGAACATCGCTAGCTGGCGATTGGCTAGTTTGGCAATTACTCACCGAATTTCATGCTTTGTGATTTGTGCGGCGAGTTCTGGGTTGGAAAAGGATCCCTATCCCTGAGGAATGACGAGCACTCACTCTTCAAAAGCCGGAAAGAGTCGAACATTGCATCTACAGTCCGTGAAGAGTTGAAACCGGATGGAGAAGGAGTACATAATGTAAGAGCACCTCATAAATATATGAATGGACTCATGCAAAAATGGCTTCCTTCAGCTCAAGCTCAGCGCAAGTCAAGGCTTTTCTATCCAGGACTGCAAAAATGAGTGGGTTATCCGTCTCGAAAAACTGGTTGATGAGGGCTGTGCCGCCAGGAAATCGCAACGAGGACCCGTACCTTTGGGTCGGACGCCTCTGGAGTAGTAGTAGTAGTAGGAGTAGACGCGGAATGTGGCCGGCCCTGGTGGCCTGATGCAACCCACAATTTGCATTATGAGTGTACATATGCCATCGGAATCGAGAATTCTCATATCTCGAATGTCTCTACGGGGTACTCCGGTAACTGGTCAGATATAGGGGGAGCCCCCATGTAGACTTGCACGCAGGCCTTCCCTTTCACCCATGTTTAGTCTTAATTTTAGGACTTCCTGTCTTGAACTCCGGAGGCGTCCATTGTTATGCGACCTCCACCTCAGGAATATCGCTTTCCATGCTCTCTGATCAAGTTGCATATCACCGATCCATCCTCTTGTCCGCGTAACCCTTGCAGGCTTCAGACTGTGGGTTTGTTCCGACCCCACAGCCCGATGCGGCTTGTGGAGACCAGATAAGGGAGTTCAAATGCGTAAATTTGCCTAGGCCAGAGCCCCTCAACGCTGAGAGCATCGCGCTTTGTAGGTCTGTTGCCCAGTTAGTACATATTTACTTGCCCTCACCACCGATTATTTTCGACTGCAACAGAAGGGTTAGGCCGAATGGAGTATTATTATGTAAAAATGAAAGTTGCAAGGAATCATTGGGCTAAGCGGTTTTTTGATAGGCACGGAGTACTCGGTATGTGGTGCGAGGATAGGCGACCGTTGGGTCTTTTTCAGGTAGTCTGTTGCGGTGACTTAGGAGATGGTGGCCCCCACGGCGACAATGATGGTGGGCCTTGGTCACAAGCGATGTATATACGTGCGTACAGAGTAGGGTGTTGGACTTCATTCCATACATATCGTGTGCACTGCGTATGGGGTAGATCTTGTCAGTTTCATGGGCTCCTCTGCATGCGGACAGATCGCGTCAGCCCTTTAAGGGCCCCTGAGGCTTGTTGAAAGTTCCTTTGTTCCAGGTATCGTTATGTCAAGCGAGCAAACTACGAAACGTATGTTACTAGTTACGCCTTACCTCGATTAATAATTAAATATAACTAGTTATGTCTCCTGGAGGAGCTAACCACGGATTGGTAATCTGGAACTGGAAATGCTGACCAGATAAGTTCGAGAAGCGCGACTGGGAGTCGGCTGTCGTTTGCTGCCTATCAGCCAACAGAATGAAAATTCAATCGCAGTGCTTCGAGAATGCAATTACGACGGGTAGATAGAAGAGAGACCCAACAGTTTGGGAACAAGGTAGCATTCAGAACGGAGAGAAGAACGGGCTCATTGCTAATCGAACTATTTGATACAACCTAGGACTGCCGGGGTCAGGAGCGATGAAGGATTCCCTTACCTCTTTGCCCAACCCTGATATGCGAAGACCCGAATTGCCATGGCCACTTTGCGCAAGGGAATGATGTCACCGGGAGGGTGACCTTTTGTCATACAATCAGAATGTACGACCATGGAAGAGCCTGCAGAGACATATTTAGCACGTTAAAAAAAAAAAAAAAAAGAAAAAAAGAAAAAAGTTTGGCTTTTCCATCACGTCACACTTACCGCAGGAGAGCAAAGAAAAGAAAAAGAAGAAAGTCTTCATGGATGTGGACCACTTAAAGCGATACGGAGTACATTGTGGCAAAAGCGAAGGATCCCTGTCGAGACGATTACCTGAAACCAGTTGGATTTCCTTGAAGAACCGCGAGCTTCAAATCAGATCAAAAGTTATGTGTTGGAAAGGCACGGGTTTGCAGGCTGCAAGAAATTACAGGGAAGATGCAAGGTGAGTTAACTTCTAAATGCTGCTGAATGCATCGGAAATATCGGCGATCTGGAAGAAGGGGCTGGTAAGGAAATGCGCGGGCCAGGCCTACCCGTGGCCGCGAGAAGATTGCGCTGTGGACGGAAATTGAACTAGTTAAACAAGTGTCAGCAGGGAAGAGGGGATAGTTTAATGAACGCGAATTAACTTAAAAAAAAAAAAAAAAAGGCAGCCGAGAGGATTTGCGGGCTGGGCTCGTCGGACGAAAAAGAGGAATGGCCAGGGATGGTGGGACTGGAGGCAGAAACACTGCCAGCAATGATCTCTTTCACGCAGTGCAACCCGGTTTCAGCATCTGTGCTCCGATATCCATATGAAAACCGCCCGCGAGGCAGAGGAAGCGCCTCGCCCCCTCGCTACGTTGAGCCGCTGGAGAAGACACGTCGAAGAGCCAACGTGAGGGGAGGTGCAAAGACGGGCTGTGATAGGCCGGATATTCCCTGCAGATAGCTCGTGCCGCTTGCTGGGGCGAACCGTGGTGCCGGGACCGTCGGGCCAGTCAAGATGGCCGCTACGCCAACCCCAAGTGGATACACGGCGAAGGTTACGTTGCGCTGTTTCAAAGGCGCGCCGGGGGGCTTGAGGAGAGAGAGCAACGACGCTAGGGGAGCAACTTAGGTTGAGGGCCCGTCTGCCGCGCGACTAGTAGCCTGAAGAAACCCTTGAGCTTTCTCGTTGGTGGTGGTGGGGGGGGGGGGGGGGGGGGGCTGCTCCTGTGGCTCGTGAAGCGAGATGGCCGGAGAAATCAGAGACGGAATCGAAGTCCGCTAGAAGAAAGTGATATTCGCTATCTAAAGTTTCCAGATGGCTTGCGGTCGATCGTTGCGATGCACCGTGGAAATATCGCTTCACCTTCGATCGCTGCCATATGACCTGCTCGAGATGCCTGTCAACGGCTGTCGAGACCGGGAGTGCTCCTGGGCACTCTGACTGGTGCGCGTCGTCGTGCGGCGCACGTACGCAGGTAACTTTACAGAAAGCATACCCATGCCGTATTGTATAGCTAAGATGTCCTGTACTCCGTACATACATACGGTTACCGCCCTCAGTCATGAACGTTACCTGGCGAGAATTCTGGCTTGTGACACAATGTGCAAAATCCTGGGGAGCCCGCAGCGCAGAATGGTCATGTGACTTTTCCCGGGGCCTTTCATTGGCAGATCAACGCTCCCTGGGCGGCTGTTGCCCCATTCAGATTTCTCTCTTTGTTTACCTGCATAAGCTAGGTTGCCTTCTTCCTGTTGCTGGTCGTCGAACGGCAAGGCCGCCGACGAATTCGGTGCAGTGCATCTGTACGGCGTATTTCTGGCTTGGCAGGGTCTGTCTGTAAGTTACAGACACCATGTCCCAAAAACAAACGCGTGCAGCCTCTGTAAGAAATGTGGTAATGACATACGGAGTACTATTGTCATCACCGCCGTTGTGATCATCTCATCCGCGGCTGAAACAAGCGACGGCTGAGGGTCACGTATCATCCTGCCATTGATGCTGCGCCGCAAATATGTCTTGTCTTGCATTTCATGACTCGCGGAAGAGGAAGATGCCGCGAGAAGGAAAACAAGTGAGAGAGGCACTCCTTCTGCTGAGCACGCTGCACTCGCCGTCTGAGCACTGACCAGCGATCATCCGGTCTCCGAGTCTCCTCCATGCACTCTTCGCCTCGAGCATCAATCATCTCCTCCGGAGCTGACACACCAAGACACCTAGTCTGCGGCTGTCCCCGAAACCTAACCCAATAGGCCAAGGGTGTGCATTCCGTCACGCTTCTCCTCTCCGTTTGACTCCCACCCACCCTTTCAGTGCCTCTCAATACGTGGCCGTTTATCGACAAGGGCCAAGCAATTCAAGGGTGGATGCCGCACCGGGGAGTCCATGCAAATCGAATTTAGATGGCACATCCACAGCGCCATACAGCCCCTGCCTTTTGCCCTGCCAAGTCTGTTTGCCGTCGTGAGTGAAGAATGTCAACGCGCCTGTCGTCCAATCCCCGCTATCTCAGCCCCAGCAAGCGCTCTTCCTTTTCCAGAACGCATCTCTCCACTCTGACTCGTTCGTCAGGACTGGCGGTCGAGATGCGTCTCGTATCTTAGCTCCGCATGCAGATCAAGGATTTGTCAAATACATGCACTTATATATGTGCTTCATGCAGCTTCCGTGGAAAAACTAGTCATCTACTCGCTGGTTCTGGACCCTGATGGAGTGGATCAAAAATTTGCGATTCACGTCTCCCGTGAAGGAAGCGATCCATCCAAAATGCTAATCTTTCTTCTCCAGTTCGCCCCGTTAGGTCCCGCTCGGACTACGGAAGTCTCATGGGGATACCCGGACCGTTCGAACTCGCTGATATAACGTAGACTTTCTTTATTGGCCGATTTCTTCCATCTCTTTTCCTTGTCCAAGAATTTTCCCTGATCCTGTTTGCCGCTTCTTTTCTCCCTCATCGCGCCGCAAATTCCGCAGACTTTCCTATGCTCCTGTTTCCTTGTGAACAGACAAGGAATATTCCTTTTTCCTCGCTCGCTAGTCGATCTACCATTTCCTCCGTATCGTGCATGGAATCGAAAAGTCCATGGTTATCGAGCGGCGACGCATTCCTCACTTGTCTGTGTCATGTGTCCTCACTCCATCAAATCCACTGGATCACAGTCTTCCATGCCAGACGCACCAGTCCCTGTGCTCCTGCAAGGAGGCCTTACCATATACTCCGTACCTCCTCCTCCCCCCCATTGTTCCCTATTTTCGGAGAGATCGTAAATCGTTTCGGCAACTCATTCCACTCAAGTCATCCTTTTCAAGGTCAAAACTTGGCGAGCTCTTAGGATTCGTCCGGATCTCATGCCTCTCCTGAACATGCGGGTCTCTTCAGATTTATGCAAGAGCCTCAAGGACTAAATTGCTCCACCGTTGATGTTGGACTCCGTGTCGTTCGAAAACGAGTGTTCACCTTCCAGGATCTTATGAGCTCTTCGCCTCCTCTGTGAAATCTATTTCTCGGTATAGGTTCGCCCCCAATGATCTGACCACCGTTCATCCAGGGATTATGACTGGTATCTCGACTAGTCGACGTGCAACGATGTATCCTGTCCCACCTCGGGCGTTCTGAGTTGCACAACGAGGAGTTAGTAAGTGGCCGAGCCGTCAAATCTATTCCCATTGGATCAACCGAGCGCGCATCCATCAGGTTGGAGTGTCGACAAGCTATCTCACTCGTGCTATTCCTCTCTCGATCCTTACCTAGTATGGTACTTAATTATATACATTAGAAAAAGAAATCCCGGCTGATTTCCGGAGGAAATGAGTGGTGTGTTTTTAATGGAATATCATACGGAGTGTCCTTCCCGCTTTCTATGTGGCTTTTTCCCCCCCTTGAAGTTGGATTCCGACCGAGTGGGTTAAATTGATATGTCAAAGAACCTGACCAACGGCATCAACTTGCTGAAATATCGGGCTCCATGTCCAGCCGCGCTCTCAACGGAACCAGGGCGTCTGATTACCAAATTATTACCAAGGCAAATTCGGTTGAAACCTGAGCTCAAAATGTGACCCCGTAGTTAGTAGGTCTTCCAAATGGTCAAGGGGGCTATAATAAAGCAATGATGGCGAGTTGAACATACCTAACTGCGTGATGAGACTGGGCCCGGGAAAGTTGGAAAACCTGCAGGGCAAGGATAAACCAAGCTCGAAGGTCTCCAGAGGTATCCAACCAAAGTACGGAGCAGGTGGTAAAGAGTTTAGAGCCGAGGCGTTTCGTGGCTGGGCGAATCTTGCGAAGAACGATGACCGGGTTTATCAGGAATCGACGCCATCGCCGTCGGAATATTACCTGGTGGCACTCCTTGCTCGGGCTGCTGAAACGTTACCCTCCTGCTGGGATGGCCCCCATATGTATGTACAGTATATGTGCTCTATGTACGTGCGGAGGGGCAGCATGACCAGGTAGAAAAATCAGAGACAACGCACAGGTGCAGTTAGAGCCAGTGAGAGGTTAGGAAGTTCAAGGCGACCATCTCTCCCGACAATTTGTACATCCCAGTCGAACTCGGCGACGGGCGCTTCGAGCAAGTCGCGTTGGTTTATGGCAGAATGATGATACGTATGTACGTACATACTAAACGGCTAGAAGAAACATACTACTGACCCTTGGTTGTTAATGTTGGGAAGAGACTAGTCGATCAGCTGTAACGCCCGATAAGTGGAAAGATGGAAAAACGAAGGGGGCGTTGTGTGGAAAAGGGATGCGTGATTTGATATTGGGCGACGCCCGGGCAAAGTGTTGGTTGCCCCCCTCATGCACCCCTCATCCCCTACTATTGCGGCGGGAGGCAAAGGTCATCTGGAGAAATTCAGATCTTAAAGAACAGAGATAATAATAATTAATTCATGTGAAGCTAATAACAACAGCCAGCAAATGTTTTAAGGAGAAAACAGAAAAATCAAAGCTTGCAAATTCTATGATATTTCCTCCAACCAATTTGCCAATTCCAGATGCCAGCCAGTTCAAACACCATTGTCTCTTTATCGCCTGTCCACAAAGCAAATCATCCTCAAAATAGCAATTTGTTTTCCTGGTCCCAGATCGACAATTTAGATAACCTTATGAATACTGAAAGGGAGATGAAATCGTTGAAAACATGACAACCGTCCTTCATAATTGAGACTTATCATCGATCGTCCATTGCCGAGCGAGCCCTCAAGAGCCCAGCTCTCAAGCAAGTCGAGAGAACAGCCTTAGTCCCAGTGGATTCCTCTTGCGAGTTCGCAACTAAAATTTTTCAAACGGCGTCGAGAAGTTAGCCTAGGAAAGCGAGAAGATAACAGGATGTATCGTCAGGAAGGAAACCTTGGTGAGGGACTCACGGGTCAACACCAAACTGCACATTTGCTTGCTGCCAGTCATCCTGGCGGATTAGATAGGAGCGCAGGCGGACAGCATTTTCAATAGAGGAGAGACGGAATGTGACGGCTCGAACTCTCTACATGTCCCATTAGCAAGTGCCTTTGAAGAGACGCACCAAGGGCTGGATATCAAGACGAATGAGGGTAAAACCACTAGAAAACAACCAAATATAACTCACGCTTGAAGCATCAAACACATCAATGACCTTTTCCAATTTGAAATTCAGTCTCTCGGGGAGATCCGCCAGCTCCTTCATGTTCAGAGCCAAATCGGCACCGACAGCACGTACGACACGCGTAGCCCCCAGGCGCAAGGATTCTCTAAGGCGGGAGCTAACAATGTCCACCTCCTTATGCCAGTCCACAAAAATTATAGCCTTGCGGCCACTCACGTTGACCTCGATTCCATTCGGATACTTGTCGTAGTACCTCTGGCAAGCTGCAGGATCACAGAAAAGAACATGTGCAGACTTTGACTGCGGGAAATATCTTACGGATTCGATACGACCGCCATGAATGAGTGAAAAGACCTTGCTTGGGGATGCGAAGGATTCTGGGATTGGAGACAGGATAACGCGTCGAAGCTCAACACCTAGGTGAACAAGTCATATTAGAACAGTAACTATTGATTGATAGCCTTTTTGAAACGTAGATTCTTACGTGGTCTTGATCTTGGTGACGGAGTTGCCCCACTGCTGGAGAAGCTAAGGTGTTCACGGTCTTCTTTACCTGTCGTCGGACCTTTCGAAGACGTAACGGGGGCTGGGGAGTTAGTTGAGGTGAGGAGCGTTTTTTTAACTGAAGTTGGGCTTTGGCTTGCAACATCAGATTTATGCTCTGGAGACTTTTGAAGCTGAACCTCCAAAGGAGCTTCTGGTTTACTTGCAGAAACCACTGAAAACCCGTCAGGACATGCCATCGAAGAGACATAGTCGGGAAGACACTTACTATTTCCAACGGATTCAGATGCGCCTTTGGCAGCTTGGGTGGAGCGACCTCGAACTGCAGCCATGAAGGCCGATGTGTTGTTGAGATTGGTAACATTCGTAGACACCACTTTCTTCACAGTCTGTTCATCCTTACTGACGGCTGGGGTTTTGTTCACAGGCTTGCTTTCCTTTCGAACGGGAGTTTTCCCTGTAGGGATGATGGCCCATCGGCTGGCCTCAAGGCCGGGGCGCGGGGAGTCTTTGCTAAGTTCGTCGAATGCGTCAAAAAGAACCTGAGCCACATGTGCCGCGTCCTTCTCTGTTGCCTTTGACTCCGGGGTGTCCAGAATCGGAGCAACTGTGTGTGCTGGAGCCATGATCTTCGCGCTCTTAGCGGGCAGTTTGTTGTTCGCATGGGAGGGGGTATCGTTTGATGGAGAAGGAGAGCTCTTGGAAAAAACTTTCTTCTTGCTTCTGCCACGCGAGCGACTCTTCTTGCGTTGCCTGTTTTTGGTTCGATCTTTTTCGTCTGCGGAGGGAGAAGAGGACTCCGATGCACCGGGAGCCCAACGACTCGCTTCCAGGCCTCGTGATCCTCCAGTCTTCCCAACCTCGTCGAAGGCTTCGAAGAGGATACGCCCGACCTTGGACGCCTCAGATTCCCTGTCCTTCTTCGCGCCAGGGTAGATCTTGTCAAGCTCTTCCTCTGTCAAGGAAGAGGAAGACTTGCTGCTCTGCGGTGTGGCAGATGCAGGCGAAGTGGTCGGCACTTGGGCCCCTGGGGCTCTTCCGGGGCTTGCTGCACCCTTTGCCCTTTTGGCCTGGGAGGCCTCTCCATGCTTCCGCGAAGCCGGGCTAACGGACTTCTTCGGTCCAACGACCGCTTCAATCCCTTTCGTTGGTTCAGTCTCAATCTCTTGCGGCGCGGACCGTGCGGTCTGAAGATTGTTATTAGCATTGGTGGTCTTTCGGAACAGCAGGATAAACATGAGACTCAGACGACAAGCATAGAACCAACCTTCTTCTTTTTCTTTTTGGGAGATGCCCTCTGCCGCTGAGGGGATTTGGAGGACCCCTGGCTCTCAGGAGAAGAGTTCACGACTGCCTTCCCCTTCTTATTGGGAGGAGTCCGTGGCTGGTCTCCATTCTGTGAACGAGATGGAGAAGGAGAGGTAGCACACGAGGGGGAAGGGGTTTTCTTTGCCTGCGCCATGATGAAATGGGGGGGTAACTGAGCCTTAATTGTTTACGGACGATCAAACTGGTGCGCCAACAAGAATGCACTCAAGGTGAACAGCGATAATGGAAAAGTGATAATGGATTTGGTTCAAGGGAACTGAAGAACAAGGTGAGTCATAAATCAAAATATGTGGATGAGGAGAATGAGAAAGGAAAGGAGATGTGAGCGAAAGGAAGAAGAGATTTAAGTATCCTTGCAACAGCTGTGACTAGCCTTACAAAAAGCGAGCAGCTGAAATGGGTTCTAGAGTGACTGGAACCAAGAGAGAAAAAAAATTTTTTTTTGTTCAAATAGGCACCAAGAGTAGAAAAGACTCACTTATCATGGAGATATCCGTGCAGTCAACACCAGATGGTGGCTGGGCGTGAAACAATGAATTCACGCCGTTTTTGTTCGATAGGCTGTACTGGCTATCATGAAGAGGAGATGACACAAGTTTACAATTGTGAATGTTGTGAATGTATGCCGGAAGCATCTGGAATGTAGGATCTGAACAGCAAGTGTATTGTATAACCTCAAGTATGTGTATCACACACACCCGGCGCAGTCTATATCACTTTCAAATAGCAGACATTGAAATATATATATATCAAGAAGACAAAAAAAATTGGCCATATATCAAAAGAATATGCCCCTGAACAAGCTCCAGTCACTGGCCCCACCTCTTCCGCAGAGGTAGGAGCCCTCAAGGAAACGTCAAAAGGTGCTGTGATGGTATCACCGTACGTAGACAGCCAGACTCCATAGAAACCCAGGACGCCAAAACTTCTAGCCAGAGAATCCCGGTGTTATTAAAACAGAAAAATCGTAAGAATCATTTTACTCGGGTGGAACTGGGAGCATCTCCCAGTTCTTGTGGCCCTTTTTTGGGTTGGGTATCATCACCTGCAAAGCACGGCGTCCACAGAATCCGCCAGTGCCTGCAACTCGAGTCACTGTCTCGTAAGATCCCTTCTCAGGGGACCAAACGGTCTGTTCAACTCGTTGGCCTGCTCGCTCTTCTCGTCGCGGGTTGTACCACGGCATGCCAACGAGGTGGTTCAGGATGTTATGAGGCAGCGAATAAAGCCGTTCGAATCTCCTCGTGAGACCAAGCCAGGAGAGTGTGGATGTATCATAAGCCACTCGAATGTAAGGGTTCATATAAATTCCCGTGTCAATAGGTTCTTTGGATTTGTGAGGTGGAATCTGAATATCAGCATTGATCAGACAGCATTCCGACGCATCCCAGTATTGGTCTGGCTCCGCTCTGAAGCGAGCGGGGTGAAATGCTCGTGGCGTAAGCGACTGGTGGTGCCGCCTATCGCCGTGTGAGGTCTCTAGCGATGCCGAGGCCTGGAAAAGAGAGGCGTCAAAGGCAACTATACCACCCCAACAGCTTCTGACTCGGACAGCATCGCGCTGGTGTAGAACGTCGTGCCGACTCTGGCCTTCTCCAGCGTCTGAGAACCAAGGATAGAAGGGAATGCCGGTCGAGTATCCTTCGAGATCTCGGGCGGCAAATGTGTCATAAAACTTAAAGGCGTTGATAAAGTCCACAGCGCACGCAGCGCGATACTGCGACTTCCCGTCCTTGTCTACGTTAGTCGCGAAAAGTAGTTGAACGGCATCTATGGGGTCGAAAAAGACATCATTGATGTATAACAGCTTGTCGAATCTCTCTCGATCGGGGTCGTCGAGGGGTTGAAGGGCACGGTTGCGCACTTCGGAGAGAAAGGCGATCCGCTTTAGGCGTTCCGAGCCGCCTGGCAGCGTTACACGCGGTATATTCTTGAGGTCCAGGTGCGGTTCGTACACCATCGATCGGTTGCACGGAACCTTCTGCTCAAGATCCTGGAGGGCGGCCGCTGATACATCACCAGAATCATTTTCAAAAACACTCAAGTAGGTGTTATCCGGCCCCAGAAGCTCGATCAGATCAAGGACGTTCCTGCCCCATTGTCCGCGAGCAAGGCTACCATCCCGATCATATATGCTCGCCGCTATGAAAACCTTTTCGTTGCGTGGATTGCCCCTGCCGGGCTCGTTCGAGTCTCGAATTGCCTGCCGAAGAGCATCGTAATGGGCCGGTCTGTGTGTGTAGGAAGGACTGATGATCGCGGTGAGCAGGACGAGAACAGCTACGATGCCGCTGAGAATATAGGCGACGAAGAACAGGCGACGACACGCGCTGGGGCGATACGAGCAAGACGGCCTTGTGGAGCCCTTCCAGGCAGGTCGACTTGAGCGATTCCGGAGGAGAAAGCGGCGAGGGGGACGGATGGCGGGAGGAAGAGATGCCCAGAGGCGCTGGAGGAGAGACAGACTCTGTTTGGGATAGCTCGGGCTGGCTAGGGCGCGGGATTCGGGGTCCGCCTCGTCGAGGTCGAAGCTGTCCCGCGAATCGAAGGACGAGCGAGAGACCAGCTCGTACTCATCTGGATGAAGTAGTCTCGGAGGCATCACAGCGCGGAGGGAGTTCCGGGATCCTCTGCCAAGCCTGGAGGAAAGGGGACGCTGAGCATCTTCCTGAGCAGCAGCCCTGTTGTGTGTGTGTGGAGGAATTTTCTGGAGGGTGTCGTTTCTCTGACGCGTTGACAACAAGCTTTGTTGGGGGGCGGTTCGTCTTCCAAGGGCTTCTCGGAGGCGCGGAGACGCCCGGCCGGGGTCGCCTACGATTGGCGGGGGGCTCTGCCTGAGCTTTTCGTCACAACGGGAAACCCTGCAGCGTGACCACGCGAAAAGAGTCACCCCGTATGTCGCCGTGACCTTTCGGTATCTCCCTCGTTCTTCAGAGTTCCCTTACCCCTGGCGGTCTGTACAAGACTTGTCTGGTCGCTATCCTTCGCCGGCCGCTGAGGACTCCTTCGCCCGGTGCCCGCGGGTTCCGCCGGTGGCTGAAACGGTGAGCAACGATGAGTAAACATGATTGCGGGCCCGGCGCTGTGATTGGCCAGCCAAGCGGCGTCACGAGCGCTTTCCGTGTTCAGCAACGCTAACCGTTTTGCCTTCCGATGCCGCTTTAGATCACCACGGCCGGAACAACGTATATGCGACCTACAGTATGTACAATTCACCTGGAGCGCGCGCCAAGTCGCCGCTTAGAGGAGAGACAAACTAAAAGCGGCGTGTGGACTGCTCCTTCGCGGAATCCGACTTGTCTTGGCGATGCCAAGCGGCTCGAGGTTGCTGCTATTATCCAAGTCCGCAACCGAGCCGGTAGCGATCTTGCAAACGGTCAAACCCGCATCCATCGCCATCCATCCATGGCCCCAAGGCCTGCTGGTCGGGACTACGCACGAAAAGGCCGTGACGATGATCAAAAGTTTCTGCCTAACCCCCAGTTTCCTTAGAGATACCCCCCGGGGCTTGCCTCCTCCTGGCATGTATAAGAATGATTCTTCTTCATTCAATCTTCAATCGACTTTTTTTTTTTTATGTAGTTAGTTTCTTGGGTGTAGTTTAGATCATCCGCCTTTCACCTGAAAGGGGCTGTGTGCAGTTCTTGTTTATTTATTTATTTATTTTATTTTATTTTATTTGTTTATTTTTTTTTTAATTATTTTATTCGGGTGTCTTTGTATTGTCCTTTTCTAGACCCAATATAGGCCTACCTCCCGAATCTCGAAAGTTTCCCTTCAACTGTCGCCTTCTGGTGATGAGCTCCGTCGAGCCAGCACATCCAGCATCTGTGGATGTGGAGAAAATTTCAGACCATGGAGAGAAGCAAATGACCGAAGTCGCCCCAAAGACCGTCGATGCAAAGGACGATGCGGTAATCGACGTGGAAAAGACCGGAGAGGAGAAGGACAAAGACGAAACCTCGGGCGGGTTCGGTGCTTACTTGGTAAATTTTCATGCAATGCACGACCTTTCAATGTATCTAGCTAAAGATAAAGTGCTGTAGAAACTCTGGAAATGGTGTGCTCCAGTCGATGTTGTTCTTCGGATCTGTGGGTTTTTCGCCGCGATCGCGTCGGGAACCGTATGTCAAAGCTTCCCAGGCGCAATGCGAAGAAGAGCTTCATAAACCCTCTGACCTGGCGGAATCTAGGCTCTTCCCTTAATGACCATTGTTTTTGGCGCATTCGTCGATGAATTCAATGATTACGGGAGAGGGGTTTCAACCCCCGAGCAACTCAGGAAAGCAATCGCAAAAAATGCGTTTGTAACCCCTCGCCGTCTCAACCCTTTTTAATGATCTTTCTGGCTAACGTTGCTGCCAGCTTGTATCTTGTCTATCTTTTCATTGGAAAGCTTGCCGTATGTTTACTCCCCACGTCGTTTTGTCTTCAGGCTGAGTTTGTCTTTAATAAAACGGTTCTAGACGGTGTACATCCACACCACTTGCTTCACAATCACCGCCGTTCGTGGTGTGCGCCGTCTCCGCTTGGAGTATATCAAAGCGATCCTCAGGCAGGATATGGCGTACTTCGACACGTACACCCCAGGGTCCGTCGCCACTCGCATATCCAACAATGCGAATCTCATTCAGAATGGTCTATCGGAAAAAGTGGGAACCGCAGTTCAAGGTTTCGCCATGCTCATCGCCGCGTTCGTCGTAGCGTTCACCAGAAGCTGGAGACTTACGTTGCCGGTTGCTACCTCCATTCCTACTGCCGTTACCCTCGTTGGAATCACGGTTGTGCTAGACACGAAAATAGAAGCAAAAGTCTTGGATATTTATTCAAAGGCAGGTGGCCTCGTCGAAGAGACTCTGAGCAGTATCCGGGTCGTCGTCGCCTTTGGTGCTGGAGGTAAACTGCGGAAGAAATATGACGAGCATCTGGACTCAGCGAAGAAGTTTGGGGTGAAAAAGGGCCCCATATTGGGTGTCCAATACAGCTCTGAATTCTTCATCATGTACTGCGCCTATTCACTTGCCTTTTGGTATGGTGTTAAACTCGTCACGAAGGGGCAGATCGGATCGGGCGGAGAAATTCTCACGTATGTCCGACCCCCACGCACAAGGAGCGCTCTTCATCTCTAACTTCTTGAATAGCGTTATCTTTGCCGTCGCCCTTGGCACCTCCGCTCTCACTATGATTTCTCCTACCATAGGCGATTTCACGAAAGCTGGAGCAGCCGCCAATGATGTTCTCGATATGATCGCCAGAACCCCTGGTATCGATTCCATGAGCACTGAAGGGTTAAAACCGGAAGAAGTCAAGGGGGAAATTCAACTGTCAGGAGTGTCTTTTTTTTATCCTGCAAGACCCACCATTCAAGTTTTGAACAAGGTCACCCTCAATATCCCTGCCCGGAAAGTCACAGCACTGGTCGGGGCTAGCGGTAGTGGGAAAAGCACGATCGTCGGGCTCTTGGAACGTTGGTATGATCCTGCTGAGGGCTCAGTTCAGCTTGATGGACAGGAGATAAAGGATTTGAACGTGAGATGGTTGAGGAGCCAGATTGGGTTGGTCCAGCAGGTAAAAGGCGCAATTTAACGAAAACCACTTCAAATCATATACCTGCTAGCTAACGCGTGCTAGGAACCGATTCTTTTCAACGACACCATCTATAACAATATCGTGCACGGTCTTCATGGGACAGAAATGGACGGTTATGATGAAGAGAGGAAAAGGGAACTGGTCCGGGAAGCGTGCATTGAGGCAAATGCAGACGAATTTATCCAGACCTTTCCCAAGGGCTACGACACCGTGGTTGGTGAGCGGGGGAGCCTTTTGAGTGGAGGTCAGAGGCAAAGAGTTGCCATTGCTCGCAGTATCATTTCCAATCCTCAAATCCTTCTCCTTGACGAAGCCACCTCTGCGCTCGATCCCCGAGCCGAAGCCGTCGTTCAGGCCGCGCTGGATAGAGTCTCACGGACGCGTACCACCGTGTTGATAGCACATAAGCTCTCAACGGTTAAAAAAGCAGACAACATTGTCGTTCTGAATAAAGGTCAGGTTGTCGAGCAAGGGACTCATGATGAGCTTCTGGAAGCGCATGGCGCATATTGGAACCTCGTCAATGCTCAAAGCCTTTCCACAGTGGCCGACGAAAGTTCCTCGGAGACTGAAAACGACTCGCAAGATGTACAACCAGGCGAGCTAGAAAAGGTCGCGACGACAAAATCGGTTCGCAGCAATCTCCCCACCGAGGAAGTACCAGAAGAAGTCGATGTCTCTCGTAAAATGTCCCTTTTCCGATGCTTGGCCAAAATCTTCTACGAGCAGCGCCGTCACTGGGTCTATTTTCTGTTCGGCGGAGTTGCGTCTGTCTGCGGAGGCGGTGCTTTCCCGGCACAAGCTGTTCTCTTTTCAAAAATCGTGACAATTTTCCAGCTGCCAGAGGACGAGCTCGCTGACCGGGTGAGCTTTTGGGCTCTGATGTTTTTCGTCCTTGCGCTGGGGGTGTTGTTTTCGTACGGCTCCGTTGGTTTCTTCTTGACTGTTGCGGCCTTCCGCGTATCGCGGTTCTATCGCAGTGAATACTTTGGTGCCATGTTATCGCAGGATATCGCTTTCTTCGATAATCCGGATAATTCATCCGGAAGCCTGACTGCAAGATTGTCGACGGACCCGCAGGCTCTGCAGGACTTGATTTCCTCAAATATCGGATTGATCTTGATTGTCATTGTGAATCTCGTCTCTTGCACAATTCTTGCCCTCGTCACTCAATGGAAATTGGCCCTTGTTGCTCTCTTCGGATGTCTCCCGGCGCTTTTTATGGCTGGGTTTACCCGTATGCGTATGGAAATGAAGAGTCAGGATAAGAACGCAAAACTGTATCTCGAGAGTGCGCGGTTTGCGTCCGAAGCGGTTGGGGCCATCCGCACCGTTTCATCCTTGACGCTAGAATCGAAGGTCTATGACAGCTATGCGGAGCGTTTGAAGGGCCCTGTTTCGAGATCCTACAAGCATACTATGATTAGTATGATATTTTTCGGTCTTTCCGAAAGTATTGACTTGGCAGCGATGGCGCTCGCTTTTTGGTATGGTGGGCGGCTCCTGACATTCAACGAGTACGATGCCGAGACGTTCTTCGTCGTGTTTGTAGCCGTGATTTTTGGTGGGCAAGCAGCGGGTTTTCTGTTTGGGTTCACCTTGAGTAGGTTATTCCCTGTGCTGCTGGGCTCAGGGGGAATTCTCTTCGCTAACACGTGCTATTAGATACGACAAAGGCGCACTCAGCTGCAAATCATATTTTGCACCTCCGACAACAAGTTGCTCCGATTAACGGCTCGAAGGGAGAACCTCTCCCGGGCGGTGAGAAAGACGTTGCGATTGAATTTAAAAACGTCTCATTCCATTACCCAAGCCGACCAGATCATCCGGTACTCCGAAAGATCAACTTCAAGATCTATCGTGGGCAAAACGTCGGTCTCGTGGGCGCTTCGGGATGCGGTAAAACCACCATCATCGCGTTGCTGGAACGATTCTACGATATCTCCTCCGGTGAAATTCTCATAAACGGAAAATCGATTTCTGCAATCGACGTCAACGAATATCGAGAGAGCGCGAGCTTGGTCTCTCAGGAGACGACGCTCTACCAGGGTTCTATCCGAGAAAACGTCACACTTGGAATCCACTCGACAACAGTCTCAGACGACGACATTGTCAAGGCCTGTAAGGATGCGAACATTCATGACTTCATCCAATCTCTGCCTGAAGGCTATAACACGGAATCAGGCTCGCGTGGTCTCACTTTCAGCGGAGGTCAAAGACAGCGCCTTGCTGTTGCACGGGCGCTTCTGCGAAATCCTGACTTCTTGTTCTTGGACGAGGCTACCAGTGCGTTGGACACTGAGAGCGAACGGGTCGTCCAAGCTGCATTGGAAACTGCAAAAAAGGGAAGGACGACTATTGCCGTTGCTCATCGTCTTAGCACTGTACAAGACTGTGACGCGATATTTGTGCTGGACGCCGGTAGAATTGTGGAACGAGGAACTCATCAAGAACTCTTGCGGCAAAAGGGGCGGTATTACGAGATGTGTCAAGCTCAGAGTCTTGACAGGGATGCATGAGTTCCAACGAGGACAGCTGAAAAGTTGCGGGAGTCCGCAGTTTATATAAATAATAGTGTGCTTTCTTAATCTGTATTAATACAATAATTTGGACGTAATGCTCTTGGTATTCGAAACTCCACTCTCTCTTCCTCTACGTTGTCCCCGATGCATCGTCTTCCAGGTAGTTTTAAGTTCACCAAACTGATATCCTATATTTTGTCACGGCTAAAAGGGTTCCTATTCAGAGAGTTCCGGAGATAAAATTCATCTTATCAATCGATCCCTGAGGAATGGCAGGGCAAAATTTGACATATGGGCACTATCTTCCGACCATGGGCCAGCAAGTTTGACCTTAAGGACAATGCAGAAGCAGTTAGAAGATACCGCCGGCTCGCCAGGGTTTACATTCCCGTCCCAATGCCAAGTTGTCACCGGATATACACTCCGATTTACGAAGATGGGATAACGCCGCCCGCTTATAACGTTCAAAGGGGTATCTCTTACCATTGGAGCTGGGTTTCCATTATCGCGTGCGTTGGGGTTACACTTGAGCATCGTTTTGTGGCAACGAAGTTCGGTTCAACTTGAGAGAACCAATAGCTGAAAGAGTCGGATTTCGAGTTCTTCGGGAACTCGGACTCTCGGGAATACAACCTTGCTAGTTGCTGGTTGCTGTCCGCATGTACGTGTCTAGAAAGTTGCCGGCTGAACTTGGTCATCACTCCACACTTGTTCTATTGATTATTCCACGCCAACCTGAATCAATGCGTTTATCAAACAACTCATCAATCATTTAAAGACACTGCAATATACCAGTTATCATAGTTTTGTGGCTCATCGTCACAGCGCCATGTCCAGTCTCAATCTCCGGAGTGAAAACACCTCCCAGCAACCCCCCACCGAAGCCGATCTCAAGAACGGCTTCACCCTGAAAGCCGCCCCAGGCACTGACCTCTGGTCCAAACCACCCTCGACAGTCCGGTCAAATGCACCCACGATCACCAGGGCGATAGCATTGAGCCGCTTCCAGAGAGCCCGTGTTCACGTCAGTGCTGACTGGTCCACGCTCTACGACCAGGGCGGACTGGTCTTGATGATGGAGCACAAGGCCCGAAAATGGATCAAGACGGGGATTGAGTTCGTCAGTGGGAGGCCGTACGTGAGTACGGTAGCGAAGGATAACTGGGCTGACTGGAGCCTTGCGCCGATATCGGATGGCGGAGGCGGGGTGACGATTGAAATGGTGAGGCAGAAGGGTGCGTTGTGGGTTTACGTGGTTGAGAAGAGGGAAGGGGAGGAGATCATGGTACCGGTGAGAGAGATTACATGGGCTTTCGCTGAGGAAGAGGATGTCAAGGCTTTGGCTGGAGTGTATGCGTGCCGACCAGCGAAAGAAGGCGGGGAGTTAGACGTGGTATTTCGGGACTTTGAGCTTGAATGTACATAACCAAAGTGACCACATCTCGCAAGCCGTACACACAGTTTAGTTAACTAAGTTAGTAAATCCCGCGCGAGCTACGGAGTACTATGCTAGTTAAATGTTTAAATGTACGTAGGTTTTCGGGTTGAGGGCGACCTTTCTGCGCCATGTTGAAACGATACGAGGCAACTGATTAAGCAAATATGTACGGAGTACTCCGTGCAGGGTTCGGGTGACTCGCAGCGGCGACTCGCCGTCGGACGCCGCAGCTGATCGGATCACCAGGCATTATCAGATCCGAGCTTGGCCGAAGTTTCGCCCAGGGAGGTTTAGAGCTGGTCACGGGGAAACGCGCGAGATGCCATACCGTAAGTAGCCTAGCGGGCCTCGTTTCACCCAATCATACTGTAGCTGCGAGCCCACGCTGGGTTGGCGAGCGTTTGGGTGGCCTAACCAGTCAGTTTAATCTTATCATATCAGATCATCTCGCCAAGCAGCCGTGGCCTCCACCCGGCCGTTTCCGCCCCCTCCATCACCCGTTCGATTCATGACTGCGTCTGCTGGCTCTGCCTGCGGTCGTCCTGGTGGTCTGTTCTCCGCATCTACGATAAGCTGGGCTTTTATTAAACCAATTTAATGCCAGCGAGGGTTGGCAGGGTTTGGATCGCCTTATTTCTCCTTTCGACCCTTTGAGTCCAGCTCCCTTCACCCGCGGATATCCCATTGGCTAACTTTTTCCATGAACACGATCAATCAACGGACATTCACGACTTTTTTTGGGATTTGCTTTTTTTTTTTTTTTTTTAAGGGGCACTTAAGGCACTAGCGGGGCTATATTTTAGTTCTTCTTATTTATTTTCCTTGTCTTGCGTTCGACAGAGTACGTGTCACGAAGCATTTTTAACCCAACGGGCGTCTCTCTCTCTCATCCGATTCCTGCGGATCGGCAAAACTTTGTGGACCGGCAGCCACCAGCCGTCTCGCAGACCTTCAGCGGCCCGTTGGCTGGCTGTACTTTTTGGCGCACAATCGGAGGCGTTTACAGTTCCAGACATACTCTGCCTTGCTCGTGTGCGGCGTGATTCTCAGTGTTTTCCAAAGCCCGGCTGCTACCGATCGAACGTCCTGCTGGGAAACGGAATATTCTATATTGTTGATGAACCTCTGTCGCCCTATCCCGGCTATAACGTGGCCTTTGACGATTGATAGTCACACCAAATAAGGGGTCTTGGGTTGCTGGGAGTCATGAGTCGTCCCAGGGGGCCTTCGAGCCCTCCAACATATGGGGCATTCGAGTCCGACGAGAGAACTGAGGGAAATAACGAAAGTGAAGGCCTGCTTTTTGTGGAACCGAGGGAACTTGGTGAGAATGATCCTATATTTGAAGAGATTATTAGCTCGTCGACGTCCATCAGTACGGACGTCCAGGATGGTGTCCGGAAAATCGAGGCTATTAGCAGAACGTGGACGCAGAAATCATTGATAATAGCATATCTTGGGTGAGACTTTCTTTTTTTCGAGGATTTTTCTACGGCCTGTCCATGGTGGTTTTGTGGGTGTGTGTCATGGGCTAATGGGTTTTAGAATTTTTTTGATGGCATTCTCTACCTCGCTCGAGGGGCAGACGGTGATGTCTTTATCACCTTATGCAACAAGTTCCTTTAGCAAACATTCTTTAATATCTACGGTCTTGGTTGTTCAAAATGTAACTAATGGTAAGCCGGACGAGTTTCTTTCCACTTTCCTTTGAGTACCTGTCCCTAACACTTTTTCAATAGCTGTCATAAAGCCGCCCATGGCGAAGATCGCGGATGTATTTGGTCGGTTTGAAGCGTTTTGTATCGGTGTTTTTATTTATGTCCTCGGTTACATCCAAATGGCCGCCTCGAAGAATGTGCAGACCTATGCCTCGGCGCAGATATTTTACTCTGCTGGTTCAACAGGCTTGCAAATACTGCAACAGGTGTTTATCGCCGATAGCAGCGATCTACTCAACCGAGCACTATTTGCCAACCTTCCCGATTTACCTTTCCTCATTACTGTGTGGGTCGGGCCAATGGTAGCTTCAGCTATACTCCAGAATTTGACCTGGCGCTGGGGCTATGGAATGTGGGTGGTTATTTTGCCCTTGGCCTTCCTGCCTTTGGCCTTGACCTTGTGGCTCAATCAGAGAAAAGCACAGAAGCTGCAGCTACTGCAGCCCAAGCCTTGGAAAGGCAAAGGTCTAAGGAGTTTGCTCCGGAGTACTTGGTACGAGTTGGATCTGTTTGGCTTGATATTGCTGTCAGCTGCGCTCATCCTCATTCTGGTACCATTGACGCTGGCGTCGAATGCAAAAGATACGTGGCAAAACGGAAGTATCATCGCGATGATTGTGGTAGGGTGCATTTGCCTAGTTGCTCTTCCTTTCTGGGAGACGTCGAAAAGGCTAGCACCGCACCCGCTGCTCTCCCTAAAACTTCTCAAGCAGAGAACGGCCCTGGCAGGCTGCGCATTCGCATTCTTCTACTTTAGTAAGGACGATAACCCACCCCTTCTCATCCAGGATGCCCCCCTTTTACTGACATTCGATAAGTGGCGTTCTACTTATCCATCCAACCGTATCTTTATTCCTATCTCCAAGTCGTACAAGGCCAATCTGTCGTCACCGCTGGCCGCGTGACACAGACCTTTTCATTCACATCCACCATTGCTGCCGTGGTAGTCTCATTCTTCATTAAATATACTGGGAGATACCGCTCCTTTGTCACGGGTGGCTGTTTCGTCTACATTGGGGGGCTGATCTTAATGCTCCTGTCCCACAAAGAAGGTAGCAGTGTCCTCAAAACACTTGTTATCCAGACCATTGTTGGCCTCGGAGGTGGACTAGTGAATGTTCCTGTACAGCTGGGTGTTCAGGCATCAGCAAGTCATCAGGAAGTTGCAGCTGCCACAGCAATGTTCCTAACAGCACTTGAGATGGGGGGTGCTGTCGGCTCGGCGATTTCAGGCGCGGTGTGGACAAGCTCTGTCCCGAAACGGTTACGGAACTACCTACCTCCAGAAAGCCGGGAGCAGGCGGATGAGATCTTTGGAAAGTTGACCGAGGCACTCTCGTATCCCTTAGGATCCCCAACACGGATCGCTATTAATAGGGCATATGAAGAAACAATGGGGACGCTGCTGACGATTGCGGTTTGTGTAACCATTCCGCTGATACCATTGAGCTTGTTGATGAAGGATTACCACCTAGACACAGTACGTATTGTCGTGTATACCAAGCTGATGTATGTTTATTTCTCACTTGTGCTAACCTAGACGTGATAGATGGCTCAAAAAGTCAAAGGGAAAGTCATCGGCCACGGTGATGTGGAAGATGATTTTATAGCCAGAACCAGTTCTCGATCATCCAGGTCGAACTCTCGACCTTAGAGATATAAACTACCCTCTCTTTTCTCATTCGACCCCTCAGCATCGTTCTCCGCAAGGCCCCAACAGGTGCAAACGAACGTATTGCACAAGCCATGGACCTGGATCTTTCAAAGGAGCAAACATTTTCCTTCCGAGATTCATATAGAAACGAACTTTGTTTTAGCATATACCGACAGCTTTTTTATGTCCCTCGTTTTCTGCATATGATGGCGAGATACCCTTCATGCATATTTCGATCTTTCCGTTTTACCACCACCAGCATAGGATATGGCTGAAGTTTCTCATTTCCGCTATAAGATTTTTCTGGGAAATAGACAAATGTCTTACTTCGGGATCCCAGTGTTATTCCCTGCCTTTCCCTCGCCTTTTGACCCTTTTGTAGATCATATGTATCTGTACATACACAACATTTAACAGGCTTTGGGCAACATGCCCCCTTGGGTCTCAATTGAAGGGGATGCTTTGGAAAAATGAACAATTATATTTGACCTAGCCAATTGGAGTGAAGATGCCTATCGTCCGCTACACGTTGACCTAACACATTGTTATACAGCACCACAGAAGTTAATGATTGATTCGAGGACCAGAAAATCGCGACAGGACTATCTAAATCTTGAGAAACCGAATGGGCAATGTTATTCTGAACGGGAAATAGGCCTTTCTCTTCTCTTCTGGAAGCAGAGCCCCATCCTTATCAACAAAGACCTCATCCAACGCCGTCTGGTACGTGCTATACACTCTAGCTGTAATCAGGCGCAGCTCCGCCCATGCAACGCTATTCGAGGAAGAAAGGAGTTAGATAAATAAAGAATTCAGGGCATTTCCAATCTCAATCTCGATTCGATTTGGATATAATTTTCTGAGTTGGATGATATCGAAAACTTACTTTTTCCCCGAACACATTCTCGCTCCGGAGCCGAACGGCCAGAACATCCGCTGCATCTCTCGATATTTTGGAGACGTGATTGGAATGTTCCAACGTTCTGGATTCCATCTTTCTGGTTCCTGAAAAGCGCCTGGGTCGCGATGAAGACAATAACCTTGGGAGTGTATCGTTGTCTGTTTGATATGCTATTAGATCGGGTGGAGTATGGACTTGTTTGACGAAAATTTCCACATACCCCAGCTGGGATTTTTGTTCCCAAAACCACAACGTTCTGACCTTGCTTCACTGTTCGAGGCAAGCCAAATGGAAGAGGAAGATGGAGTCGAAGCACTTCACGTAGTACACAATCCAGGTATGGCAGTCTTTGGACGAGCGAAGGATCAGGATATTTCCCTGGTAAGATTCCAGCATCATGGAGCTCATGCCGGAGTTTATCTTGGTATATCCTGTTTTCAGGAGCGGAGAGTTCCCACATCAATGCGGCGAGCAAATCGCCAGGAGCGAAGTATCCTTGTTGAAAAATCAATTCCTGGGAATTAACACTGGGACTAGCCATGGCCCATCACTTACCAGCAATGAAATGGTCAAGACAGTCACTTGCGATGAAGTTTTTACCTGGAAGGACACGTGATGGGCCGTTCTTTTTGAGGGTGGACGTGAGATGCTGAAGGTGAGTGATCGAGGGTTCCTTTGTCTCTGAATTGGCGGAGAGAACTGCTTCGACCCGTTTCATCCCAAAAGTTCCTATTTCATCTGGTCCAAAAAGCCTTTGAAATAGCGTGGAAATGCCTGTCAAATCGTTAATATGGTCACTTATGGTTTCAAGCAGGAAAGAATGTGCTAACGTGGAAACCACCCCAGAAACGTTACAAACGGTTGGCATAATATATCCGCAGTGGTAATCAGCAGTCCTTTATAAATCTTCCTCGATTCCTCGTTTGTCAACATATTAGGATGGTCCTTTTCCCCGTAGATGTGGTGAATGATGATATCGGCCACCAACCACCTCAGCCAGGAAGAAACATCAACGGTCCTGCAGGGCGCGGCAACAGCCCTCTCCTCTATTATCCGCATAAATTGTTCTATATATATCTTAAACCCAGCTTGAAAAGCCGGAGCGGCAACCGCAGGTCCAGTATACAAACCAACGACCATCTTTCTGCGGACGGCATGGAGATCCGCATCCAGCGTTGTTACGACGTTTTCTGAAGCATAATTTTGAAAAGCGAGCAAAGATTCACCAGCGTCAAGTCCTCGTGGACCCGAGTAGATCTGCGGCAGGGCATCAGCATGACAGAAGGAAACTTCACGAGGGCCCAGCTGCACGGTTGGGCCATATTTTCGATGCAATAAGAGAATTTCGTGCTTGTCATTTCCTGCGTCCAATTTATTAACCCGAGTGCATAAAGGTCCTCATTTCTGGTTACCTTTCCACTGCTTCCACCGCATCCACCATCGAGTGAACTTGGCGATTCTGGGCCCAGGAAATGGAGAAGTCACCACGCGAAAAATACCCCGACATATATCAAGAGCAACCCAGATACCAAGGCCGAGCGCAAGAAGCTGCCATTTGGGGAGGGAAAGGGCTGTGAACAGCGTCACAAATGCCATACTGAAGGGCGGGTATAGGAGTCTCCACGGGTCGTAGATTCAACACGAAAAGCGAAGTGCGAGAACACCTCATCTACGGAGTAGATTTTAAGCGTCGAAGGACTGAAGCTTTCTCCTCAAGCTTCAACGGCCGCGAACGTCTCATGGACAGGCCGGCCCGTGTGGGTGCCAAATGCTTGCCCCAGAGCTGCAAGGATTTGGGAACTTCATCCAGTAGAAAGTCAGCAACCAGGGATCCGTGGACACCAACGAATAGCGAGCGATTCAAGTCTGCTGTTGATGCAGGTGGCATGGCCGAGCCTCGCTTCTCCTCTCCCACGATAGAATAGCTTTCTCATATTGAAAGTCTTCAAGTCCGTATGTACTTCGCTGGGAGGTCGTTCCAAAACGTCTCCAAACCTTTTTCTGAAGAAATGGCTCGAATTGGTTATTTAACAAGATGGCCATGCCACTTCCTTCTGCTCCCATCATCATCTCACCCAAACTCTCCTTCGATCTCAGCTCGTGTGGCTTTCAATTGTTTCTGACGGAACACGAAGCACGGCTTGGCTGCAAACGGCATTTAGCCTGGTCCGCGGGAACTAACCGCATCGGGGTATTTTCTGGAGAAACCTTTTCTGGAGTCATCCACTTCCATCCCCATCTCCAGGCAGTGAACCTTGGACCACAGTGATAGCCAGGCTGTGTCCAGCACGTCACCTATCTACGAGACACGTTCAGCTACCTGCGATCTTAATACCTGAAGCGGGTAATACATGGAGGACCCCGTGTACAAGGCCAGAAGATGCCAACCTTCATAACAGGGCCGCTTCGCCCTGAAATGACTCCTTTCTGGCCACGATGGACTTGCAGCGAGATCAAATATCTCCCTTGAATTATCGGTCTCATTGCTGAATACGCTGCTCCAAATTTCTCTCTAGTTTCCCTAGTTTTTCTCTTTGCTTATCCACCATGGATCCAGGGCGAGTCTTCTATATAACGAAATCGCAGCCGGCATCGGGTGTGGTATATACCATTCTCGACTCCGACTCAACCACACGTCTTTATACGGTAGAAACGTCACAAAAAGCGAAGCCACATATGACACTTATTCGACACCGTTGTCCGTACCAACAGATGGCTGCTCCAGCATGTCACTACCCATCTCCATCTCCACCCTGCGCACATCCGCCAGTTCAAGTCCCTTTCGGCGGATCCAACAGCGGCACAGTTGTTAGTACTGTTTCGTTCCACGGTCTTTCCTCCAAGATTGGCATTTCCTTATACTCCGGTCCCCAGCCAATGGAAATGACAATGAAGCGCTCTGATCTGCTTGCTGGTGGACGCAAATTTGACTCACCGCTGGGAAGGATGCAATGGAAAGGAGGCGATAGTATCTTCACGAGCAGCCAGAAGCTAGTAGATCAGCACAAACGCGTGATCGCTCGATATGAGAAGCGGTCCTCCCTACTTTCGCGTCAGATGGATCAGTTTATATTGCTGGTTCAGGACGCCAATGTGATCGCAAATTTGGATATGGTTATTGTTACGGGTCTGGCAACAATTGAGTATACCCGAAGGTCCGATAAAGAGTGGGACGAAGTGTTGGAAGAGGTTGCAGAGACCGTTTTTGACGTTTAGGCCCTGTTTCTGAGGAGCGGCTCATAAGCCAGCCGTGTTGGCTGTGTAGGTTGATACTCAGTGGCATATTAGCGTCTTTTCTTTACCTTAGCGATAAATTTCACTGTAGATTTTACAGGAATTCTAAAGTCTCGAACAAAACGTGAGATATGCCACGATACCACTCATGTTTTAAGCCCAGCCTTCCCGGAATATCGCGACGAGCCTGATGATCCAACTCAGCTTAATATTCCTTCTGCCTAGAGCCTTACGAGCGAGGCTTGGTGAAGTCATTCTTTTGCTAGTAAATCATCCACCTTCGCCACCAATGAAGTTATCTTCTCCTCCTTACAACTGTCTCTGGTCGCATGCCGGGAATTCAATCACAGGATGAAATAGACCCAGGTTTTGATATTTGTCGATGTAGGAATAGCATGTATACCCTTCTGCCGTATGCTATCCTGCAACGATGCGTGGCTCATACTGTGTGTGACAATTGGGCCGCAACATCGAAGAACCGGATGGTTCTGTGCTCAGTTCTTCGCTGGGCATTGGCCAAGTCGTGCGCAGTTTGGTATTGTTTTCAAAGCGACACAATGGCCCGTTGGTGTGTTGCGCAATTAAATTCGGGATCCAAACAGCTGGGTTGGTATTTGTTTTCTTGGACGCAGAGGAGGAGCTTGAAATATTCATGTAGTCAAATATTGAAGGGGGTTTTTGAAGAGCTTCTTGGGTGAACTGGATTCTGAGAAGGATGCCAGAGTTAGCTTTGCTTCTCGCATTAAATCAACTGCGCTAGCGATGCTGGAATGTTTTTGAGAATATATATGGGTTATGATAGTTGATAGTCGCTTCTCGTATTGTGTCGATGGCAGGATGCGACGTCACACAATGCATCGCAACTCCGCAGCTGAGATGGGTTGTTGAATCCCGTGCGTTAGTTTCTCAATGGCATTCTTTCTTCCAGAAGGCACATAAGCCTTCCGCCCAAGCTGAGAGGTGTACGGAGTGATTGAATAGCATTAACTAAGTATATGTATGCGTGCTTACATACATCATGTACAGGTTGCAGCACAGAATTCCTGTGTGTGCGCGGGGAAATGGGTCTGGCTCAGAACGGTCGCTTGTTATTTGGTATCTTCCTCTTTGCTGAAAGGGGACGTCTATCCTGGAAATGGAGGAGTTAACCCGTCCCATATAACTAGTCAGCAGCGGCTATTTAGGGAGTTCAATAGTCGGTTTTGGGACTTTGGACGGAGGATACTCCGTAGACACTGGTGCTAAGCATGGATCTCCTTGTCTAACCTCTGAACCCCAATGAATTAGGGGGTGGAGGAGATCCTGCGGAGTTACTTGGCTGTGTTATAAGCTCGGCTTACGCTGCTCTTCTGCTCATGAGACAACACGTTGCTGGCGGGTTTGTTGGCAGCAGTGAGGCTGTCGTTCGTGGATTGAGCTCGGCTCAGAAGGGAAGCAAGCAAGACAGTAACTAGCCTCGGATTTTTCTTTTTTTTCCTTTTCTTTTTGGGGATCCGGCGACTGTCACTGTTTGAAGAGAAAAGGGATCATGATCCACTCTTAACTAGTCGAAAAGAAGGTGAAGCTGTTCGCTGGTCTTCGTTTCAGCCTAGAATACATTTGGGATAGAGGCATGGTTGCCGATCATCGTGATCGGGGTGATACCTCGCAATACCTTCTGCAAGGCGCTGGCCGAGCTTTTGGTGCTTGTAGCTTCAGGGTCGTCGAACCAAGCGAATGGCTAAAAACCGTTACATCTCCAGCGTCCGTGGACTAGACTAGAGCCGAAGTTAGATAAAGATTTCTGCAGGCCAGTCTTCTTCAGACAGATCAGAAACTGCGCGGGTGAAATACGGCAGCGAGAAGGGCGCAAGGGACGTCACAGCGGATAGAAAAGGCACTGGCAATTCTCGTATCATTGTGTGCAGAGCAAAGTAGAACATCTCCATTGCCGCCCGTATTTCATCGCTGCTTGCTCTCAAGATCTTTGCTTGGTGGCATCCGGGGCGATTTGAGGTGTCGACTTCCCCCCCTTTTGGCATCGCTGCCCATTTGCTCAACAACCACCTCCATTCTTTGAAACGTCAATCCTCCAACCCCGTCATCAATCACTTCTCCAGCCACCACTGTGAGCGTCGCCTTGTCCAATCGGTTTTGTCCAATACCTGCTTCTCTTTCAGCAGACAAGCCTCGCAAGGGTCTTCCCAAGTCCTTGTGGGCGCGTTCTGCAGCGCAATCCGTCTCGTCGTCGCCCTTCCGTCCTCTCCTTCACCTCCACCATCCAAGTGAGTCTGCACACCACCCAGGGTCAATCTTGTTTTGTTTCTTTTCGATCCCAACTTCTCTCTTCAGCTTGGCCTTGGAGCTCAGGAATCAGAGAAGCAGCACGGCCTGTTGTGTGGGCTATTGGTTAACAGTTGTAGCTCAGCGTTCTAGGTCTCTCTCACTCTCACTTTTATCCTCCTCCGGTTCTGCCTTACTCACTCAATTCACCCTCACTTTTTCGCTGTGTCACCGTTAGCAACTGAGGTTTGCCCTGACGGAACTTTCCCTCACAAACTCCCCGCTATTTCTTGCCCTCCTCTCCTCGCCTGCTCCCTTCCTCTCCTCTCTTCACCCGTTCGTCTTCGCCTCTTGAGCTCCAACATCCTCTCGATTCATTACTGCATCCTGACATACTCCCTACCCCTGAAACATCTGTGCCTCAGCACATAAGTAACCGCAGTTTTTCAACTGTTGTGTTAGCAAGCTTCGAAAATGGTTGTTGCTACTATCAAGTAAGTGTGCTTTGCTCGGCAAGATGAATACATCGTGCTACCCCGATGTCATAAGATAAATCTGTGTTCAGGTGCACCGAACTAACCATGCTTCGGGAACATAATAGATGTGTTGTCGTTGGGGACGGAGCTGTCGGAAAGACGTGTCTGTTGATCTCATATACTACAAACAAGTTTCCTTCTGAATATGTTCCCACTGTTTTCGATAATTATGCAGTGACTGTGATGTGAGTTGCGCGTCTTTTGTTTATACATATCCTTTCTCCTTAGACTCCAAAGGTCCTTTGTGTTTTTGAAGCCAGATTCTTGTCCCTCTACCTCTTCTGGAGATCATGCAAGAGTTTTTAAAAAAGCTAGCTGACACAGCGCCAACCTACTGCTACAGGATTGGAGACGAACCGTATACTCTCGGCCTTTTCGATACTGCGGGCCAGGAGGATTATGATCGTCTTCGTCCGCTCTCCTATCCCCAAACCGATGTCTTCCTCGTTTGTTTCTCCGTGACTTCTCCTGCGTCATTCGAGAACGTCCGCGAGAAATGGTTTCCGGAAGTCCGTCATCACTGTCCCGGGGTCCCTTGCTTGATTGTTGGTACCCAAACCGACTTACGCGATGACCCTGCTGTTCGTGAGAAACTCTCAAAACAGAAGATGGCTCCCGTTCGCAAAGAAGACGGAGAGCGCATGGCAAGGGAACTTGGAGCGGTCAAATACGTCGAATGCTCTGCACTCACTCAGTACAAGCTCAAGGACGTCTTCGATGAGGTGAGCTACATGCTATTCGCGCGTCAGATGTTGTGTACTGATCAGTTTTCAACTAGGCCATCGTTGCTGCCCTTGAGCCCCCAAGCACCCGCAAGAAGTCTCGCGTTTGCAAGATTCTGTAAAGCTCTTTTTACATTTTTTTTCAACGGCGTTGAGGCAAAGTCTAGTCGTCCTCCCAATTATCCTTCCAGATACTTCTAGATTAGCTTATCCGCTGTTTATTGCGCCGTCGAGCATGCCCTCTTAATCTGGATTGAACTGGACAAACGCGTTTTGTTATGTCTGCAAACAAGATGACAATATGATGATGGCATTATGAGGGGTTTCAGGAAGGCGTGTGAAATGGCGAATCATTGAAGGGATGGAATTGTGTCTTTGTTTTTTACCCTTGTCATAGTCATCTCTGTACTCCTGTGTCCACATGTCTGTTTTACTTTGAGTGTTGTGCTGAATCAGGCAGATCACAGGTCTTTAAGACAGATTGATGAATCCTATTTTATTTTAATTGATTCCCACCTTGTTTCTTGCGTCTTAACCTAATGCTTGGATTTGATGGTTGAGGAGACTTATGTACATGGGGGAAATCCAGAAGACACATTGCAAATACATTCCTTCTCCCTTGTATAGTTTTATTTAAACTCCATATTTATCTTGGTTCCTATGCCTGTCTGTTAAAGTTACGCTATAATTTCAAGCCCTTCATCACTCTGCTGCTGTGGAAACATAAAGTGCTGCTCTTTATCTCTGACAGTTGTTTGGACTTCTAGTCAGCCATTACCTCTGTCTAAATGTTAGCACAGTCATCTCGGGAAGTGCTTCCCATAAAGATATTTATTGGCTATTTTTTGTCGAGTTTGGGTAACTATAATTTAATGTTAACAATTGATACATGTAGATTCTTATTTGAAATCAATTATGCTGATATGGCTAAAGCTACAACAATTCCACTTCCAAAACTTATATCACAGCTCGTCGCGAGATTTCTGACTCTTCTTGCCATACCACCCACCGGCTTCTTCTTTAAGTTCCAACTTTACCATGCTGGCCAGTAACTCATAGACCATTTGAGCCGCTGCGAGAGCTGTTCCTTCTCCATGTCCGTCGTAAGTGGGTGATACTTCCACGATGTCTGCTCCAACAAGGTTCAGCTTCTCAATCCCGCGGAGGATTCTAATCAATTCTCGCGTCGTCCAACCCCCCGGTTCGGGCGTCCCTGTCCCTGGCGCGATGCTGGGGTCGAGGACGTCAATATCGAGGCTCAAATATACAGGCTCGTCGGGCAAGAGACCGACACGAGAGATGATTGCGTCAATCACCCCCTTTACGCCGATATCATCAATGTCGTCAGCGTGAATTCGCATGAAGCCTTGTTCCGGACCCTGATTGGTGTAGTCGCCATCGTCAGTACCCGTCAGACGAGTTCGGAGTCCCGCGTGCACGGAACTAGTATTGGAAATAAGCCCTTCAAGACTAGCAGTGTAAAAAAAACTGCCGTGAGTGAAGCGGGATTGCTCAGAAGTCCACACCTCCGAGTACCGGAGTGTATTCCATGTGTCGAGGTGGGCGTCGAAATGCACCACCGTAATCGGCTTGTTATAAATCTTGTACAAGGCGCGAAGCGCTGGAAGCGCGATGCTGTGATCACCTCCTAAGGTGATGAGTTTGGGTTTGCCATTCTTTGGCGTTGGTCGGCTACCAAGCTCGAGGAAGGCTTCGTACATTTGCGATTCGGCAATAGCGTTGTCGAATGGAACGACGGGGATGTCACCACAGTCCAGGATTCGGGCCCAGCTGAGATAGGGGTTTATCCCTGCGCGGGTGTTGTATGCCAATCCCGGCACTTGGCGACTGCTGGCAGCGCGAATGGCCCGAGGGCCAAATCGCGCACCGGGTCTGTATGTGACCGCTGTGTCAAATGGCGCTCCGATGATTGCAATGTCATAGAGTTCGTCTGGCTCCAGAAGGCATTTAACATGTTTGAGGTGCGCAAAGGTGGAAATGCCCGAGAACGCCCACTGTAAGTTTATATCTGTCAATGCATCGCGGCTCACTGCAGCAAAATAAATTTTTCCAAGGCATATAAGTTATGAACGCAGGCTATATGCGAGAAGTCCATGGAAACAAGCCATGAGGGATAGCTTACTTCCTGCCCCCATTTCTTGAGCAGGTCCTTTTCATTAATTGGCGCCTGCTCGCCATGCTGGTGGTCCTGATGGCCAGCGACGGGCTTCCAACAGATTAATAGCCCCAGGAGGAGTCCCTGCCAGTATGAAAAACGCATCATCCTCGTCGGTTGCCTCCTTCTCAACCTCTTTTTATTCATCAAGCTGAGCCAAAATAGAAAAGCGTAGAGGCTGGGGCGAGGAGGCCTTTTGAAAGAGCGGAACTCAAGCTTTTGAAGTCGCACCCATCGCGGTTAATTTCAAATTTGCCCAGTGACTATTTTTCCCGAGGGAAGACAAAACCCTCCGAACATGAGTCACGGATCAGCATTTTCGCTCCTCGTGAACGCGTTTGGGGCGACCGAGCGGTGATCACAGTATTGAGCTGGAGATTGCATTGAGCCGATGCGAAAACGGACAATCCAAATTTCCGAGAACGACTGAGAACCTTAGGTAGCGCATAGAGCTGTCTTGTAAAATGACGACAGGATCTCGACGTCCAGCAGTTTTTAACAGCACTGGGGCAATTAGGATTCATTTTTTGAGACATCGCCGGGTGTTACCATACTGAATTGCCCGAGCTTCTCACTGTCCCCATGGGCCAAGGTTGAGTAATGCGCCGAGTGGTAGTTACGGGGCTGGGCGCCGTCACTCCCTTGGGAACTGGTATGGGAGTATTGCAATTCATCGTCATGGCGCGTGTTGATTAACTTATAAAAACATTAGGTATCCGTCACACATGGGGGCGTCTCGTGGAGGGCCACTGTGGTATTGTATCTGTGAAACATAGACATCCCGGATTTACAGAAGTACCATGTCAGATTGCGGCCGTTGTGCCGCAGGGCCCCAAGGAGCTTGGCGGCTGGAGAGCATCTGAATGGGTGACTCGCGATGTAGGTTTCTCTGTGTCTGAGGAGCTGTAAGCATTGTTGCTTGGCGCCGTTGATGCTAAGAAGATCTGATATTGACAGAGATTGATGGTAGGAAGAAAGAAAAACCGCTCTGTTTGCACAATACGCATTAGCAGCAACAGAGGAAGCGCTCAATGATGCAGGGTGGAAACCCGGGACCCAGGAAGCAATGGAAATGACGGTAGGTCCACCATACCTTCATTTCGAAATCCTCAATTTACGCTATAGATTGCTGATATATGGGATAGGGTGTATGCTTGGGATCTGGAATAGGGAATTTCGAAGAAATTTATAACTCATCCGTTGCCTATGATAACGGGCTACGTGATAAAAAGGTACCTCGTCCACTCGCAATCTTTGAGCCGGTGGAGGTAGAGCTTTTCTCATATCATGGATTATAGGGATACAGAAAGATCTCGCCGTTGTTTGTTCCCAAGTTACTAATTAACTTGGGCGCTGGACATATTTCAATGAAATATGGCTTCATGGTATTGACTATACTCTTTTATTTTAGAAATGGATTCTAAATCTCTAAGGATAGGGACCGAATCATGCAGCAACGACCGCATGTACTACCGGTGCCCATTCCATCGGAGATGCTGCTCGTTTCATTGCACATGGTGATGCCGATGTAATGGTTGCGGGTGGAGCCGAATCCTGCATCCACCCACTTGCAATCGGAGGATTCGCACGGTGCCGGAGTCTTGCTACGGATTTTAACGATCAGCCTAAAAAATCCTCTCGTCCGTTTGATAGAGATCGCCAAGGATTTGTTGTCGGTGAAGGTGCCGCTGTCGTGATCCTGGAGGTACCATCGACCGATTTTCGCAGTGAGCAAGAGGCCTGCTTTTACTAACGCATATCTCGGACTTTATATAGGAATTAGAACACGCCACATCCCGTGGAGCACGTATTTATGCGGAATTAAAGGGTTACGGCTGCTCGGCGGACGCATACCACATGACAGCGCCCAAGGAGAACGGTAAAGGTGCTTTACTGGCCATGCAACGTGCATTGAAAAATGCCGCATTACCGCCGAGCAAGGTTGACTACATTAACGCGCATGGTACTTCCACTGTCATCGGAGATGCTGCGGAAAACGCCGCTATTAAGACGCTCCTTCTTGGCTCTGAAGGAAAAGAAAGGCCTTCGGATATCAACATCAGTAGCACAAAGGGTGCCATAGGACATTTGCTGGGAGGAGCTGGTGCTATAGAAGCAGTCTTCTCCGTCCTAACAATCTACGAGGTAAGGCATCACTATCCTATGACCCTAAACTCCGAGATGTCGTTGCTCAAAAAGGTCATAGGGAATACTTCCACCAACCATCAACCTTGAAAACACAACAGAGGAGTTTGACTGCAATTACGTGCCGAATGTGGCACAGGGTAGAGAAGTGGATGTCGTCCTGACAAACAGTTTTGGGTTTGGAGGGACGAATAGTAGTCTATGCTTCGCGAGATATCGCCAGTAGTTGCACGATTCTCGCGACCAAATTGGTCCCTGTCGTAGCCCGTAGTTTAAAAAAAAAAAAGGAAAAAAAAATTTATCACGTGATATTAAAGTCCGGGCGTGGATTTTCAATCTCCAAAAGTTCCTCTCGGCGAACGAGCGCTTTCGACTTGAACTCTCAGGCTTAAATCAATTATTGGCCTTTTCTTTTTTTTGTTATATAAGAAAAATGGCGTGCTCAAAACGAGTGGGCGTTCTTGGGGGTGGCCAGCTGGGGAGAATGTTGATGGAGTCGGCCAATCGACTCAACATCCAAATGAATATTTTAGACGCGGACAAAGCCCCCGCGAAGCAAATCAGTGCTCATGATGATCACATAACTGGCTCTTTTATGAACCGCGAATCTGTACGCAGACTCGCGGCGAATAGCGATGTCTTGACAGCCGAAATCGAGCATGTTGATACGCATGCTCTGGAGGAGGTTGAGTCTTTGGTTGATGTGCAGCCCAGCTGGAAGAGCATCAGAATTATTCAGGATAAATTTGCGCAGAAGCAGCACTTGGCGAAGTTTGGAATTCCGCAGGCGGAGTATCGTGAGCTGAAGGACGGTACAGCTGAGGAACTGAGTGCGATTGGACAGGAGCTTGGGTTTCCTTTGATGTTGAAGTCGAAGACTGGGGCGTACGATGGTAGAGGTGAGGATGCGATGCTATTGTATCTCTTTGTTATCTATTGGGAATTCAATCTGAAGATGTATTTTAGGCAATTATGCGGTAAAGACCGAAGAAGATATACCGGCGGCGCTGGAAGCGCTAAAGGGCCGACCTCTTTATGCAGAGAAATGGGCGAAATTCGTAATGGTATGTAATGTTCTCCCAGCTGGGTGCAGTTCGATTCTTATTTCCGACAAATAGGAATTGGCAGTTATGGTAGTCAAAACCAAGGACAGCGTCTTGTCCTATCCTACTGTTGAGACGGTCCAAGAGAACTCGATATGCAAACTAGTCTATGCTCCTGCAAGAAATGTTTCAGACGAGATCAACAAAAAGGCACAGAAGCTGGCCAGAGATGCAGTCGCTGCCTTTGATGGCAAGGGAGTCTTTGGAGTCGAAATGTTTCTCCTAGAAGATAACTCTATCCTGCTCTGCGAGCTTGCCAGCCGCATCCACAATTCTGGACATTACACTATCGAAGCATGCCCACTGTCACAATTTGATACCCATTTGCGCGCCATTTTAGATCTTCCGATCCCCCCTAAAAGTCTCCAACTGCGTCAACCTGCAATTATGTTGAATATCTTAGGCGGATCTACGCCGGATGCTCACCTTGAGGATGCTGAGTACGCATTGTCTATCCCAAATGCAAGCGTCCACCTGTATGGAAAGGGCCCAGGCAGGCTGGGACGCAAGATGGGGCATGTCACAGTTACCGCTCCTACAATGCGTGAAGCCGAGGAGTTGATGCAGCCTCTTATTGATCGGACAGGTGGCATGGGAGTTGAGGCCAAGGTTGCAAGCAATCCTCGGCCAACAATCGGAGTTGTAATGGGTTCAGATAGCGATTTAAAGACCCTGGTTCCTGGTCTGAGACTCCTGGAAGAATATTTTGGCGTCAAGCCAGAGGTAGATATAACTTCTGCCCACCGGACTCCTGATTATATGGCCGAGTACGCTTCTACAGCGGCATCGCGCGGTATCAAGGTCATAATCGCTGCTGCCGGTGGAGCTGCACATCTGCCTGGAATGGCGGCGGCACATACGTCGCTTCCAGTTATTGGCGTGCCAGTGAAAGGAAGCGCCCTTGATGGGGTTGATAGTCTATATAGTATTGTGCAAATGCCTCGAGGTTCGTAAACCCCAATTGTTCGCATAGAGGGAACCCCTTTACTTACATGTTTCTTCTTAAATATAGGTGTCCCGGTTGCAACTGTGGGAATCAACAACAGTGTGAATGCGGCCTTGCTGGCTGTTCGCATACTAGGATGTTACGATGAAACCTTACGACAGAAGGTGGCAGAATACGCAAAAGCCGCAAAAGATGAGAATCTGGACGTAAAAGGAGTTAAGATGCGGGAAATAGGATGGGAAAAGTACTTTGAGCAAATGCAAACAAAATAACGCCCTTAGATTATGATATTTAGCATTTTTACGCAATCATGACGCCAAAATATAATGGAAGATTTTACGCGACCCAAGACAATATACCCGATCTGCCGAGCATGTTGTTCATCACTCTCGCAAGTTTTAATCCTATTCGATCTCGAAAAATGTAGTTCAAAATCGATGTTGTAACTCGTGGATTAGTGTTCCTGTTCAGATAGTTACAGAGTAGGCCCGATAGGAGTGATTCTGTAAATATTCATGTATGAGACTGCCTTAGTCGGACAACTATACCTTGAGAGCTGGTCCACCAGCAAATACTGCAACTGTAATGACTAGAGCATAAATTCAACCTCAGGCGCATTTGTGAGCTTCTTGTTAGCATTGATTATTTTCTCAATGCCAGTGAAAAAACCAGTCCCATAAGTCGAACCACCAAAGTAGAGGCCCCCAAATTGTCCAAATCTGTCAAACAAAAATGAACCCGAGTCACCACTAGTACCGAAGACCTCATTGAATTAACGGTTGGGTACTGCGCGGTACACCTTTGATACCGTCTCTTTTATCTATTGACGACTTCTTCTTTGGGCTTATATCCTTTTAGAAGTACTGACAGGCCATGGTTAATCAGTGGTGTTCCTCGTTGATATGCTCCTTCGATGCTGTCACCATGATGCATGCTTATTTGATGCGCCAGTCTAAACGCCGAGCGTAGTGGCTACCGGTTCAGTACGGACGCAAAGTAGGGAATTGGCAGGATTCGGTGGTTAGAATAGGCTGTTCACCGGTGAAAATTTCTCAGTAACCTTATCTTTGGTGATATGTGTGTATGTAACTATAATATGTGATACATGATACATTCTCGTAGGCATATGCCTCGCTCGATGAGAGAAAGGAATGGAAGAAGAATATAGACGACGAGAGTGGTCTTCTGATAGTGCTCGTGTAACCTGGGAGCATGTCCTAGGCTAGCAATTGAGGTTTGTAGTGAAAGGAGTCGAGCTCAGTCGAGCGTCGCTGCTAGATTCGCTTTTTCGCTTGTGATTCGAGAGCCAAATTGAGGTTTTGTAGATCCTGGTGATGAATTTATCAGCAAGGATAAGCTGGGGCTTACTGAATTGGGAAATCTGGCATAGTGAACTCGCAGTGGAAGATCGTATAAAAAGTGTCATGATCTGTGGCATGGGACAGCATACTCTGTCTGCTCTTCCAGAGGACGTAAACATCGCCGATCGCCTTGGATGACTGACTAAGCTCAATGACTAAGCAAAACAGTCTCGCCAGTATGTCCAGTACTCCGTACATACTTCGCGCAGCATACGGAATAGTGGTAAAGCCGGAGAAGCATTTATGCTTAGTCATCCTTGTTGCGGCACGCGCCAAGAACCGCTGTGGTCATCTCGTCAAATCTTTGAACACGAGATGTCTGCCAGTATCAGGCTCTGGCTCCGGGATTCTCATCAAGATGGCGTCAAATGGCGGCACAGTGAGAGGTGAGTTGTTTCTCATCACCCATATCGCCCGACCGTGCGGTTTCTGCTTCCGCTCGGCCTGGCCTCTTCCATTCCATGTTCGCCGAGCGAGCAAAAGGCTAACACCATGCCCCACTGTTCCTCGGGTCGACAGCCTCATCGGTGGCATCGAGCTCAGGAGCCAGTTTCGTTGATGCCTCCGGATACAAATTCAGCGAAAATGATCAAAGGCCTACGAAGATCAAATTTAAAAAGGCTGTTGCTAAAGCTGTGAAAGGTGTGTTTTCCCCTCCTGAAATGCCCATGATTACCCAGGATCATGACGCATTTCCAGTGCCTGTTTCAACTAGGAGAACTGACCATTGGGCGGGTTTTAACCTTATAGGAACTAGGGATCCCGAACCTTCCAACGCAGAGTCCGGGGGTTCCTCCCCTATTCTCCCTGTCATGGATGAGAAGACAATGGCGTCGTTTCCGACGGGTAAGCCGCGAGAAACGCAGCTGGAGACAGTCATATGCAAGCATTGCAAAAGACCAGTTTTGAAGCAGACTGCTGCCGAACACATCCGCGGTTGTTTGCGAGCAAAGCAGGAAAAGGCACGGAAGAAGAAGGAGGCAAGGGATGCGAACCGGGCCAAAGAGAAGGCCGATAAAGAAGGAAACGAAGACGACGGCGAGGGTGCCATGAAGGGACAAAAGAGCGCCAAGAAAAGCGCTGGAGACGATGGCCCGAAGAAAGGAAAGAAGCGAAAGGTTGACGATGACGATAAGGAGCCTAAGAAGAAAAAGAAGAAAGATGAGCCAAAGCCAAAGGTGCCTAAGCCAAAAGGCCCGGTTGACGTAGAGAAACAATGCGGCGTCGTATTGCCGAATGGAGGCCAATGTGCACGATCATTAACTTGCAAAAGCCATTCTATGGGTGCAAAGAGAGCTGTCCCAGGCCGCTCTCTACCATACGATATGTTACTACAAGCGTACCAGAAAAAAAATCAAGCACGGCAGCAAAGTAAGTTGCAATTCATTGTCTTTGTCGGGCTCGAAATAATACGTGATGTTTACTCTATAATAGAGGCTGCCATCGATGCGAATGCTCCGGTCCACGATGACCTGGATGGAAATGGACCCATCGATTCGGATGAAGAGAAGGATGCCGTGATGGCTGGGCTTGCACGATCACGGCCTCAGCCGTTGGTGACACATCCGCTCATTCCGACAAGGAAGAAGTATCATCTTGTCCGGATGAAGGAGATGCTTTCCCAGGTGCTGGGAAGTGGCAGTCTCTTCTCCCCAGTCGAGAGTAGCTTTCAGGGCAGAGGTCTCTTTCAGCCCGAGCTAACATCTCTTACTTCTCCTACCTTTGGCAATGCTGTGGATGGGCCTGCGCAGCCGTCAGACTCTTCAAAGAAACCTTCACTTCCCCAGCAACCTTCTCAGAACCGAATGAGCCAAGCAACTGTGGCCTCGAAAAAGGTCATGGCCACCGGTACATCGTGAGCGGCGTTTGAACTGTAGTCTTCATGCATCAATTTTGTTTTTCTTCCATTCTCGCGTGGGAATTGGCAACATTTGGGAGGTTTCTTTGGTGGATAAGGCGTTTGGACGGGGTAGGGTGAATGTTCCTGTACGATATAACGAGATACCCTTTAATTTAATCTGATGACTGTAAATTGCGATATCTTACAAGTTAAAATTCATCGTGTGCAGCATGACAGTGCTTCATTTGCTTGAAGATTGATAAAAGCGAGCGGCGCCATGTGCTTAAGAATTGCGGCCTGAGGCACTAAAATACACAATCCAGGACCACGTTTATCACCTCTCCTTGACTTGGAATCGAAAGCCACCCTAATTCCACAGCAACGAGTTCTCGATCAAAGTTAATAGCTTGCGGATTCCTTTATTCCATTTCACTTCGACTACTCTCTGGCTTCGCTACACGCTTCGTAACCCATTGTGTCGAACCTTTTCTGGCCGGAACCGGAGACCTGAGCGGTCGCTATTCTCCTGCGCTCGACCCTCGCGAATCTAATAAGAAGCACGGCGAGTTTGCATCTGTGCAATCAACTCGAGAGAAATTTTGCGGGGTCCTGCGAAAAGCCACCATGGCCAACACGGTCCCCGACCTCGACTCGGTGGGCATAAAGGCAGAACCCGAGCTTGCAGACCAATTCCGTCGTGAAGTCGCACACCTCCTCGGCCGTTCCTCTCTTAATTTCCCCGGCGCACAACCCGTCAGTTTCTCGTCGCGGCACCTCCTAGAGCTACAAAAACAAGACTACTATGTCTGCGAGAAGACGGACGGCATACGGTGTCTTATGTACTTTGCGCGAGGAGACCCGGATTCAGACACGCCCGAAATACACTACTTGATCGATCGGAAGAACGACTATCGTTACGTTCCGGGCTTACACTTTCCTATGCCGGACGATGAGTCGTTTCAGAGCTTTCATGTGGATACAATTGTGGATGGGGAGTTGGTGAATGATATATACGAGGACGGGACGGAGCAGCTGAAGTTCTACGTCTTTGATTGTTTGGTGCTGGATGGCACGAGTTTGATGCATCGCACGCTGGATAAGAGACTGGCATATTTTAAGGAGAAGGTATTGAAGCCGTACAATGCAATGTATAAGAAGTTTCCGGAGGAAAGGCAGCACCGGGCGTTTGCCGTTGAGGACAAGTCGACACAGTTCAGCTATGGCATTGAGATGATGTTCCGGGACATTATACCAAAAGTCAAGAAGATTCACGGAAACGATGGGCTGATATTTACGTGTCGAGGCACTCCATATAAGATTGGAACGGACGAGCATATTTTAAAGTGGAAGCCTCCGGAGGAAAACAGCATTGATTTTCGCATGCGACTGGAATTTCCGATGGTAGAACCGGACTCTGAAGATGAATCCGCAGGGGTAACGGAAGCATATCCGGATTACGATGCTATCCCGATATGTCATCTCTTCGTCTTCTACAGACAAAACGATTACCGTCATTTCGGCCTCATGCACCTTGAAGAGTCCGAATGGGACGAACTCAAAGCTCTACAGAAACCTCTCGACGATACGATTGTCGAGTGCTACCGTGACGAGCATGGCCGCTGGCGTTTCCTCCGATTCCGCGAAGATAAAACTGATGCGAATCATATCTCTACTGTGGAGAAGGTCCTTGAGAGTATCGAGGACCGGGTGACGGAGGAAGATTTGATTCGAGTGGCGCCGGCAATCAAAACTGCGTGGAAAAAGCGACAGGCCGATGAAGAGGCGGCCAGGAGGAAACCAAACGGCGTTCCTCATCCAAGTGTCAATGGAGTGAAGAGGAAGTATGAGGAATAAATCATCATGCCTTAGTTTTTGCATGACCTTTTCTCTGTATCGCCTAGGCTCCACACAAGAAAATCATAATATTAACCAGTGGTTAGGTCTCATTGGCATCACTTCCCAGAACTCGCTCGAGTCCTTGCCTTCTCATGTCCCACTTTTTCTCTAACCTTTTCTATGCCTTTTGACCTTCACCGTGTACATTATTGCTGAACTTGCCTTGGTGTATGTGCGCTATTGAGCATTCTATTTCGGCTTCCTCTGGTGTTGTTTTTTGTTCATATATCAGGACACTTTTAGCTTTACTAGCTCTGCATGGAGGGTAGTTTCAGTGGGTAGTTGTCCTAAGAGGCCCTTTTCCCCTTTTTGCCTCTGGTACTTGATGGAGAGGGAATAGTTTTACCCATGATGAATATTTTGTGCTGCTGTTCTATTTTAACTGGCGTTATAGGGGATGGTTTCCACATACTTCTTCAGAGACGGGAGCGGAGTGTCTAACCAACTCCCAAAATATACACGTGTAGCCACATTCATCATCGCCGCAAACCATATTCATCTGTATTCCTGGAATAATGTGTGAACCCAACATTCCATCCAATCATACAATAGCCCCGGCGAGGATATCCAACATTTAAAACAGAAGATTGTCAGGGAGAACGAGCGCAACCTAGTACTCCCAGTCATCGTCCACTCCCTTGCCCTTGTCCTCTTTTGTCACACTCTCTTGCTTTCGATACATCTCCGCTACCATCCTAGTCGTGCTCGCCTGGTCTGGCTTTTTATCATCTCTTGCTTTGATATACCTTGGAAACCGTAGCGAGACCCCCTTTCCATCCGCACCCGCCATCCCCATCACTTCGTCACTCGCACACCTATATCGGGGACTGATGGTTAAGTCCGCCGCCTTGACCTCCCATACTAGGCGAGGTTCGAACCAGACATCTGGCTGGTCCTTGGGGACGGAAGAATGCGAGTAGAACGGTTTTGGTTGGGATATGGCGAGGGGACTGAGAGATTTGTGAAGTTCGTCCAATAGGGCATCAGAGAAGCCTGTACCGATATTGCATATTGTCTCGTAATTTTCAGTGCTAGGGTTGTACGCAGCGAGGAGAAAAGCTCCGTAGACCGAAGTACGTTTACCCTTGCCAAAGTAGGCGCCGATGACAACAAGGTCGAGCGAGTCGCCAATACCAGCAAGATAGTCCTTTTTGACCTACCATACGGTTAGTCGACAAATATTCCTTGCTACCTTATGAAGACGAATTTACCTTGAGCCAATTGCGACTCCGCTTACTAGGTTCATAGCCACTTTCTTCGGTATCTAGCATCTTTACCATCAAACCTTCGCAAGAAGACTTCACACTCTCGTCTAAGAGAGTTTGGATCTCTTCCACATTACTCGTGTTTCCATATTGTGCGAAAGCAAACTCCCCTTCGGTTGGGACAAATGTTTCATGCAAAAGAGCACGCCGTTCCCGGAATGTCATTTTCACAGTAGGCTAAAAGAAGCATACATTAACACTCATATCAGCACACACTACGGGGTAGTAAGGAATCGCTTACAGCTCCATTCAAGAACAGGATATCGAACGCGAATATGCAAACGCGGACTTTTATGTCTTCGGCTTTCACGTCCTTTCTCTTGCGTGTCATGAGTTGCTGGAATGGCAAGACCTTCTTGTTCTCGAGATCCCATGCGACAGTCTCGCAGTCCAGGACAAAGCTCTTGGTTCCTGGCTGGACCCACGATTCCAGCTTATCAAGAACATCTGGATACTTCTTAGATAGATCCTCGGAGTTACGGGAAAATATAGCACAAAGACCTTTGCCATCCTTTTGTAAGGTTCCAGCTGTGGCAGTATAATCCTTGATTGCATCTTGTGACACGTAGTGAATCTGAGCTCTTTCACCGTCGTATTTGTATTCGCAGGTAAAGTCTTTTCCTTCAAAGCGGTCGAGGACTTCAGAAATGGATTTTGTGGGTTTTGCTAACATGGGCTTTAATGGAACCCCCGGCTGCAGCTTGCAATTCTCCTGAAGGTTAAATATTCCATGCTCTAGCATGGCGGGGATAATCACTTCATAAGATGGTAATTCGCTGAAAACAATCCATGTCAGAGAATGTAAACGGCTTTCGGAAGCAATGCTGCTTACCTATATACTTGCTTAAGAATAGCTTCTCCTTTTGCTAGCTGTTCAGCGCTGGGTGTCTTGTTGCCCTTTGACAAAGTTTCATGCGCTACCATGGCATGAGCTAGAGCCACGAGGACGGTTTTATCAGCAAGACCTAGCCGCAGCTTGCCCTCTAAAAATCGGACAATATACTTGGCCTCACTCGGACCGCCTTTATTTTTTGTGATGTCAATCCCTTTTGAGCCCTTTCCAGCCGTAGCGGAATCAGCTGAAGAAAGGAGCTTTTTAATACCTCCAACTTTCTTCTCCTGGGATCCGTGTCCTTGCATCTTAGCAATTGCCAAGAGACTCTCATGGACTCCTCGCACGGTCAATGGTTTTGGTTTGAACATAGTGGGCTGATTTGATCGACTCTTGGCCGCGACAAGGCCCAGATCCCCGATCTCATGCTGGTCAGCTTTGATGACGGCAAGACTACGCCCGGTGGATTCGCCGATGGCTTTCATGATCAAGGACTCGCCGATTCCGAGCTCGATACCGGCGTAATCCGCAGCTAGCTTATTGATCATAAGCTGGACTGTTGGAAGTAAATCCTCAGGAGTCAATCGTAAGACTTGACGAAGAAATAGAGAGCAATGGGCTAGAATAGCCAATCTTTTGGTGGTCATTTCAACGAGGGAAAATGTAGTGCACAAGGCGGCATAGGGAACAGGGTCACCAGCTTTCCAATCTGGATATGGATCATTTGCGCTGCTTTTCAAGGTTGCCTGAACCTTCTGTCTTTGTTTTGATGCGGTGTTTTTCTTCTTTTCCTCTTTTTCAGGTTTGATATCCAGCTCCTCTGAGCTACTTTCTGACAATAGATCGTCCTGGTCAGATTCTGAGGACTCTGCATTTCCGACTGCTGATTCATTATTCTCCAGTTGCTTGTTGGGTGTGCTGGTAGCGCCTTTATCATTGGTTTTACCCCTTGGCGAGGCCTTTGTGTTTTTTCTTCCAGCGGCAGGCTTCGATGTAGAGCTCTCTGTTTTCGGTTTCGTTGGCCCTCTTCGCCTTTTGGTGACAGGTTCGCTCTCATTTCCATCACTCTCTTCAACCACTGAATCCTTCTGTCGCTTAAGCTTTCTTGCGCTTGGCGACGCGCTTTCACTCCTCGCACTCTCGGATTTAATTTCTTCATCTGAATCTACTCTGGGAGCCCCAGGAGAAGCTGGCCTTGAACAAACGGTTCCGTTTTTCGTTGGCGTTACGGGACCAGTCTTAGTAGGAATATCGCGACTTGAATCTTCCATATCAACATCATCGTCTTCATTATCTTGGAGATCTTTGGCCGGTTTTGTCTCAGATTTCGCGCTTCCAGCTTCAGATGAAAAAGAGAGTGTAGACTGGGTTTTTGCTTCGGGGAGCGAGGCTGCGTTTCCGCCAAAGAACTTCCTATAACACAAACATAGTATTACATTAGTATAGGTAATCAATAAAAATCGTTCCATAAGGTATAGATCCAATATCAAATGCGTCTCCACGGAAAATTGGACTTGACCATCAACTCCAAAAAAAAAAAATAGAAGAAAATAAAATAAAATAAAATACCCTAAAGTAGTCTGCTTTCTCCCGCTCTTCTGCGCCATATTTGTTGTGATCAAGCTATATCCCCTGCGTTGGATAACAAAGTATGAGGATACTGAGCAAGAGAACCGGATCGACGTGGGTTGTCTGTAAATTAAGGGCGCTAAGGTTGTCTTGCTCCGCGTCAGACAAAAACGCGACAACCGCATTGGTTTGTGGGGAGATACTCTATGAAAAAGAGTCGAAAATAAAATTATGCGACGTTGTGCATTGTTCTGTGTTGCGCAGATTGGAGGATTTCTCGGGACCGACTCGAAAAATCAAGGATGGCGCGTTGAGATCAATAATCACAGACAGTAAACTGAGTCGCCGGCCGGTGTCGACACAAGGAATCTCCAGTTGTTCGCTCAGCTCAATTGCGATCAATCAATTTATACTGGCGTCCAAGGGATTCTGCAGGCCCTGAAGATTGCGACAGGCAGCCGGGGTTGAAGGCAGCAGCCACGCGCCGTCGTCGGAACCCGCGTCTCTGCGGCTCTTCGTCGCGTTCCGGCCAATTACGTCACGTGGCAGTACGAATTTTCGGAGTTCGGTGGAACTTTAACCCTTTAATGAACTCTAACATGGACTGAATATCAAGTCAAGAGCCCAAATAAGGTCGTCAATTGACGGCGATAGACAGCGGAGTGCTTTCGAGATCATTCTTGTTTCCTGGTTGCAATCACTTTGATTCAATCCTGACCATTATTCTTCTCTTTCTTTGATAAGCAGCTTGTTCATCTTTTCATGATCATCCAAAAATTCATTCCCTATGGCGTTCGCTCCACTCACTTCACGTGTCGCATTGCTGCTTTGGTCAAGCCATACAGGGTCCCCCGAGTGACTAGATTTAAGCCGTATACATACATTCAGCGCCGAGGAATAGTGCTGAGCGGGGAGCGGCATATTCTCAACTCATCTTCGAAACAGATCCGTCATCTTCTCGATCGGAAGAAGCATACTAAGTGGGGATTTGTCATATACCGCTGCACCTACGAGGATGATGCGGCGTGGGAAACCTTGCTATCAATTCTGAAGGAACGTACTCATGGCCACCTGAAGAGGGAAGATTCCCTTGATTTGGAAGATAAATTGGAATGGACCGTTATTGAGGACAAAGAGAAACTAGATGGCGCCAATGTTGGCACAGTGGGAGACATGTTTTTGAACTGGGTTGAGAGTGAAGAGGCCAAACACGAGCAACTGATGCATGCAGGCGAACCTGAGATGCAGCCAGGAAGCATGCTGGGAATCACGCCCAGATATCTGTGTTGCGTGCACGTGGGTGCAGAAAGTCTCAACAGCGTGGTTAACCTGGCCCCGCGTCCACCGGAGCCGGATCTTTGGCACACTGCGTATGTAAATATGATCCATGCTCCGTCGTGGATCCAAAGAACGGAGGTTTGCGACTATGAAGGAGGCAAGAACGACACTGAAGGCTGGACAAAAATATCCGCTGATTTATTGATCCCACACGCCTATGCATGTTTGCAATCACTGGATGGCTGGTATGCTGTATGGGCGAGGCCGCCTTTGGTCTCGACACTTCCATCTTATCATTCAAGAACGATTAGGACCGTTCGCGACACTGTTGACGGAGTAGGCAGTATATCTTTTTAAACTGTACACCACAGGCCTTGTCCACTGTGCTTGCTATTCACTTGGATTTGAGGGGAATAGAATGTATAATTAGGGGGTTACTTCACCTAGGCTCCTCGACTAGAGTTCCGTGTTCCATGAGCATGTTGGGTGTCCATATTCCAAAAGTTTCCTGGGTGAATATTCCAGGGACATATCCTTACTGGGTGATTGCATTTTTTTGAACGAGTAAGGGTTGCTAAAAGGATTTGTCTTGCGAGATCTACTTGTATTTTGCATCTAATTTAATATGTCCTGCTGGAATAGTTAATTGTATTTTCTCCTCTGATTTTTATTTTAAATTTTATTTTATTTTACCTATTTATTTATTTATTTATTTTTTTAAATTTTCCTTAATAATAAGAAAACATAAATAAAAAGAAAGTGATGGACTATCTGAAATTACTGCATATTCTCTCTTAAACCTGACCCGTATTGAATGTTTCAGTAAAAGACAACCTGTTTTCCTCGGTTGGATATGGAATCTAGAAAGACTTTGGCATATGCGGCCCACACAACTGGCGATATGGCAGTGTTCAACTAGAGCAAGGCGGCGAAGAGAGGAGCGACAACAGCATACACGTGTGCACGGGCATTGATAGCATTGCCAGCGAAGGGAGGTGCAATGGTTTGTCCGCCGGTGGGGTAAGTAGGCTCATTTTGGTCTATCCCGGTCACGCCGGAGGCTGGTGGTTGGTATACTTTAATTGTAGAAGTAGGTTTTTCTGGTTCAGCGTTCGAAGAAGCTAAGACCGGGGACGTCTCGACGGGAAGAGTAAAGGTGGGCTCGCCAGATTCAACATTGGAAGTAGTAGATGAAGCTGAGTTTGGTCCGCTGGGAATTGAACCTTTAATCACGGTAGGCAGAACAATGCTTGAAGTAGGGGTGTTGATGGGAATGATTGACGTAGGTGTTGCAATTGGTGCAGCAGATCCAGTTCCGGCAGAGGATGTGTTTTTCGGCGGTTCGATGCCAATTGTGGGCGGAATACAACCAACGGGAATTTCTTTGCCTGTTGGTGGTTGCGACGATTCGGTAGTGGCTCTGTTTGGAGCGGAATAGTTTTGGCGGGGAGCAAAGGTAACAGTTGGACCGATAACAGTAAACGAGCTGTCGGTAGGAAACGGACACTTTGGATAATTGGGACGAGTGCCACTTGGACAAGGGTTATCGATGTCACTGGTGGAAATGGAACGAGGGAACTGATGGCCAGTAGACGACAGGAGTGAGATCTCGGACGCAGGGGGCAACGGGGCACCTAAGGTAAGATTTCAGTTTCTATGTAACAGCCAAGAGTTGACAAAATATTGCCGACATACCAGCCTGCTCACAGTACTCTCTACCCACTTTGCGCATAAGGTCGGTTTCGCCAGCACTGCATTTGGAGGTAGCGCAGCTTTCGATTTCGTTTTGGTACGCAGTGCTGCGACAGAGGCACTTGGCATCAGTAGGGCCACAGCCAAACTCTCCTGCTCTGCTTAAGGCAGACCAAATGCAGCTTCTCTAGAAGGGAAATTTGTCAGTATTTGGTACAGATTTGAGATAGCGATCTGGAGCATTGATAAAACAACACAAAACTTACAGGGCATGCTGGAAGATTGAGAATGGGCTCAATATCCTGGGCCAGCATAGTGGCAGTGAAGAATGTTGCCGAGACCACAGCAGAAAGCTTCATGTTTGAAGGAAGTGAATCTAAACCTAGTGATTGTTGATTGCTGAGTGGAGCAAGTGGGCTATTCAGAGAACCGAATGAGTGTGGTAGTCAGACTGACAGCACTATGTGAAGTGAGGAGCTGTTAAGAGGAGGTCGCGCACAAGGGAAAAACAATGAAGGGTAGAAGAGAAGAAGAAAAGGAGGCGAGAGAGAGAGGCAACGGGAATGGTTTTATATGGGGCCTCCCGCCGTGCAGCACGTGAACAACAGTGGTTTCCTTTTCAGGAACTCCCAAACATCACTTGATGAGCTTTTCGCTTGCTGCAATAGGAAAGGAGGGTGAGCCAGCAAGCAGCCTGATGCTTCCCAAAGTAGCGAGATAACGCTGTCCCTTGTTGATCTTCCCGCCAGAACTGGAAATCACAGCTGGATTTTTGACCAAAAGTGGGAAGAAGCCATACAGAGCAGGACATAGCGGGGGGACTGCTCTTTCCAGATAGCATCCTTATATTCTCCTCTGGGAAGTTGGTGGGTGTGTAATCCCGAAAAGGACGCGCTTAACGTAGGGCATCTCGAGAGACAGTGAAATCCCTGTTATAGGCTGCGTGGAGAAATTGAGATACACACGGCTTACTCAGACCTGGCACAGTTCCAATTCCATTCGGAGGCGAGTCATAGAGATAGCGGGAATATTCCTAGTATGCCTACAAAAGAATACCGACAGAAGGTGGGGTTTACGCCTCGCTCATGCATACGAAATGTCCAAGGCAGTCGGCGGCCTATCGAGCATGGCTCATCTGGTAGATAAGATTGGGATCTTCATCTTGAGAGAGATACATCTTGGAGACAGGGCCCAAGGTGTTGATAAAGAAAGACAGGACATAAGAACCATGTCTTCTAGGGCTCCTTTTCAAGAGCCGAAAGCACCCGTCTCAGACTCGGAACCAAAGGAGGGCCACACAAATAACTTGGGTATCACAGTGTTGGTCTCAAATGGATAAAGGGCAGCATCCGACTGATATTAACTATCTCACGCTGGCGGGAACTGGAAACAAGACATAAGCTGAGCCAAGTTCCTGCTTGCTTCTCTTGAACAGCTCAGGAGTGAATTTCGCTGTGTCAACTGCTGGAGGAGACCAGTTGAAGTGATGTCGAGGTGGGCAACCAATCAGGCGCTCGGATTGACTGCTTTCGTCGACGAGCGTGCTCAGCCACTCATCCCGTGGTAGCTAACCAAAGGCGGTCTAGCGTCCGAATGCGGCTCAAGTGTGGCTTGAGCGCTGAGAGCCACCCAAGCCAAGCAATGCGTGACGATATCAGCCGGTGATGATATGTAATATTTAGCAGAAGAAGAAAACAGATAATGAACAAGCAATGAAATTGCTAGGTCCCTCAGCCTGGTTGTATGGAAGACCTCCTGAGGTTATATCTTGTCTATTGATTGGCCCCCAAGATGGATAGTGCGCGACACGAAGCTTTCCAAAAGGTTGTGTGCTCATGGAACATATCTCCTCTGGGTTTGCGAAAATTTACTAACTGCCTCTGAAGCTTCGTCCCCCCTGTGTTGAGCTCAGTTCTGTTTCTCTAAGGTTTAGGGGCAACCTTGCACGTCCCGGAGATGTTCTCAAGGCTTTAGAAGAGGTCCACAGAGTCTTAACACAAGCGGCCAACAAAGACTGGCTAGACGAAAAGCTTGCCGAATATGCATTTTTTCCACTCTCTCAAATCTTTAATCAGACTCAACGGCTCTCTGTTAGATGTGTTGAATTGGCTGTAAAGTCTCTGCAGCTTCTAATCGAGAAAGGATGGCGCCAAAAGCTGTCAGCTCCGATGGGAAAGCAGTTGATGATCCTAATGACTATCTTGGCTGGAGGGGTACCGGCCCAGAATCAAGCTCAATCATCAACTAGGCCCCAGTCCGAAGAATTGACTGTGGCGGCATATGACTGTATAGGGGCCCTCTGCGGCGTGCTTCAGGGAGGAGCTGCCACGTCCACGATATTCAACGAGGTCGGCACGGCCACGATAGTCGATCAGGCTATTTATGTCTTGCTCGAAGGAATTCTGGAAGGTCCCTCGGATGCCGTGCAAATGTCTGCTGCAAATGCGCTACAATTGCTTCAGTCTCGCATCACAGATCGAGTTGTCCTCGCCAGTCTCTTACCTAGAACAGTCTCGACACTGACCAAGGCTTTGCGACCCACGACCCAGACTCGTCGGTCCTTCAAGTTGCTTAGCTGCTGTTTGAATATCTTAATTGTCATTTTGGATTCTGTTCTAAATGATGGGGCTATTTCATCTGCCCAGACTTCAGGGAAGAAGCCTGCGAAGCAGAGTGAGTCTAACGGGATGGCTCTCGATGATTCATGGCTCAAAGCTACAGCTTCACAGGTCAAATTGGCACTGGCCAATATAATACCCCTCAGAACTCATGAGAAATTGCCTGTTCGTCGGTCTCTACTGGAGCTGTGCCTTATGGTTATTGAAAGATGTCCAACTTCTCTCTCAGATGCGCTTCCGATGATGGTCGAAACCGTTATAGCGCTCGCCGAACCCGAAGACGGAGGTGACGCGTATAATTCTCTAAAGCAGCTGGTGCTTTCTTCCGAATCCGTTACAAACAACCTGAAATCAAGCTTGCATACGTGGATCATTGCACTACCCAGGGTCATGCAGTCAAACGATGACCTTGTTAAACAACGGGCTATCAGACATATCTCCGTCGCGTTCCAGGCGGCGACAGAAACCGACACAAATTCGGAAATCCTAGATGAAACGATGGCAACTACTTTATGCGAGAGTGTTGCTGCGGCTATTCAGTCATCTTCGAAAAGCCCGCAACAATTACCTTCTACTTCAAATCCGAGTCTTGAACTTGCCTTAGGAGCTGCCGCCAAGTCTCAATTATTTCCACCCGTTCTCGTTGACCATAGAAGCCAGAAAGGCACGCTTTCGGAGCTAAATTGTATGATAAAAAGACTCAGCCATATGGACACGTCGCTCTCCTTGACGAGATCAATGATGGATAGACTTTACAGTTCGTCTGACGTCTCAGCAGTGGCGCCATTCTGGCTCACATTGTCGCTTTTGAGAAATAGAGCAGCAAATACCGTGTCTTTGAGTGATATGCTAAACCTGGATGCTCCAACTTTATCAAGTTCGCAGGCAGGCCTAATTGAGGAGCTTTACTCCATCTCTTTACCGATTCTTGTCGAGCTTCCCACTGCCAACCCAGAAGAATGGCGCATTCCGGCGCTTGCATTAGAAGCTGTGGCTCTCCAGGCGCAGCAACTCGGCGAGTCTTTTCGACCTGAGCTAATTGATATATTATACCCGGTACTTCAATTAATGGGCTCAAGCAATCCTAGCCTACAAAATCATGCCATGACATGTCTTAACATAATGGCAGATGCATGCGAATACTCCGACACAAGCACGATGCTTGTCGACAATGTCGATTATCTGATCAACTCAGTTGGAATGAAGTTTAATACTTTCGACATTTCACACCAGGCACCGCAAGTTTTACTTATGATGATCAGGCTTTGCGGTGCACGCTTGATACCTTATTTGGATGATTTGATTGGCTCAATATTCTCTATTCTTGACGCTTTTCACGGCTACCCTAAGCTGGTCGAGCTTCTTTTTGAAGTGCTGGGGACAATTGTCGATGAAAGTGCCAAATCGCCGGATAGTCTTCGTATTACGAGTAGCACACAAACGGAACTGAGAACACATGGGAAACACCCGCACAAAATCCGGACAGTTTCCGATGTGGCATCTGAAATTAAGAGACTCCGAGAAAGACGTGCTGAACACGACTCCCATGAAGCTCAGGAGCTCGAGGCTATTGAATCTCATCCCACGCGTCCCTGGAAAAGAAGCCGCTACAGCGAACATGCAGGTGAAGAAAACGAAGCTGTCGATGACCAGCCGCCTAAGCCCGAGGATGACAGTAAGACTCTTAGCAAACCTCATAACCTCCTCCTGAGTATTTTAAAATCCATCCCGCCACATCTTTCGTCGCCATCTCCGCACTTGCGACGTTCCCTTTTAAGTATTCTGTCTCGTGCTATGGCTGTCCTTGCGCCTGATGAGAATAGCTTTCTACCCCTGATAAACGATATCTGGCCCTCCGTCTGTGTCCGGATCAGTTTACCGCCTATCCTGGCCTCCGATACTTCTACATCTTTGGCAACTCCGAATCCACGGACCTCAGGCGGCACTAATGAAATGAACCTCCAAGAACAAACTTATGTCATTGTCGCCTCTTGCAAGACTGTCGCTGCGATGTGTGAGGGGGCGGGAGATTTTATGTCATCCCGAATAGAACACGAATTTCCAAAATGGAAACAAATATATCTCAGGTGTTGGGAGCGGGTTAAGCACGACGCCGAGCTGGCCTTTGAAAGATACCAGCAACGTCAGCGGCTCCTAAACCAGTCTCAGGCACCGGAGCTCGATGCCACGAAAACAATCTCCCAAATGGGGCATCTAAGCATAACGGAAACACATTCTTCCAACCAGTCAACATCCCTTTCAGCACCTAAACCTACAACCGGTTCCGCACAATCACTCCCTCCTCCACCACTCCCGCATTTCACCAGCAAATCTTTCACCCCGCACCACAACATCTGGAGCGCTCTATCCTCCCTCTTCACCACCATTCTCTCGCACACCCGTTTACCACTAGACATTGGCGATGAAATCTGCCAGTGCCTGGGTACATGGATCTCCTTCTTTTACCCTAACTACTACTTCACGCATTCCTGGCAGGACCTGAGTCGACCCTCTCCTGCGGACAAGACGCAAGTGACGGATAGCTCGTCGAGCGAAGTCGACATCGACGCGACTATTCGAGCGATGGATACCTGGAACGCAGACCTGGCTTGGTTCATATTTGTACGTGGGCGGGCTAAGAATGTGAATGGTGGCAAGGAAGCGGATTTTGATGTGGCGAGGAGGAAGATGGAGGCTAAATTGGTGAAGATACTCGACTCTTCACCTCGCGGGAGCAGAGAGGTTAGCCAGCTGCGATTCGCTGAGGTGGCGTTTTAAGGCATCAGTTAATGGGAATTTGTTTGATAATGATCCACCATTCTATGTGTTGGGGTATCAAAGAAAGCGAGTATCTCTTGATTCCTGGCACAAAGGAATTAACAAGACCTTGGCCTTCATGTCAACAATCAGGCTTAAAGTAGGTTCTGGAATGAAGTAGTTGATACAAGCAAATAAAGGAAAACTCGTAAGGAGACCAGTGGTTTTCATAGAAGCGGAGATATTTCAATTTAGTCCTATGTAAAGATATTCTTGAATCCAACAAAGCATATGTAACCACTAATGAGTGAACAATAACACGTTGGCATATTAATGCAAAAAGAACCAACAACTACCCCGAAGTAACAGGCATGATCAACAAAAAGAAGCGCAGAGCGGTCGGTCAAGCGGCGGTAGCAAGGTCGTGGGAAAGGAGACATCCGGTACATGCTACATCACGCTTACTCTTCGTCGCTTTCATCCTCGCTTTCAGCAGTCTCAAGCCATTCCAGGAACTTCTCTGCGGCCTTACGGACCTTCTTGCTGGTAGGCAGGTCGACATATTTCTTGCTGGCTTTGGATCCCCAGTTCTTGAGAATGTCCTCGGATACAAGATCTTCCTGGTAGTAACCAAGGAGGATGGCTGAGATTTGTGGAATGAGCTCGGGGCGCTCTTTTCCAACGAAACGTTCAGTGCCACCAAGGAAAGCTTTCATGTGGCGCTCGGATGTGATCATCTAGGGTTTGAATTAGTAACAATGAGTGGGCATAAGGTTGGGTGGGTTGGAGGTATACCTTCTTGAGCATTCCAGCTCGAGACGGGATCTGCTTGACAATTTTTTCGTCAAAGATTGTCTGAGCCAGGACTGCGAGGGTTTTGTGCTTTGACTCAATGCCGAGTTCCTTGGCCTTCATGTAGATGTCGACATCGCTGACACCAGAAACTCCTTTCTCGGATTGTTCGGCCTCGCTGACAATCCAGCTGCCGAGCTGATCATAAGCACTGGCAGCGCCATTTTCGCCCTCGCCTTCATCCTCATCGTCAAAAACGAGCGAGCGCTTAAGATCGTCCGGAAGCTCTTTTGCACGTGCCTTGACAGCTTCCTCAGAGACATCAACAGCCCACTCATCGTCATCGATCTCGTTGTCTTGTTCAATTTCCTTGGCTTCAGCATTGATTCGACGGGTAAACTCGTCATCACTATGGGCTTCCGCCGCCACGTCACCATTTTCGTCCCCTTCAGAAGGGCTGTCTCCCGGACTGCCGTTTGTCTCTCCATTTTCTCCATTCTCTCCGTTGTCAGCTTTTTCCTTGTTCCTTTCGCGTCGGGTTTTCTTCGTTGACTTGTCTTTCTTTCCCTTTCTTGGCTGGTTCTTCAGAACGAATGAACTGAGTTTGAGGCGGCTATCGACCTCGGAGCGTTCACCACAGGCTTTGCAATCCAAGAGGATACGTGGGTCCTTGATTACAACATTGGTTTCAGGGTTCTTGCATTTCTTGCACAGGACAAACTTGGAAATGAATCCGTCTAGGTAATCTTGAAGTTTGCCGGCATCGTGAGCGCCGTTAATGATCCAACGATCATCAGTTGGTTTTGGATTAGCCTGTGCACCAAGTTCGAAACCGAAGTACTTGATCAAATCTAGTGAGTGTTAGAATTGCTACAATAGTATTCCAATATCACATGTCGAAGGGGTGACCTACATGCAGGAGGACGGCCAAGCGCCTGGGCAACGGAATTGAGATTGACAACGACGGTCTTGATACCGTTTCCTTTGCCTTCGATTTTAGCCTGGAGGCGCTCCATTTTATAACGATAGAAGGGATCGGAAACATCCTGCACGACAATTACGTTGTCAGTAAAGGTATCGAGATCGAAAGGGGCAAGGACACAAGGGGCCTTACCCGACGGATATTGACGGTAGCCATGGTGAATGAGTGGGGGATAGATAAGTCTTAAAAAGCTATTGGCTGCGGACGCAAGGAGCAAGGAACGCGGAGAGAATGAAAGCTGCGGTTGCTACTACAAGACATGCGTAGTGAAGCTTGCAGATGGTCTGAGATGTGGGAGACGATATAATTTCCCTTTCTGATGAGAAGAGGGTTCACGGGCGACGTGGAAAGCAGATCTCAACCACAGGATCTGGAATGGTAACTACAAGGTTTTCGCACAGGGCGAAAAGGTTGCAGCTTGAGCGGCAGGTGGTGTTCAAAAGCGTTGACGTAGGGCGAATACATAGACAGTCGCTCGAATATGCTCGGCGGCTCTGGGAGTTGAAGGAAGCCAGACGGTTTCGCTGCGAGGGTTTGGTGGGCTGGAACTGAACCCGGAATGGCAAAAAGGTGATGGCTTCCGGACGGGAGACCAAAATCAATTAAATGCGGTCGCTTTGCGGGATAAATTCAATCGAAACAAGGGCCTTGTTCGATGGGGATTTCGATGGAATTGGGGACCAAGAGCGGTTTGATGGGAGGAGGGAAAAAGAGAAAATAGCGAATGTCGTCGAACTCGTCGTGTAAACTATTTTTAATACGGCGGGCGTGACCAGGGCTAACGGTATCGAAACGAATGGAAGAAATTTTCAATCTTCGGAAGAAATTAAATCCGAAGTCAAAAAATTCTCACGTGGATGACACGTGGCTACTATGTCGGAGATACTTCGGAGATGAGATCAGGTCTTATCTAATCAGGCCAAGCCGGCCCGAAAAGCCGAGAACTCGACAGTGCGGGAGGGGCGACTTTGACGACGTTGAGGTGTGTCGCTGAGATTCTGCTTGGATACACGCTCCGTACTTGGTCTGACCCTGTGCAATTGGATGGACTCTCTGCGCCCATCTCTGCTAATTTTCTCCTTATCTTCCCATATTCTTTTATACACACAGCTTCATCAGAGGTCTTAGTTCCTCGGAAACTGCGTGTTTCTTCTCAGGTTCGTGCGTCCAGTGATGTTTCCTTAAACCTATTTATTGCCTTGCAGCAGGGAGAAGTTGGATCCTATATGTTCAATTTTATCTTTTCTGGCGGAATTGAATTGTACCTTTTCTGACTCTTCCTGAGAGTTGCATTAACAGTGGCTCTCGGCTTTGCTGCCGAAACGCTTTGAGTGCCCACTACAAAGGGTAGCTTGTATAAAATAGTCTTCAGTTGTCGTGTATATAATATATCTAAACACTTATCCAGGTATGTGCAATTGCTAGCCTGGTTTGATAGCTGTGGAACCTCTTCCCTGTATGCTCTATGGTCAAGGCGCGTTTTTTTTCCCCATGAGCATGTGCACCTGGTTGGTTGATGTCGTGAGATTTGCTGACTCGTCAGCTCTATTTTCTATCTAGTGGTCTTTCAGAATTTTTCTTAGCTGGTGTTACTTGACTGGTGTTACTTTTACTTCTTCCCCCCCTTTCCACCAAACTAGGCCACTTTCATATCTCTAAGACCTTCCTTACTGGAGCTCATTAACACCAGAAAGGATGCCCATCGATCTCTCCTTGTATCTTGTCACTGATTCTACCCCAAATATTTTGGGTGATAGGGATCTATGCACTGTTGTGGAGCAGGCAATCCAAGGCGGTAAGAAATGCAATGAACAAGGTTTTGCTTCTCAAGGGAGAGCACTCACGTTTCACCTTTGGAGATAGGTGTAACAATTGTGCAATATAGAGACAAACATGCTGATACAGGTGTGCTCATTGAGACTGCCTCGAGGCTACACACCATAACTAAAGCCCACGGTGTCCCTCTGGTAATCAATGATCGAGTTGATGTGGCGCTGGCTGTGGGTGCCGAGGGAGTCCATCTCGGGCAGGATGACATGGGTATGGCCCCCAACGCCTCACAACATTATACGATACTTATGCATTTCGCAGATATTGAAACAGCGCGTAAGCTGCTCCCAAAGAATTGCTTCATAGGTGCGACTGTATCCTCTGTTGAGGAGGCAAGGATTGCTGTCGAAAAACGGGCCAACTATCTTGGCATTGGGACCGTATTTGCAACCCCGACGTGCGTCTCTTGATATTGGTGTCTTATGTCGCATCAACGCTGATCATTCTAGTAAAACCAACACCAAATCAATCATTGGGACTGCTGGTGTTAGGCAGATTTTAGACTTTCTTGCGACTCTTCCGCAGAAAGTCGGTACTGTTGCCATCGGTGGCATCAACCTAAGCAATACGCAGAGGGTCATTTATCAATCTGCAGCAGCCACGAAGGGCTTGGATGGCGTCGCCATTGTCAGTGCCATCGTGGCAGCTGAAGATCCTTACAAAGCCGCTGCTCTTCTTGCACGGGCCATCACCAAAAGCCCTTCCTTCGCAACTATCCCGCCAGACCCTCGCGAAGACGAATTTTCCTATCTACTAAACAACGCCATCAGCGTGGCGCACAAAGTTGCAGTCCGCATGCCTTTGGTCCATAGCATGATCAACTATGTAGTCGCAAACTTTGCGGCTAACGTGTCATTGCAGATGTAAGATATGATAGCTTTTTCCACACGTCCCTAGCCTCTCCTCGAATACTAGGTGTTCTAACATCCTTAGTGGTGCTTCTCCAATTATGTCACCCTACGGGCCCGAGGCCACCGATCTGTCGAAAGCTGGCGGCTCCTTGCTAATCAATATGGGCACCCTCAATGCCGATAGTCTCAACAACTATATCCAGGCAGTGCAGGCGTACAACCAACGTGGCAGTCCCGTAGTCTTTGACCCAGTTGGAGGCGGTGCCACCGAGGTCCGACAAAACGCGATTAGGACGCTCATGGCGGGAGGATATTTCGATCTCATCAAGGGTAACGAAAGCGAGATCAAGGTGATATACGGGCAGTCTTCTGCCCGACAGATCGGCGTTGATAGTGGGCCAAGTACCCTTAGTTTACAAGAGAAAGTCACAATGGTCAGGGACCTTGCTACCAGAGAGAGTAAGTCGCGAATTCCCCTTACTCCGCTGTATAATCCCAGGCTTGTTCTAGACCATGTATTGGTCGCTCTACGCTCGATCCTACGTTCCACACCTTCGTGCTTACTCCTCCTTGAATGATCCCTGGTAAAGGGCCATGGGCCGGTCCCAGATGGTGCTAATGAATAATTCACAGGAAACATCGTTCTCATGACGGGGCCTGTTGACTTCCTAAGCGACGGCATACGCACAGTTGCAATTAAGAATGGCCACCGTTATCTCGGCCAAATCACCGGCGTAAGCGCCCACCCATATCCCCTTTCCCCTCAAAACTCTACGCAATCTAACATATTCTAGACGGGCTGTGTCATTGGTCTGGTTGCAGCGGCCTTCCTTGCCGTAGAGCGCACTGACAAGTTGCTCGCGGTTCTCGCTGGTGTCCTCATGTTCGAAATAGCGGCAGAAAATGCTGCTCTGAAGGAATACGTTCGCGGCCCTGGTACCTTTATGCCCGCATTTCTCGATGAATTATATGCTCTCCGTGAAGATACGAAGGCTAGTCCAGAAAATAACTGGATTAAACAGCGCGCACAGATCACAATGTTTACTGCTGAATCCGATGGCGCTGCGTCTTCAACTTGAACGAAGCACAGTGGCATCAAGCCTTGCCGTTTTTGGCCCTGTGGATTCATGTGGTCTGGCTGTAAGGCTAGAAGTTGATATGAATCAGAACACACTTAAAAAAAAAAAAGAAAAGAAAAGAAAAAAGAAAAAGAAAATAGAAATTTTAAAAATAGCAAATCTATAACATGGTCCCTAGACGAGCGTCAATGACTTGCCCAAAACGTCCAGAAAGGATAGATGTTATCAGCTTATATAAAATACGTAATAATTCTGCCTCCTAGCATCCGAATAGCCGTCGAAGTCCACTGTAGCCGAAAATTCTTTAAATCTTTGCGCAAAAGGCCCCCAGTGCCTTTTTCGTGTCCTCACCAGTCTCTTTTACCAGCCCACTGACCTCCTTGAATCCTTGGACCTTCGCATCCGCCATAACCTCAAACAAAATACTCTCACTCGTCGTCACAATTGCCCCAGCATCTCTCAGTCGCGCCATCGCCACATTCCTCTCCTCAGCATTGCAGCTGCTCACAGCATCCCAAACCAAATACACCCTATGGCCTAGCGCCAATAGATCCAAGGCTGTCTGCGTGACGCAAACGTGCGACTCGATTCCAATCAGGATGACATCGAGAGGCTCCTGGTTACCTCCTGTGGCAGCGGTATTGGGCAGCAGAGCCTTGATCTCCGGAATCACCATCGAAAATAAGGTCTTGTCGAAATCGGCGCGGAGATTGGGGTTGGAAGGGTCGAGGTAGGGTGCGAATTCGGACACTGTGTTGCCCAGACGGGCGCGGTTCTGGGTGGTTACGTAGATGGGGATGCCAAGTGGTTTGCAGGCTCGGAGGATTTTGAGGGAGGTAGATACCCTGGAGTTGCGGTGAGCTGATTAGGTTTGGATTCCGTCTTGGTTGGATTTGGCTTGGTACGGCGGCAGGGTTGGACATGAAGGGGGAACAAATGGGCACCCACATCTTCGGGAACTCATAGATAATTGGCCTGAAACGTTCCTGGATATCGCAGACACTGTAATTTAACATTTTTCGTCAGATGGTCATCTAAGCGGGCGTACGGATCCCTCGGGATATATCGAATAGCGCAGTTGGCACTAGGTGGATAATACATACAACAGAGCCGGATTCTCTGCAAAACCCAGGTTAGCACCAGTTTTTGAAACATCTTCATGGCAAAGGGATGTGTTTTTCTTCGATTGACAGCACTAAATGAGAGAAAGGAAGCACTGACTGATCCGGGTATTCTTTGAAGTTGCCATTGCTTTATGTGCAATTGAATTCAATCGCCTAATCTGAACTTGGCTTCTGCTGGTGGTAGAGAACAACGAGGATGCTGGAGCCAAAGGTATTCTTCCAAGTAGCATATTACAGCCAAAATAATAACAAAGCAAGATTTAAGTGTTGTCTGGATAGGATGCAAACGCCGACGGCGAAGTTGTGCTTTATATCCGGTGTGCAACCTCCGAGCCAAACAGCCTAGGCATGAAGAGACTTGGAGAAAGCGGGGAAACGGCAGAGCGTGGTGTGGGGAAGCGGAAAGGGGTTGTTTGCTCTGTTTGCAACGGTTGCCCACGCCATCATGATCAAACATGACACGCTGGAAAACAGCAAAGGAAAAAAAAAAAAAAAAAAAAAAAAAAAAAAAAAAATCCTGTGCCGGGAAAATCTTGCATATTTCTATTTCATTTAGTTATCAATTCATTAGGCCTTGTTGGTTCTTGTTCATCAGGCTTGACAGTATGAAAACTAGCTACAGCATAATGGTTCCATCACATGATACCGTGCACTCTCTGGCATCTTTCAGCGAGAGGTGAAGCATTCATACGCCAGCAAACAAACACGTCCTTCAGCCACAAAAAAGCATCAAAATTCATGAGCAATCGCAGAATACTTCCAAATGAACAGCCATCTCAGGCGCATTCAAGTTCAATCAGGGCAGGGACAATGTGGCTCTGAGCTCAGAGCAAGGGCGGTCATTTAAACCTTTCTCTGCTCTGGTTGCTCTTGCGATGTTGTGATGATGACGATGCCACCAATTGATCAGTCAGAACCACTGGCAGCCGGCTTTCCCTGGCCGGAATTGAGCCAGCCAAACGCAGAGGCACCACCAACGGGATTCGAACTGCGAGCTCTATTCCACGGGTTTTCAGGCCTTAAATCGCCATTCGCAGCCTTGCTACCGCCATCTAGAGAACCGCTGGACGATGGTTCTCCACCGGACGACCCAGTGCCACCAGAAACTTGGCGTGATGATGAAAGTGGTTTAGATGGTTTCAGCACCTTCATATTCCGTGTTCGGACATTCCGCTGATAGGTAGCCAAATAGGGACTTGGCTCGCTTTTGTTGACCGGCTGATCACGTCTCCAAGGTCCCCAGACGCCGGTGCCTTCAGCCTTTGAAGACTTTTCCGGAGCTTTCTCATCCGCGGTAGATTTCGTGTGCACTTCATCGGGACCATGGTCGTCCTGATTATCCGCAAAATGAGCAGAGCGCCTTGATTGGGAAATAATGGAGTCAGTCGATGTTCGAAGCGGCAGATTGAACTGGCTCGGCTTGCTTGTCATCCCTGTATCACCATTTTCGTAGCCGACGGCGTGGTTGCCACCTCCATCACCATTAGTTTCGCAAACAGGTGAAAGATGCGATTGCGGGACGGTTGATAAAGTTTTAAACACCTCCTGGCTTTCAGGACGGACGAGCGGCACAGAAATCCTATTTCGTTCATCGTCTACAATAAGCAGTTTGTCTCGAGAGAACAAGATGTCCGCATTATGGAGGCGCAAAACATCGCTGCCGATGAAAATTTGGATAGTCTTGTCATCGTCTGGGCGTGCCTCACGAACCATGAACTGGACTGTAATGGCCGGGAGGTGTGGAGCAGGGCTTCCAGCGCGGGAGGACGACTGGCAAATACTCGCCTCTGGGAAATATACAGGCAGCTTGATACACCGCGCACCATCTTTATCTGCGATGTCCCCTTCGAGCGCCAGTTTCTGGATCATACGCTGACTGATTGCAGAAGAGTGCGATCCACTACAAATCGCAGCATATAGCAAGGAGTCGTTCGAGAAGTGGGTCGTAAGCCAGCATCGGATAATGCAAGGAACGGGGCCCAATATGAAAAGTCCAGGAGGCGGGGTCATGGTTGTTCCTGTTGTGGACCCATCCGCTCGAGCATTATCATAGCCTAGGCTGAATGTGCGATGCGACTGTCCAGAGGAACTCTTATTGCCGTCTGACCGATGGGAAAGCGAGCGCTCGGTAAGTGGGTGACCTCCCAATCCACTTCCGGTTCTCATGGGAGCAAGTTCGGAAGCGGATCGGTTGGCGTGGTTATAATACCCGTGCATGGAGCTTTCGTCGAACCGCACACTATTCGCTCTTGAAGCACCTCGCCTCGTGTCCTCCTCGTTTTCTAGGATCAGATTGTTCGCCGGGTTATGCTGATGCCCTTGGTCGAATCCTTTGAACGGCTCGGATGGTGAGTTATATGTGGATTCTGCCAGAGAAGCATCCGCAGTTAGAAAGGTTTTTATGTTGACCGTGGCTAGGGCCAACTTACCTTGAACCGGGGGATTGCTAACAGTAGAAGGAAAAGGAGAAAATGGGCCCCAAAGACTTTTCATGCGGGCATCATCGTCCCTGCGGCGCTCTAATTTTGCGATCCGTTCTCCGTGCTCTAGCTGGGTGGCGTAGAGATCCTTGATTTCCTCGTGGACGCGCCAGATATCTTCTCTCGACGCGAAAGGATACTGCGCATCCATAACCAGCTTGTTGGCACACCAAGAAGGACTTTCGAGGACAAGAGGCTTATCTATGAGAAAGATTGCACTGCCTCAAGCATCCGGGATGCCCCCCCTCAAACGCGACAGCTGCGAAAAGACCAGAAGAGCTAGTAGCTGTATCCGTAGACCTGGTAATAACCAGGTACTAGACGTCTTTTCCACTCCTTGCCAGTCTCACAGCTTCGCACCGAGTTTCGCGAGATGGCCTGAAGGCCCCCGCCCACCCAGGCTGAATCTGGATTTATAAACAACCCGTTGCTCCCCACCTCGCAAGATCAGATGTACCATGTAAATTCAGGCTTGTAACGTCGGGGAAGGGGGCTAATTTAGATCGAAATAAAGATAAATCCTCTTCTAGCCAGAGACAGGATGATAGCGACCGAGTGACTTTGTTAGTCGTGTTCTGGTTTGCCGAGACGGATGAAGTGATGGAAAAAAGGCTGAGGTAGACTGTAGATATAGGACCGAAAGAGGAGGGGTGAAACTTGTCTCAGTATGGAGGTAGCCTGGGAGCAGAATAAGCCTTATTTTAAGAGCAGGCTGAGCTGTCAGGAAGGATGATGCTGTTCTTTTGTGACGAAGAAAATGGCCGTGTGGTTGAGGGTAGCTTTCTTTGACAGGATGGCTTGAAAGGGATAGGTTGAAAGCGTGGAGATGGGCTGGGTCGCTAAAATTTCACCAGGTTGATCCAGAGAGATGATAAAGAGCTTGTTAAGGGTGAGAACTTTAACACAGAGTGTTTCATCCAACTCTGGCGTGAAAGCAGACTGTGGATGTGGTGTGGTGGCGGATTTAGTTACTGAGAGAGCTTGAAAAGGTGATGAAAGAAGGGAAGTCGGCGGCGGAAGTTGAAGGAGGAACTTAGTAGCCTGGAGGTGTTTCTGCCTCTTGAGAATTTGTTGATGGGAATGATGATGATGATGAAGATGATGATGATGATGTTATTTTCTGGCAACCTCTCTCCCTCCAGATTGGCTAAATAAAGATGGCACAAATCCAACCTTGAGATCGATCGGAAGATGGAGAATTGAGCCTGGTTGGGCTTAGCGCATGCGTGGGTTTTGGCTTTGTGGGCTTGGCTTCCAGAACAACCCGCTCGATGTCGTGCAACCTCTCGGAGAAATTCTTTTTTCCTCCCTAGGGCGCTTCCTGGCCCGTCCTGACCGAAGCCAGTGACAGAGCGTGGGCTACCGGAGAGGCAGCGGGCTTGGATCTAGCTTATCTATGCAAGGACACGGTTTTGGCTCAATTATCACTGCCTCTCTATGGCAGCTTGGGGTCACTTTGGATGAAAACGGGCGTTTATCTTCGCTGCTGCGCGACATGAAAGGCGTGACAGATTGCCTAGCTATTATTACGCGGCATCAACAATTAACCCCCGGAGCGGCTCCTTGAGCTATATAACTATTACAAGCCCTTTATATCAAGTAGCATCATAACTACGGGGTCCTTAATTCATGCAATAGTATGCCACTAAGAGGTCATGGGAGAAAGTTCAGGTAAAAACCGTTCGCTAACTATCAACTCCAGGGGGCTTCGAGCCGCGGTGGGAAGAGGATCGGTAGCTTCTCTGGCGCTTCTTCTGGATACTCTTCCCGTATTACTTTCATGGTTTCAGCATACATGACTTTGTAGCCTTCCGAGGTGAAATGAAGCCCTACCGAGCATTTTAGCGGGTGTCCGGGTTAGGGGATGGGGCCAGGCTGTAGGTCATTTGGCGTAAACACAGGGTAGGGCTTTGCTTACCATCACACAACAACTCGGCAAGTTTCTTGTTGGGCGGCGCATCCTTCGACCCGGCCAATGGTTCGCCTTCGGTCCAACCAGCCTCTTTCATAAAGGCAGACCAGATATCTACCACGGGGGTATCCAACGATTTTCCTACTTCACGACAGGCATCCGCGTACAGTTTGGTGACTTGCGCCTTTCTCGTGAGGGTTGAATAACCACTTTCACGACCATAGGATTCAAGTTGATATTCGTTTACTGGTGGCGGCGTAAGCAAAAGGAGCTTGGTTTTCTGCGCATTCACCGCTTTATGAGTGATAATACCCCTCAAGCATTGCTGGTACTTTTCCAGTGGAACATGTTGGTCATAGGGGGGCAAAACTGCGTCGTTTGCGCCGAAGAAGATACTCTACGCGGTAAGGTCAGATATGCTCTGGCGCCGGAGAAATGCAACCATAAGAGGGCATGCAGATACCATAAGCCGGACTTTGTCTTTCTCAACTGGCGGGAAAAACTGGCCTAAGGCAGTCAAGCCCTGCGGGGATGTGTATCCGCTGGTTTTGTCAGAGTGGGAAAAGACGCTTTTGAGGTTTCCAGGTGGATTATGGGTACCTAAATCCACGGTTGATGACATCGAGGCGCCTTATATACACTGCATTTCAAGAGAGCATTTGAGTTCTCCATCTTCAAAGGCATTGCTTGGTTCAAAAGGGTATTGTCTTCGTAGCGATCCGTGAGGGGCGGCATACCATCTTGAAGAGCCGGCTGAAACGTAAAGCCTTTCTCCTGAGACGAGGCTCCCTGAGTGATGGAATCCCCGAAAATAATGAACTGATCGAAAGTGATGGACATTGGACACGGAGCAGCAGCGCCGACCAGAGAGCGGTCCGTGGACATTGTTCCTAACCGGGAAATTAACTTGAATATGGTGCGAGTTTCGACTCGAAGAAATTGTGGGGTGGAGAGCCAAACATTTATGTTCGCTCCGCCCGAGGCTTTACGGTCCTTTATGACGATCTATATGCCATTCAAGCAAAAATCCAGACCTCTGCTGCCCAGCACTCGAAT